GCATGCGAGCTAGGAATGCCTCCCTAGTATTCCCATTACTAGTGTGGGTTGCATCAATGTCCATAGCGTGGGGGTCAGCAGGGGTAGTGTGAGCAGTATGTGTGGGAGGGTATCCAGAGTTTCGGCCAGTCATGATGGGATCGTGCAGGTAGACATCCACCGATATGGCCCATTTGATTGCCTCCTTGTCAAGTCCATGCCTCGGGCCTCCATTCCGCCGCTCGGTACTCCGAAGATCTACCTTTTATTGTAATCTCTCTCTTATTGTTCTTTCTTGCTACACATATCCTTTCGTTCTAGTTCCTCCTTATTGTCTTTTACCCTACCCTGCAGGTACTACTCATATAGCTCCTAGTAGTTAGTCTGGCACTCTGCACCGATGCGCCGATCCATAGATATAAATACTGCCTGTACGCTACTGTAGTTCCTCAGTTTAATTATTGACTTAGATCAACTTAGATCTCTCTTCCAACTTAGCTCTTCTCTAAGTCTTCAGGCTCAACGCCTTGGAGTACTCTCTACTATAACCTTAGGACTTAGACGTCCTCTGGTTCGCTCCTCGTCACCGGCGATACCGCCGCTCCGACTTGGCTGCTCCTCAGTTCCTCCCTTCTCTACTCTCGATCTCCGGGGACTAACGGCGTAACGGCGGTGATGTTAATAGCTTCACTACTGTCCCACTCGTCTTCCGCACTTAGACACCTTGTGGCTTTGGCACGGTTACACGGTGTACATGATCTTAACACTCCTTCAGAGTCGGAGCAATTCCTTGGGCAATGTTTACGGTGATGAGATGTTGTCGGATCTTTGGGAGTAACGCAGTGAAGAAACGTTCCCGCAAGTCAATATCAGACATTTCAGTCTGATCTCCGATGTCCTTGAACTTCTGAGCGAATTCCGCAACTGTCTGCCCTTTACTTTGCCTGAGATTCTTGATCTCGCTACGGGCTTCCATACCTGGGTCCATTGGTTCAAACCGTTGGCTAAATTCCTTCAGAAACGCCTCCCAATTTCCTCCGAAAGGGGGATTTTCCGCATTGAAATGTAGCAGATGGGGAGTTGCCCAATCTCCGGCACTTTCTGTGAAGAAGCCCAAGGCGGACTTGATGAGTTTTACTTGGCTTTTGGCGAGATCAGGTTGTTCTGACGCCCAATTCTGGAACTGAGCCATGAAGCGACGGGCTTCAGTGCTATCTTTACCCTTGAAAACCTCGGGTTTATTCATGCTTGACTTGGAGGATGAGCGTTCCTCCATAGCTGTAGCAAGGTTAGCTACTTGTCTGATGAGCTGAGCCATGAGATCCTCCGCAGAGGTGTTTGGGGCAGGTGGGACAGGAGTTGACATGATGGGAGTAGGCAATCGGGGCTGGGGAATCGGCAGGAAGGTTATATTGCTCACAGTGAGTGGCTCTCGGATTGAGTTCGAAAGGGCGTTGGGGCAAGGTTGAGACTGGCAATTGCGCCAAGTATTGTCGTTGTTATGGGCGTGAGCTTGGTCTGTGGGGTCAAGTGCGTGCGGGAGTGCGGAGCAGTCTATACTGGCAACAGGTGTTTCAGAGTCGGGCGGAACTGGGGAAGACGTGGTGTCTATAGACCCTGCAAGGACAACCTTATCGGTAGGCTGTCAGTGCAGTAATGGATCTTGACCTAATGTCATGAAGCGGCGGAGGCGGAGTGACTAACGGAGCGGGAAAGCGGAGCGACTTAGCAGAACGGCGAGGCGGAGCGACTGAACCAGGCAACAAGGCGGAGCGACTAAGCAGAACGGCGGCAGGCTGGTCCCAGATAATGACAGAGATATATTGAGTATCGTAGTCATAGGTGATAATAAGTAAGCACATACCTGGTCCCAGATAATGACAGAGAGGTCAAGATAAGGGACCAGGCTGTGGAGGGTTGGCTATATATACATAATCCGGTCTGCGAGAAACAACAATGTAATACTGTACAGTTTAGGAACAAGGAAGGTAGCGGAAGCCAGTAGAAGGAGAAGATGGGTCAGGTGGATCAGTAATCGATGGGGGTTTGACAGTGATGGGATGATGTATTGTACAAGTAAAGGCGTCGAGACAGTGAGAAAAGGAAAATGATAGGGGCTGCGTACTTTATGACAAAAGGGACAGGGACTGGACCTATGTAAAGGGTGTGTGTTCAAAATATACCAAGCTGGGGGTGTTTATGTTACCAAGGATACTTATATAGGTGAGATGAATAGGTAAAGAGACATTGTAGTAAACAAGCATCTAATGGGGATGGCATGAAGTGCGGAGCCCATGAGGCTAAATTGATGGGGGATTGTCCAATGGCGTACGCAAGTCTCGAGACTGTTGTCAGGAGGTTGACTAGGGTTCCGTGGTTCATGGGGGATTCCTGGGAGGTTATGGTTTCATGGGAGGTTATTTAAGAGTGGGGGGTATTGTGGTCCGAATGAGGTGGTTGGGAACTAGTTGGGAACTAGGTTGGGGAGCTTGTGGGTTATGCGATCCGGGGCAAGGCATGACACAGTCCGCTGCTCGGTATTCCGAGATATACTGTTTATTGTAATCTCATCCTTATTGTTCTTTCTCACTACACATACCCTTTCATTCTAGTCTCTCCTTATTGTCTTTTTCTCTACCCTGCAGGTACTACTCGTATAGCTCCTAGTAGTTAGTCTGGTGCACCGCACTGATATGCTGATCCGTAGATATAAATACTGCCTGTACGATACTGTAGTTCCTCAGTTTAATTATCAACTTAGATTCCCTTTCCAACTGAGGTTATCCTCTTGACATCCTCACTTGAGACTCCCTTGTACTCTTCTCAATCTCTAGTCTTCTAGCCTTAGGACTTATAAGTTCTTTGGTTCGCTCCTCGTCGCCGGCGATACCGCCACTCCAACTTGGCTGCTCCTGGCCCCTCTCTTCTCTACTCTCGATCTCCGGGGACTAGCAGCGTAACGGCGGTGTTGTTAATAACTTCACTACTGTCCCATTTGACCCTCCACTCTTAGACACCTTGTGGCCTCTGGCACAGTTACTCAGTGTACATGATCTTAACAAGTTGTATCTATCGCATCTATACCTTGGAAGCGAGCAACATTGTCCTGGAAGGAATCCAACTGGAAATCTTTGGGTGCAAAAAAGTATCCATGTGTCAACAACCAATCTCCAGTGATAAAACACTGCAAAACATTGCTGAAGGCATGCAAATCCGTGGCTGTAGTTGCATGAACAAAAAAGTCAAGAGCAGCCTCTCCTGAGACAAGCAGTCCCATTCTGCATTGGACTATAAAAGTGCTCCGAGGCAGAAGTCGTAAACCCACCATAAGATCTTGGAATTCCCTTATTTGCTCATCCCCGGTGAAAAAAACGACCCACGGCGTGGTTGAAAGTATGCCAATGAGCAACAAAAACATCTGTCAAGAGTCACCGAGGCCATTAGAGCGAACGTATCCATGAGCAAGCACAGAATAGTAGGAAGAGGAATCTTTGAAAGCAACGCAGGGGTGACCTTGGACAGTCACGGATATTCCCGCTACCTCTTTAGAGGTTGAAGGGTTTAGTAGAGCAAACTTTTCGATCATTTTGGCAGTAAATAGCGATCCTGTCATACATTTTTAGTCATACACACAGCCTTTTCCCCTTCTATGCTTCATGCACCGCTTCACCGTTGGTTCTATGTGTATGCATGCCTAACGCTAGTCATGAATGGCGAAGAGGGGATTCATGCTCGAATACATTTTGCCCGTTTTCTTCGTACGGTGATGTCAGAGTCATTACTGTACGTTTAATCCCGCCCTTTTTTGGACTAAACAGCATACTTGACTTCTGGACGGTAGCGGGCCCTGCCGTTCGCCGGCGCTACTTGGATATAATGGAAAGGATCTGAAAGAAAAGGAGTGCCGCAAAACAAGCATTACATAAGGGCATTAAAGTAACGATATATTACGAATGCTAGTATGACGTCAAAACGGTCCAAAAAATGCAGTTCCTGATGTGCAAATGCAGCAAAAACCCACTCTGCTGCAAGCACCCCGTAATTTCTCGTTCTCATTAATTCATTTCTTTCGCTTGCCCTTTCTTTTTTCTTCAAGTCAGACAACACCGTGTTTCATTCACGAAACACACACACACACACGACGCGTCGAACTTTCCTGATCCCCAACAACTTCTTTGTACACCATCAGTCGCGTCGTATCGCGTCTTCCTTGTGTCTAACCTAATAGTGGTGTTGGTATCTCCCTGAGTCCACCCAGTGTGTGGTGGCGACAAATGACAACTTCCTCTTCCCCCTCTTCCTACACCACCACCTCCTCTTCTAGGGTAGCGCTAAATTGGTTCGGAGGTGTTAATAACATGTTATTAACATTGAGCCCTCCAAACTGCAATTTAACATGAGTTAATAACATGATTTTAACATTCACACGAGTTTGTTATTAACAAGTTAAAACCCTCAATATTAACATGTTATTAACATATGTGAATGTTAAACTACCTTTTGCAATTCAAATAGCCTCCCAGTTGATATTTTCAGTCCCTAGCACACTCAAAACAGCAGCTTGTGCTGCTGGCCATACCTCTGGCTTAAGAGAGGAGATAAATCACCTGTTTTAGCAGTGTGGCAGAAGGACAGATTGGCCTCATTTTTGACAAGCACTATCTGCAAAACATGGATGTTCGTCAGTGCAAGGATACTGGCTGGAGAGTGCTGTCCAGCTATTAGCCGAAAATCCAGGTTTTACAGATAAGTTCCAGCTTGAATGAATTTGGGAAGAATTGTGGACTGCCAGTGCCTTTGTTAATGACATTGCACAGGTCCACAGATTCATCACTGGACTTTGAAGAGGTCAAGGCAAGATGGGACATATCATGGAAGCCAACTAAATTGTTTGGCCCACTTGTACATTACTGACTAGTACTAGGTGCTAATATAATTCTAACATGGTCTAACATGGTATTTTTGGGATGATGTTAATAACCTGTTATTAACCTGTTATTAACCATGTTAATTAACATATGTTAGGAACTTTTGAAGTTTAGCGCTACCCTAGATTCCTTCTGCAACATGCTCGCGAAACTCAATCTCCTCTTGATTTTTATGGCATTAGATACCAACACATCCTTCAGCAACGATTCATTCTGTTTTTTCCCTCGAGAGGGCTGGGAGTTCGCCTTGGGTGAATTCAGAAGAATCTGTGGGCGAGCCTGTGGCTTCGCCTTTGAGGGTGACACAGGGGTCTTGTGAGTGATGATTTCAGCGGTGTGAGCCGTAATCGAGCGTAGGCGTGCGGGAACCCAATTGATTCGCGGCGGCGGCCTCATGATATATTCAAAGGGAATGGTAGGTTGCGGTTGCACCTTAGGAAATGACTGACAGACAATGTTAGACGGTATAAGCACCACTGATACAAAAGGGGCTAACCTCTGTTTTGAACTGCACCCAGACCTTTTCATCAGCTGCGAAGCCTTCGTTTATACGTTTCGCTCTGACTAGCTTTTCAAACTCAGGCTGCGTTTTTTGCATATGCTCTTTTATGGACAACATGAAAATGGAATGAAGCCGCATTTTTTCATATCCACGCAAACTAATATAAGGAAGACACAATTAGGGACCGATTGTAAAAGAGTAACAAAGGTTTACCCTCTGCTGTTGCACTCGTCGAAGAAGTAGTCTAAAAACTTCGCCTGTCGTCTTTCGATAAGGTCGTCGGACCATGCCTGTTTCATATAGGCACGGTATTCTGCCTTGAAGGCTGCAGAGTTGTGGTCGCCATGCTCAGTAGATGTGGTCGACATGATTGGTGGAAAGTTTGATAAACAGATAAATGTGGATGATTGCGGTTAAACTGAAAATAATCTCAGGAGCAGGCGGGTTCTTATACTCTCGATGCAATCATGAGACAATAGCTCCCCTTTCTTGTCGTATATTGATCTCCTGGGTCAGTGGACGTCGCAGACGAAGTTTAGACCACTCAGGGGTATTGTTTCCCCCTTCCCTCCTGGTCCCTTTCCCGCCGTTTTCTCTTCCCCCCTTTTTACTATTTCTTTCATCGGCGGTATTATCCGGTCACTCACTTTTCGCTAACGAATTAATGCAGACGATTACTTGAACACATTGCCGCCGTTCAACAACTGAGTATGATTACACCGGCGCGAAAGGGTAGTTGATGCAATACCATAAGCTGCCACAATTATATTTTTGTGAAACAGTTCAGTTCATTCGAGTCTTGAATGATGACTGAGGAAGGGGATTAAGACATCATGAATGCAGAGGGAAATTTGAGGGGGGCGTATGGTGGGTGAGGGTGTATTCGGAAGTACGTATGCACCCACCACCAAGACATCCTGAACATCTCACATCCACCCAATCCTCCCAATCGCTACGTATGGCACTAGAAATCGAATATTCCGCCGCCTCACTAGCGGCGGTAAGCTCCATCGCCTAGCCCGCCCGTTCAAGATTAGACGCGCCGAGACTGGTAGTGTTGTAATCAGCGTTCAAGACATCATCGATGCTGTCAGCTTCGCCGTCCCACAGAGACCATAATGCGGGGTTTAGAGCAACATCGAGGGTTGTAGATTTCAAAACGACTCTGGAAGATGAATCGACGAAGGGTTTGTTTAGTTATCCGAAAGATGTTTCGGCAAATAGTCAGTCTACTTTGCTAGCTCTGACCATACATAGCCTTCCGAAAAAATAAGTTCCGGCGACTGTAGATGAGGCTTCATTACTTAAGCTAAATTTTCACGACCGAATCAATACCGCCCTATATATTATCCTTAGCTTGAGTTCTTCCGAAGGGGGGGTCCCTATGCATTGACTCACTTCGATAATACCCTTCAAATAAACCTGCGTTCCTCGTTCGCATACAATGTATCGTGATACCCATAAAGCCCACACCCATAGATAGAACCTACCTGGCTCCCGTCCTGACTCAAAGCGATGACCTGAACCCCAGGACCAAACGTGTTGTGTTGACATTGACAATGTACATCCCAAAGTTATCATGGATCCATAATGTGCCGGAAGCGTCGTCGGACCCGGCAGTACTTGCAAGCCAATGGAAGAGTGTGGTGGAATTAGAAGTGAAGGTGGTAGTGTTCGTGTAGCCATAAATCTAGGGTAATAATCATCAACACTTCTCGTACAATTGTGATATGTATACTCACCGTTAAGGCCCCCGTCCGAGTCCGTATAATTCCCCGGATGGATGAAGAAATTCTGGCTCGAAGTCGAATAAGGGAGCGAATCCTATACTTCGGTGATTGTCGCGACTTCACCGGACGTTGTAGTCCCTGCTCGGACGACGACTGCTCCGGTAGGAGGGGAAGTCCGCTGGGGCGAGTTGCACTGGGGCCGCCAGGGTGATAATCGGAATAGGAGAAGAGAATAACGAGAGCTGGGACTTGGACAGGACCTCGTTGTTTTGTGTAATGGGTGATGTTACAAGCACTGAGGCGACAGGCTTAGAGAGACTTTCCGCTGTAGTACCCTGCGCCGAAGAATCAATTACTAATTCCTCCTCCCGTCACGATCCGAATACCATATCTGCTCCTCTACCTCCTTCTCCTCTACCTCCCTCCGCAGCCAAACCCGTATTACCCTCAGCGCCGAAAAAGTAGTAGAAGAAGATACGTCAAACCAACGACTTGAGCAGATCCCCAATTTGTATCGATACTGATAGTATTGATGATTAGATGGGGATCGACGAAGTAGCCGGTGTACTTGACCCGGAATCCAAGGCCAAAGTGAAGACTATTCATCGAGGAAGCTCTACCGAGCCTTCGAACACCTCCGCAAAGGAAAGCTATCAACGTCTGCATACAAGCAAGATGTCCCGCACTGCTCTCGGGCTTCGAGGTGGCTTGCCGAGTACCAAAGAAGAGAAACAGGTGGATGCTCGAGTGGATCCTGGACGTGAACCTAAGGTCAAGTCATCGGAGATTTACCATGAAGGCGTTGGTTGAGAGTTTATTCGAGGAAGATTATGATAACGACGAAGCGGCAAATCAATCCAAGCCTATCCAAGCAATCAAAAGAACGTACAAGGACTCCGACAACGACCAAGAACACGCAGGATAACGGCTTCAACAACAAATCCCCACAGATGCCAAAACCGAAATCAACATGACCAATCCCAAATCCAAATCCAAGACTAAACGCGCCTCCAAATCCAACTTAGACCTCAGCGTCGTCGTCAACGCGACTGAATTCTCAACGTCGTTGCTGTCAACATGTATCCCACCTACGAACGAGGATGCCCCGAAACCACTGAAACGCAAATGATGAAGTTACGGGAGCTCAGACGAGGATGAGGATATTGGGGACAGGGAGAAAGAGATCGGACGACGAAGTCCCTCTCCGGGACCGAAAAGAAACGGTTAAATGATTTTGACGGTAGATGGCGTAAGAAGAAGATCATTGAATGTCGGGAATTCATGAGAGGGATTGAGTACTTGATTTAGAAGCTATCTTCTGTAGTGGTTGCTATCAGCAAAAAAGCACAAAAACATGCATCGATCGACCGCATAGCAGCAACTTGTTTCGATCAAGTGACCTCGGGGTGCATAGCTTGTGCGAACGACTTAATATGGGCCCCGCGCGCTACCACTGCGCCATGCTGCTGATTATTTTACTTATTTTCACTTATAATAATACGAGGCTTTGTGGAACCGTCACACCCGAACCTGCGAAGTGCCATCATGGGCCACGTACCACCACCCAAGTTCTTCGGTATTGCCCTCCCCGATGTGTACATCAAGACGACGCCTTACTACAGGGAAACCCCCGGCTGCGAAGATGAATCCGAATGCTGGTGTATTGCTAGCTGATGGGATAGAGCTCACGCAGAGGCGTTCAAATCGGAAGATTGTGCGTTGTTGAAGAAAGTTACGAGGCTGTAGTTTACGGAAGTATCGTCCTTATGTACGGTACTCCATACAAAAATTATTTCCCTTTATGGCAGTAGTTTCGCCTTATTTGGCCAAATGTAACACTGAGTTGAATTGTATTGAATTCTTGTGACCGGCACGGGATATCACGGGACTGTGACTCTGTCACAATTATTTTTTCTCGTCTCACAGCATCTCACTCAGTTACTCCCTGTTACTCTATAGATACTGTAATTCATGTATTTATTTCATTCTTAAAAAACATTCAATGTCGGCGCCTGTAAGGCGCCCCGTTTATTTGATTCCATAATATTTAATAGCCCCCAAAAAAGGAGCCGAGTTTTTGCCATGCACAGTGGTGCAGTGGCCTACAATCGCATGTATATGAGGTTTCGGGGATGAACGAGACTCCAAATATGGTACAGTCGCGCTTAGTAGATACATCTTGGTAATGAAATTCTACAATCATCTAGGGCGGTACTGATAGTCTCTCTTTAAAGCTTAGCCCAGGAGCGTCTCCTCACTGCGATCAATTCATCCATAATGACATTGAACTTGCGTGCCAGGCTCCAGCAAACGTGCGGCGGGAAGTAATAAAAATCCATGACCATTTTCTGAGTACCAACTGTCGCACGGCTATTACTGCTCACTGTGTGTTCCAAAACTTTGACTACAGGTAGGGAGAATTTAGAAGGTATAGAAGAGAATGACGTTAACTAATCTGGTACGTTGGGCTGCATCAAATGTAACGGATCTTAGGACATTTGATATAATCTTACTATGAAGGTTTTTACCAGATGGTTGTTTTCGAAACACAATCCCAGCCAAAATGTACGACGAGTGTACGAGATTGATTCACAAGTGATGTGTGTGAGAAGCATGATAAATAAAATCTACTTTGACGATGTGGTATAAATGATAACGTTCACCGATTCCTTGTGCAACATGCTCCCAACACTCAATCTCCTCTTGAATTTATAGACATTAGATACCAACACATCTTTCAACAACGACTCGGATTCGCATTGTTTTTTCCCCTGAGATGGGTGTGCATTCGCCTTGTGAGAATTCAAAAGAATCTGGGGCCGAACTTGTGGCTTGGCTTTTGACTCTGAGGGTGACACAGGTGTCTGATGAGTGATGATTTCGGCGGTGTGAGCCGTAATCGAGCGTAGACGTGCGGGAACCCAATTGACTCGCGGCGGCGGCCTCATGATGTACTCAAAGGGAAGGGTGGGTTGCGGTTGCACTTTGGGGAATGACTGAGGGGCGACATTAGACAGCTTGCACATCGTAAATACAAGAAGGGACTAACCTCTGTTCTGAACTGTACCCAAACCTTCTCATCGGCTGCGAAGCCTTCGTTTATGCGTTTGCCTCTGACTAGTTTTTCAAACTCAAGTTGCGTTTTCTGCATGTGTTCTTTTATGAACAGCATGAATATGGAATGAAGCCGCATTTTGTCATAACCACGCAAACTGATTTGATAAAGTCAATTAGGAACCGGCTTTAAAAAGTAACAAAGCCTTACCCTCTGCTATTACACTCGTCGAAGAAGTAGTCTAAAAACTTCGCCTGTCGTCTTTCGATAAGGTCGTCGGACCATGCCTGTTTCATATAAGCACGATATTCTGCCTTAAAAGCTGCGGAGTTGTGGTCGGCATGCTCAACAAATGTGGTGGACATGATTGGTGGGGTGATCAATCAACAGATAAGTTTGGATGATGGTTAAGATGAGAAATAATCTGAGGAGCATGCGGGCTCTTATACTCTCAATGTAATATGAGACAATAACTCTCCTTTCTGGTCTTACATTGATCTCCTGGCTCAGTGGATGTCGCAGACGGATTCTGGACCACTCATGGGTATTGTTTCCCCCCTTCTCTCCTTGTCCCTTTCCCGCCCTTTTCTCTTACCCCCTTTTTACTCCTTTCATCGGCGGTATTATCCGCTCACTCATTTTTGACTAACGAATTAATGCAGACGATTACTTGAATACATTGCCGCCGTTCAACAGTTGAGTATGATTACACCGGCGCGAAAGGGTCATGGATGCAATACCATAAGCTCCGGTAATTATCTTCGTTCAAAACAGTTCAGTTCATTCGAGCCCAGAATGATGACTGACAAAGGGGATTAAGACATCATGAACACAGAGGAGAATTTGAGGAGGCGGGTGTATGAGGGTGTTTCCGGAAGTGCGTATACCACTCACCACCGAGACATCTTGAGCCTGAACAAGTCCCTCAGTAATTCCTCCTTGCAGTTGGAACAAACTCATATGACGAACATCGTTCCACACGTCACACGAAACGACTCACACCCAATCTTTCCAATCGCTACGTACGGCACTGGAAATTGAATACTCCGCCGCCTCACTAGCGCTGGTGAATTCTATCGTCGAGCACGAAAGAGTATCGATACAGTATCAGATCAGAGCAGAGAGTAAGCTTTCTATGAGGGCAAAAGAGGCACAAGTACAAGTGTACCATGTGCGAAAGCTCATGAGAGTCTTGCAAAGATGTAAAATACCAATGGCAATCACAAGGACCTTTCTCAGAGCAGAAACGTTCAGTAAGATACGCTTTGACCCTGCTCAAATCAGGTACAACGGTCGCGGCCATTACGGGCCGGATCTTTTCTTTGAACAGTGGCCACCACGCTGCACTTCATCATTGAAATCGTCTCATATTGGAACACTAGGGAACACTGCATAGGAATCACACTCGGACTCAACAGGACTCAACTAGCCCGTATAATAATTCGCACGTGCACGAAGCACTAGTCATTCTCGCGTAAACTTTGAATCAAACCCAACCACAACAAGAGGATATCACCTTTATTCGTCTGCCTTGAAAGCGCCAATCTCAACCACTATGGGTCGCTATACACCAGATCCCAAAGTCTTTGGCATTCCATTATTGGAAGAGTATGTCAAAACTACTCCCGAATACGAAATGATGCGTCCTCATACCAAGCACGTCGTCGTGCAGTATGCAACCGCAGCCTTTATGCTCGGCGAACGAGTCGCTGAATCGGTCCCTTCGCGGGTCATTTATGTGGAAACGAAAGAGGGCCCTGCACCGTGTGTTGTCTTAGCATCAGATAAAGAGCACGCGGCCAGTTTTAGCACGGAAGAGGGAAGAGAGAAGTTGAAGAAAGTGTATGAGATCATACGCCTAGAACAGCCTCCGGCATGGTACAGATGCTCTTGATTTTGTGAAGGTACGTGAATGCACATTCTGAATGTACTCTTCTTACCTTCTCTAAGTAGCTCCGTCTTTTCTATCATGATTGTTACATCGACCACGTTTTCGTGAGATGAAATTGCTATCATTTCCCCTTCCAGTGTATAGTAGTCCCTGAGAGGAATTCGATGCGTCTGATCTCATGCGATCATCCCATGGTCCTCCAGCACCCGCACAGATTGTAGAATGTTCACTATGTAAGCACAGGTAAAAATTTGGTACGTGAAAATGATCAAAGCGGAAGCGGAAACGCAAATGATTTATTTGATTACTCCTTCGACAGATGGTCCAGGTATCTGTCTCTCATTTGTGTCAAAGCTTCATCTGACTCCTCTGTGCCAAGTTCATAGACCTTTTGGCCAAACGATGCGGCGAAAGCAGTGCTTTTGTGCCGCATAACAAGAATGTCTCCCTGGAACTTCATATTTTCGTCATCCCAGAAAACAAAAAAAGCTTCCTTTTGGTAAAGCTTATACTGCCAATATGGTCCAGCAGTCACAAGAGCAACGATCTCGTGGATATTTGGATAACGTTTGAAGAACGTCCCAAGATAGCCGCTCATCTGATCTATTGCATTAAAGATACGCCTAACAAATCAGGGTTTTTTGATCAATGCACAGATTAAACAACAATGAAAAATCGCACCTTCGAATGAGGTTCTCGTTCTCTTCTACGCGCTGATTCGCAAGATCCTCAATCTCCTCGTGGCGGGATACGTTACGTTTCATTTCACCAAGAAGAGCGGGGCACAAATGGACGGTTTGTAGGTCAAATCGCTTCGCATTTCGAACCTTTACTTTGTCTTTGGAAAACTTTGCGGTTCCACGCTTCGACATCTCCTTCACGACGGAGTGAAGAACAGCAAGATCGGGGTATTCATCATCCATGGGGACCATGATAGTCCTGTTAGACGACGTAGAGGCCATCAAACGCTCCTGTGCCTTGGTAGGTGCCGTGCTCCTGTTGTTTTTCCTCGGTTCATACTCTTCGTCCGAGTGAGCATAGTAAGCGGCATTGCGATTAGCCGCGCGATTAGGCGTTGCGGGGGGGTTACTTCCCCGAGAACGAAGCACACGATCGATAGGAGTAGGGCTCTCGGGGCGCTCGATATCCGTCTGAGAGGCACTCTCTTCGGTGTCTTCCCGAGCGTTAAGGTCGCCTGCGTTGTCTGGGGTGGCAGCCTTGCGATGAGACATCTCGGGCAGAACCCCATCCTCAGATCTCCATTGCGCGTATTGAACATAGGGAATGAGATTATCGTAAGGCCTGAGCAACTCGTGCATAACATGGCCCCAAACAGGATGCCAATTATTTTCGTGGTTACGAGGATTGAACTTTTGGGATTGGGCGGACGAAATAGCTAGCTTAAGTTTCCGTGTGGTGCGATATGGAGAGAGTCGGTTGTCCTCCTCCACCTGAGCTCGTGTCTTTACCATTAATGATAGGTTGGTAATTGGGTGGCTTTGGTAATAAGTGGACTTTGTCTTGTCTTCAGTTTTATACCCACAACAGAGAGCGACGGTTGTTCTCAAATGGCCCAAAGTTACGAAAAGTCAGGGAACGTAGACAGCGCATCAGGCGAATATGTTGAACGAGGAGATGGCGCAACTTTATCTGACATCGCGAAAACAGGCTAAACCTGGGCTAAACTACAAATTGACTACAATGAACATTTCTGGAATATACATACAGAACTTCTGAATTAGGAACAAAGGAAAGTACTACTAATAGTTGCTACCATTATACAAAGGAGTAGCATGGTCGGCTAAAGCAACAAATATATGTTATATCAGGTTATATCAGGTTACATCAGGCCATCAGGCCATATCGATGCTGTGACCATTGTTCCCAAATGGTGCCAAAGTTAGGAAAAGTCGAGGGAACGTGGAAAGCGCATCAGGAATATGTAGAACAAGACCAGATGATGCCGCACCTTTTCTGACGTTATCGCGAGAACAAACTCGCCCCAATTGATAAAATGAACATTCTGGAATATAAAGAACTTCTGCTCTCTTCTGCTAACTTCTGAATTAGAAGGAATTAGAAACAAAGAGGCAGCGTAGTCGGGTAAAGCCGTAGACTCATGTTAATATCAGGCCATCAGCCCGCCGTATCAATGCGGTGACCTATGTCAGAGCCTGCCAGGGCCCAGGACAATGCAAGTACTATACCTAAGAAAACAAAAGAAAACAAACCGGTGTTCATAATGCCAGTCGAGTCCAGTAAAACACGTGATGGTTTGTGGCGTATAAAGCGACTCTTTCCCAGAGTTGACATACAGTCACTCTTCACTCTCATGGGCCGCTATACACCAGATCCGAAAGTCTTCGGCATTCCACTATTCGAGCAGTACGTCAAAAGTACCCCAGAATTTGAGACGATGGCTCCTTCTACCAATGGTGATGTGCTTTTGCAATATCTGTCTGCAGCCTTCCTGCTAGGGGAACGAGTCGCTGAATCGGTCCCTTCGCGGGTCATTTACGTGGACACGAAGGAGGGCGCTACACCGTGTGTTGTGTTAGCCTCCAATAAAGATCACGCGGCGAGCTTTGGCACAGAGGAGGGAAGAGAGACGTTGAAGAAAGTGTATGAGATCATACGCCTAGAACAGCCTCCAGCATGGTATAGATGTTCTTGATTTCCGAAGGTATGTGAATTCTCGTTCTGAATGTACTCTTCTCATCCTTTCTCAGTCGCCTCTCCGTGTATTCGATGATAATTGTTACATCGAACACGTTGTTATTGGAACCCCGCTTGCTGTACTATTACTGCTTGTTCTCTATGAATCAATCTTACGAGATGTACATGATTTTGTGTATATGTTACACCGACAGAAACAAGAACAACAACTGACTGAATGCTTGTGGCCAACATGTTGAATCGCGCTGAAATAGACAAAAGTCGAAAATCAAGACAAAGGAGTGTAATATACTGCCCTAGGGTATGACCCAGGTCACGTAGAGACAGTCAGGAAGTACATTTCGGAATGTCATACTCGTCACGCAGTGGGAAGCTCGCCCACACGAAACGAGCCGCGGTATTCCAACAACTGCGAATATCTCGGTCAATTTTTAGAGCATGAAGTCGCGATATTGTGCCACACAGGCTCACAAAGGGCGCGGGATAGTATTTACAGTCCAAGCGTATTCAGGATATACAAGTTTACAACGCTTACTCATCCTTGAACTGATAAATTGGACTTACTCTATCTCACCCGACGTTTCTAGCATCTCAATGAGACGGCGCCGCAGCGCATCAATATAGTGTGCTCTTTGAATCACTGTAACAGGTCGGATCAAATCCGCCTATGCCGAACTGCCGATCGTATATAAAGACTGTAGTACTCGTAGATACGAATCCCCCTAATAATAGTTTTACTTGAAACCAGCGCTATCCCTATCATTCGAGTGACTCCTCGTGTAACCGACAGGTTACAATTACGACCACGATCATTTTCGAAAACAGCTGAAAATAGTTCAAGGCTTCGGAGTCCATATTCTATCTGTTGAGCTTCAGCTAACTACCTGGGATGGGACATCCCATAGTCCAGACTCGTTGGTCAACCGAGTCATTTCGGACGATAAGTGAAGCTAGTGAAGACTCAATCGGCCGATTCGTCGTCAATATCTTTATGCAATTTCGGCCATAGGTATCGGCCGACCACGGATACTCTACTATCGTATAAAAGGTTGCTGCAAGAATCAAAATAAACATCTGCTCTTCGTCGTAGTTTCAAAGTTTGAGCATCGGCATCCGTTCTGGTACGCCAAGTGACTCCATACTACAACAATTCCACCCCGCAACTAGTATATACGATACGATGACCTCAAATTCCGCTCAAGAACCCACATCGTCCGTTCCCGATTCTTCAGGGTGGTCTGCAGCTTTATACAACAAAAACGCAAATTTTGTGTACTCCCCCGCCTACACAACCCCCGTCCTCGAGCTCTTAGCGGCGAAACCGGGCGAACGGATCATGGATTTCGGATGTGGAAGTGGAGAGGTCACTGTAGTGATTGAGAAGATCGTGAAAGGGAAGGAGGGAGGATACATTGCGGCAGTAGACTTTAGTGAGAGCATGGTTCGTATCAAACTTAATCTGGCTGCTCTGGGGGTATGTTTCCTGAACTAACCACGATCCAATTATACAGGTTGAGAAGGCCAAAACACAAGGACTACCTGAAGCATTCGTTTGTGACATCCAAGACTTGGCATTCCCTCCTTCGAGTGTATATAGTGGTCCTCGAGAGGAATTCGATGCGGTGTTCACTAATGCAACATTGCATTGGTGTAAGCGTAACCCTTCCGGAGTGATACGGTCTGCAAAGAGGATTCTCAAGAAAAAAGGAAGGTTCGTTGGTGAAATGGGAGGGTTCCTGAACTGTATCGGTACTACCTTGATTGATTGAGCGAGTGGAACATACATACTGACCGATGTTCTCAATTTCAGGGATTCGCACAGCGTTGAAAACAGTGCTCAAGTCAAAAGGACATGATGGTTTCGAGCGCGACCCGTGGTTTTTCCCATCTCCAGAAGAATATAGTATGGTTAGCATTGTCATATACCCATCCTACTTCTTATGTTCCCTATTTATTCACATTTGTTCTGTTTGTCCAGTTACTTAAAGCGGAGGGCTTTGATGTAACGCACATCTCTCTTACGCCTCGGCTCACACCACTAGAAACAGGCCTGTACGGCTGGCTGAACACATTCGCGAGAGGCTCCTGGTTAAAGGATTTGACTGAGCAAGAAGCTGATGAGATAATGAAGGAGGTCGAAGAGATGTGTCGCGTTGATTGTCAGGATGGAAATGGAAATTGGGCGATGGTTTATGTTAGATTGAGGTTTGTTGCAGTTCTGGATGGGTGAGTTATTTTCCGTCGTACAGGTGGATACAAATATTAGAGAAGTCTGTCGATGTAATAGTTGTCCTTCCTGGTGATCTTCTGAGTTTTCAGTTGGATGTTTCGTCGGGGCACCGGTTGAGCCTGAGTTCTCACAGTGCTCTGCTTGCAGCCTTGCAGTCGCTTTCGGCGATGAACCTAGAACGTGAAACACGAGTAAAATAAAAAGATGAAAAAGGCGGGTATTTCCACCCTATGCAACAACGTAAAACCTTCATCCGCCTGGCGCTTTGACCCTGTCACAAAAGCATCTTGTCGTTCAGCCAGAAGCAGATCAGCTTGAGGTAGTTTGCAAAACCTGTTCATCTGGTAAGTTTACTTCCGTATAGAACGCCAACAATAACTATATGTTGAAATACTTACACGGAAATATAAACCTGGCATGAGATTAAAAAAGTGGTCATCATACTCGTCAAGCGTGATGGCGTGAATGGAAATTTGAGCAAGTAGAGGTTTATACACGAAGGAGAAATCTTCCCTTTTGAACCCAATTCTCGGCAGCGACAGCTTCTTTGAGTCGCTGAAGATCTGCATGCAGCGCGGGGGTCGAGCGATGCCTGGACAGATCATGATTATTTAACGCCGATGGGAATAGCATAGACAAGAACACACAATCTCCCTCTTCTTCCCATTCTTCACCACCGTCTATCCATATCAGGTATAAAATTAAACATTGAGCAGACTTTACCTGATTTTCTCCTCCTTAAACTCAACCAATAAGCATGTTTCATTTCCTCCTAGACCCGGTTGTGCTGCCAGGTACTCGCATAGATCGACTCGAAAGCTGGTGACTTTCTACGCTAAGGCAGTTAGCGCGATCTGTGGTTCTTCCTATAGAGATTTTCCCTAGAAAAGCACTGCCGTTCATCCGCTGTTTGTGTCCGGCGCGACTTACGCCTCGATTCACACCGCTAGAAGCGGAGGAGTACGGCTGATAAGCAGGGTCTTTAATCGAGGTACTTGGCGGAACAAGAAGCAGAGAAGATAATGAGGAAGGCTGAGAAGAGGTGTCGCATAGAATGTTAGATTGCAATAATATACGTGAGGTTGGGAATTGTGGTGTTCTGGATGATACAAATATTGAGGTAGAAAATGTGAGATACAAAGAGTCTCACGAATCACGATGCGTACCATGATGGCGTGGGAGAATGAAACCAACCTCATCATACTTCCACCGCTTGCGCTCGTCGTTGGTTGAGTCCACGACGCGTTTTTGGCGCGCATTCTGGTGAGTAGCAGGTCTTTTGTGTGCCGAAATTAATATGAACTCGGAAAACCTTCTAATAGCTTAGAAATTCGAGAATTCGATGAGCAGATAGCCTCGGGTTCTTGAACCAATAATATCATTAGTTTCGACATCGTTCTCCAGCCTTTCGTCATCACAGTGTTTTCGACCTTCATATTAATTGGCTAAAGCGAGGCTTTATCCCAAAATCTTCTCTTCTTCCAGTACTATCAACTTCGTTTGCCACGAATTAGCCTATACCTTCAATGTCGACCATAGGAAATAATCGTAGTACGACAAGCTCAACGACCAATCGCCGGTCGATGTCATCTATTCCAATGCCAAACGTGCAGGCATCGCTGTCGTCTAATGCGAACTTGGCGAAAAGTACCTCTGCACGAAGAATTTCGACACCTGGAGGACAAGGAAAGCGTGCCGCTAATGACATATCATCTAACTCCAATTCCTTATCCACTTCCAACTCGACCCCCATATCCAACAAATTGACCACAAATAACCTCAGCAGCCTCAGTAGCTCAGTGCCAAGGCCGCGGGCAGCGCCATCGATCGTTTCTAGTCGAAGATCTGTAGCTGGTTCCCGTCCCAAAGCCGCTCAAGAAAGACCGCAATCATTGTACGCTAAACCGACACAGACTGAAACTCCTACCCCGGTGGTCTTGTCCAACGACATATCGACGCATTCGACTTCCACCATGACGCCCACCAAGCCTCGACCACGCGTGACCTCCGCCGTATCGAGCTTGGTAGCTACACCTACGTCGTCGCGTACTCGGGTGTTGTCGACGCCAGGGACCCCCAGCTCCGTTGCTAAAGCATTAAAGGCAACTTCAGCATCTCCTAGTATCAGTCTCACGTCACCTTCACCTATGCCTACTCCTGCACGTCCTTCTGCTTCTACCACATCTCCTTCTGTCTCCGCTTCACAAAGGACACCTCAGCGCTCAACGAGCTCCCGGATGTCATTACAGGGAACTCCTACATCAGCCCACAAAAAATCCCTAGCCAGATCCCCGTCGGACTCTGTTCAGATTGTGGTCAAAGCCAAAACCTCCCCACAGCATCATCACAGTACATCCTCGCATTCTTCTGCAGGACTTTTCTCTCCAGAAAACTCCGTACCTTCGGTCCCAGTAGGCCCTGCCTCCAATGTTCCGTCAATGTGGACTGCTGGCGAAGATTCGTTTGACGGTGATTTCTCGATGGATCTGGACATGATTACCGAAGAAAACTCGGACACGCTGCTCGGCGGCGACTCTGAACTCGTGCCGCTTCTCAATGAAATTAATACTCTTCATAACCGAAAACTTACGTCGTACAAACGTCTCTTGGAACGTGCACAACACAGTAGTGCAGCCCAGCTACACGCTCTGCAAGCTGAAGTGCGGATGCTTAGGGAGCAGCTACAGAACGGAGGTGGGGGCGGGAGGACTGGAAATCGAGGACTGCTCATTGGAAACGGTCAAGATGAACTTGACGGCCTACTTGACGGGGGCGGATACTTGTGTAGTAATTGTGGAGGTCCAGGTGGTAAAGGCAAAAGAAGATATTGGGCTGGATGGAGGGGGTTTGAATCCGACAATGAGGAGGATGACTTCGACGACGGGGATGGGGGTGAATTAGTTGCGGCACTCCGTGGACTGGGCCGCGACACTTCCGGAAAGTACATATTTGACGAGCAGCGGGTAAGGAAGGTTGTCAGAAGAATGGGGAGGGAAGCTCGAGGAAGATTAATTGGTATCATACTCGATGGTGAGTCATACCGTGACTCCTTCTACAGAAACAGATATTCACCGGGTCCATCAAGCTTCTCATCCAGGCGATGCCTCTCTCCAAATGCTCCTACTCCAAAAGTACCTCAAATCCACATATGATGTGCTTGGCAACCTCTCACCTCCTCTCGCTCTTCGCGTCCTTTTACACTTTCCTGTGACTGACGTTGTCCTCCGGCTGAGCCTTGTCTCAAAGAAATGGAACAAGATGATTCATCATTTCACGTTCTGGCGGTACCATTGTTACGACCTTACTCGCACAGATCCTGTGCCCATTCAAGCGCCGTTGCCTCCTCCTCGAGGACCCGGAGATGCAGGATGGTTCCCGCTATACAAAAGCTTGCACCATTTGCAGAAGAATCTCGCAGAAGGACTGTCTCAATCTATTCTCTTCCTTCATGGTCACACCAATCACGTCACCACTCTCACGCTAAGAGGAAGACGACTCATCAGCGGGAGTTATGATGAAAGTATACGATTTTGGGAATTGCCGGAACGAGGGGTTGGTGTGGGTATGTCGAGGGCGGCCATTGAGAATGATATTATTGACGGTAGCGGAGAGAGCGGGAAGGGAAAGAAGGGAGGAGAGCCAAAGACGGAAGGGGTGAAAGAGGCGCTGAAAGCAGCGGAGTGTAAGAAGGTATTGAAAGTGGGTAAGGTGGTTAGCTGCGTTGACTGGTTGATCGAGGAAGGTATGCCCATCTGCAGGATAATGTCAGAAGTCGATATCGAAATTGATCTTCTTGACAGAGGTTTTCGTCGTGGGCTTCCATGACGTCGGCAGGGTACATTTATTCTCTTCGCTCACTTACACTCCATTGCAACAGCTCGCTGGGCATCTGAATGGGATCCGAGCTGTTGCTTTGACTTCAAAGAATCTCGTTTCCGCTGGTAAGCAGCTTAGAGTTTGTGTTCGTATCCTCCTTTGATTGTATCTCCCCCACAGGTGCTGATAAAGCTCTCGTTTGTTGGGACTGGCGTGCTGGGACTAAGATCGTGCGGTTTGGACAGCAAACAACAGTCAATATTGGTGTTCAGTTGATAGCTGGTGCGACCAAAGAGGAAGGTGAGAGGGTAGTGAGTGTGACGATCGATGGAGTTGTTCGGGTGTTCAGTATCCGTGAGTTCAACTGCATTGTCGTGCTTGAAGATTGCTGATCTTCCTATTTTCCTACCGCTCTCTAGAACGAAGAGAAATGATTTCCCAGTTCAAGCTTTCCGAACTTGGTGGAACCGATCCTTTCTTGAATGCGAAACTGTTCAACGTCGGAGCCGCACCAAACAATATGCTCCAGTGGTTTGCAGCGAAAGGGTCTCAGATGACTGTGAGTACGCAATGTCAGGATCCTTTGCGAATCTCAATTTTCTTCTGTGTTCCCAGTGCGCCACAAAATCCGTCATCCTTCATCTGCAATGGCAGGAAGATTCCGAGAGTGCTCCTGGCATGGAAGTGAACGGAAATAATACCAATGGCAAATCAAAAGAGCCATCCCTGACGGTCAAATCACCCTTAACTCCCTCGGCTGCATCTCTTAAATCACCTACCCGTTCACCGTCAGTACTTTCTCTTGCATCCAGTACACATGCTGCGCAAAACCAAACACCCACCCGCTCTCGTACTTCCTCCTCATTCTCGCGCTCAACGTCTTCTTCCTCCATCACCGGAAGTGCATCCAGGCGCCCTTCACTTCTGGGCAGTATTTCTACAGGTCCGGGTGCAGCTGGTATCGGAGGCGGAGGTGGAAGACTTAGTGTTAGTGGACGACGTACACCATCGACTCCGTTGAGCCCTAACTCTAGGACAGTCACTCCGACGACGGCATCTTCACTGGGAAGTTCAATGATGTCTGCTGGTGGACTCGGTGCTAGTGTGGTTCGGTTTGGGCAGCGTGCGGCGATTCTTACGGCCCCGCCCAAGCTGGTAGCGTTGGTTGAAACCCCTGATGTTGCAGTTGGTGCAGTTGATCCGAGGAAGAAGAGGGTTGTGACGGCTACAAGATTTAGCTCTCGAGTCGGGGCCGATCGGCGGGTGAGTATATTTTTAGAACCTCATTTAACCGTGCTCATTTTACATCTGCATTCCTTTTTCTCAAAGATATTCATGTCCATCCACCAAGACAAACCCGGCAAAACTAAAAAGTCATCCAGAGCGAATGGTGATGCTGAGGATGATGACGACGACGATGGAGAAGACTCGGACTCCGATTTACACCATATTATCACCGGGACCAAGTTTACTGAATCAAGTACTGGCGAAAAGTACGTTCCGTACTCGGGTGTGGATATTGATACGAATTGTACACCCGTTACTGGAGCTTGGGCCGCGTTAGCTGATGCAGAGAGCATTCCCCGTTTGAATGGGAATGAGCCTGTGGGGAAAGTGAGAGGCTTAATTGGCTCGCTTCCACCCAAGTTCGGTGGGTTAGCAATGCCGGAGAAGAACCCGATGTCGATGCAGATGAGCCATGAGGAAGTGGTAGTAGGTTGTGCAGATGGGACTATATAGTGAGGTTTCTGGTTTTTCTCTGATGATTCTGTTCTTACTCGAGAGGGTGATAGTGTGATGAACTTTGTGGGGTATGAATATCAGAAACCTCGCATTGTCCGTTCGGAAGATGATGATGAGGGTCAGGCGAGTAATGAAGATGACGAAGAGGAGAGCGAGGACGAGGATCAGGATCAGATGTCGGATTGATGGGTGTTTGCAGTCAAACCTTGGAAGTTTGAGTTGAAGACGAATTTATTTTTGGTGATGGACATGTGTAATTATTTTGAAGGAAGATCCATAAGCCTTCACAAAAGTTACCTTACGCTCCTTTGTTTATTATGCATTAGTATAACTATAGATAATTTCTATGTTAACTACGGTCAGGTTACGGTGACACGAGAATATGCACGACTCCGATATCAAGATTGTATCAAGGAATCAAGGATTGAAGTGAACATTTGGTGTGGCAGTGCAGGTGATTCCATCACGACGAGGAGTTGACCCTGTCGAAGATACAACTTCTTCTACCAGCGTTATAGCCAGACCAACATGCCCTAGTATAAAACATCACTAGATATATTAGGATGTTCAAGACTCTGCTTACTCCCCTACGCGCGAGGTTTGACCTGTCTCCACGGTCTCCGACGACCCGGAATGCTCCTCCTCCTCCCGACGACGATGAGCTGGCACCGGAGGATTTCGCGAGGGATGTACTCATAGAACTAATGAGAAACTCTGTGGAAAATTTGAAGCAGGCGGACACAAGGAAGGGCAAAATAGAGGTGCGTTGAGTGAAGATACATTAGTTGTTTTTACCTAATTAGATGCTCAGGTATTGGCCGAAATCCAGAGAATATTGCTTCAGGAACCACAAACGAAAGAGGTCTTTCGTGAATTAGATGGCTTTTTGGTCCTTATTAGTGTCCTTTCGACGGTTCACCACTTGAATTTCGGTCCTGTTATCGAGCCAGAGGAGCAGGTCCTCGCAGACATGATTGAATGCACCCGACTTGTATTCTCTGTTGCCTCAGACGCCTTAGCCGACCACCCGCAGAACACAGAATATTTCAGAACATATGTCGGCTACGACTCACTGTCCAGTGCTCTAAACGGACTAGTCACCAATCCACAGACACTCAACGAAACTCTTGGCTTTCTCCTATCGTTTGCACTATCCGAGTTCACCGCGATTCCTGGACTGTTTTGTAGTTTTCGTGTTTGCACGAAACTGGATGATTTCGACGCGACTTTGGCCGAGTACGATGCTCAGCTTTCCACTGCGATCATTGGCCGTCCGGAAGCAATTTATCTACTTTGGAGCTTCATCTCTCCAAGGTCATACGCGACTCTCAAGCTTTTCGAAGTCCTCGCAGGCGCCAATCACCGCAATCGCGCGATATTGAGTGTTCCCGAGATTGTACAGCCATTGCTAGCGCATCTATCTACGGTTCAGGAAAAGAAGGAGAAGACAGTAACGCAGAAACTAGCTAAGAAACTGTTAGATATGGGTTCTTCGCCTATCATCGCAAGAGGGATGTTCCAGCGCGTTATCAAAGCAGACGGGACGCTTGACATGGACTTGTTAGAATTAATTAGAGCTGGGATGAAATCACGCTGGCTGGAACATTTCTCCTTTCGTGATTCCGCTGGAATGGTAGTGAGGCAGGAGGGTGCTAAAGCTTTACCGGTCACTGGGTTCACATTCATGGTGAGTATGTCAAGCATTTTTCGCGCTCTCTACTTGGACGTTACTAAAAGGCGCGCACCATATATAGATTTGGCTGTGGATTGAAAGACTTCCTGAACCGAATACTTCTCGTTTACTCTTCTCAGCCAGCCTTTCGGCATTGTCAGGAACTTCTGACTCTGAAGATCTAATATCCATCCGACTGCATCACGGCGGCCAGCTCGAATTGTTTTCTTCAGGGAGCAAACAATCCGTCGTATTCACCCAGGCGCGTATACTAAGAGCCAAATGGACGCACATCGCACTGGTACATTATCCTGGACGCGATCGGTATTCGAGTCCTAGTATACGTGTGTTCAGCTTCCCTTGCCTTGTCTATACAGTTTCTGACTATCCGTTCCCAGGTTTATTCATTGATGGTGTATTATCCGATACAATCAATTGGCAGTATCCGAAAAATTCATCATCAACATCTTCCATCGAGTACAGATTGGGTGATAATTCGAAAGGGGCTACTATAAGCTGGTGTTTTGCTTCTTGCTACATGATCGCCCTTCCACTTGGTACGCACACCGAACTCGGCCTGATCTGTTGCAATTGAAAGACTAACCAGTCGCACTATACAGCTGATGACATCCCACGATTCATTCACCATCTTGGTCCACGATACTTTGGTAGTTTCCAGGACACAAATTTAGCCAAATTTTTAACATATGAAGCCTCTACTTCCCTCAACATGTTCATCTCCAATATTCAGATTGCTGCTGCTGCATCGTCTCAATATCAGCCTCAACGCGGTCCCCTCCCTTCTCTCTCTTTACTATCTCCACCATCTTCTGCAGCTTTACTCTCACCTTCACCCCTTACGCCAGCTACACCAACTTCATCACTCTCCGTCAACCCCAAATCCCCTCTATCTCCGGGAATAATGATGTCCCACAGCCCGACTGGTCCTTCTTCAATTCTCAAAGCCGTGAAAGAAGGAATTGGGATTGGGTTACCGGAGTCTGCTATCATTTTCGCGCTCAGTCCGTTGAGCTGTGAGGAGTCAGGCTTCGCAGAGGGTGGGAGGATACCAGCGTTGGGGGGAGGTGGCCCCACTGGAGGAGGAGGCGCTGTTAGAGGAAATGGACAGAGGAGTGGTTTGATCAGCGGACATAGAAGTGCATATGGCAGTGGATATGGGAATGGGTTAGCAAGTGGGCAGGGTCAGCGAAGTGGGTATGGGAATGGACAGAAAAGCGCGCACGGGACTGGGAACGGAGAACCATCTAGTAAAGACTTCGTTGTGAACGGTGATGTCTTCGTGATGAAAGCCAATTGTTTTGACAATGCGCTTTGGAGGCTCGGAGGAGCAGCTGTCGCGTTGAGATTAGTTCAGGTTGCAAAGGTGTGTTTATGGGATTGGTTTCGGGTTATCAATATTTTCCACGAGTTTACCGATACATCTCATCTATTCCTGATAGACTCCCCATGAACTTTCTAGAGCACTTGGTGTGGTGACGGACGGGATGAAGAACAGTTGGCAGAATTCGGAAGATATAGAACGGTTACGTGCGTTTTGTGGTCCCGTGTAGTTCATTTGTCGCGTTTCATTCGACTGACGATCCCTATTTTTTCCACCAGGTGGCTATGACATCCTTGCGGATACACTTCGTTCCAAGGCAGATATAATCAACATGACCAGCTTTGAGACGATTTTCGAGTTTTTAGGTCTGAACTTCCGGTCTCCAGAGTATGTTCTTCCCATCTTCCGTCCTTCCTCAATCCTTGGCTTATACTGCTACAGCCAATCAACCATCGTCAACACCGTGGCTTATCGAGCTCTAGCACTTGATTTTGAACTATGGTCCCATACCCGAAAAGATATTCAACGTGTTCACTTGGAGCATTTTCTCACTCTCCTCGAATCAAGTCGATATAGACGGTTCAACGTCAAGCAGCAGTTCGCCAAAATCGGACTAGTACGAAGATTGCTTTTCGTGTTACAGACAGATTGGTACAGTGATGTCCATGGCCCGGATTTTGAGAATTCGGAGTCTAGTTTGCCCTTCCTGATGGACGCGCTGAAAGCTGGTGCAAAAGCGCTGTGGACGAAGGATGATGCAATTAAGCCTTTGGTGTCGTATTTAGCTGCTAATCTGCAGGAAGGTGAGTTGGATTTTGTATGCTCCATTGTTCATTTTGCTCAACTTTTGCTTCAGATGCCGTAGCCGGCTCTCCTCGTTCCATCATTTCACGGTTCGATTACAAAGACGGACGCGAAAAAGCTGAACACGTGCTCGTCATCCTAACCTCCTTACTATCCGATCCCGCGTGTTACACCAAATTTGTCTCCGCCCTGCCTATCACCCGTATCTGCCTCCTTCTACTCGGAGATAAACCTTCGGTACTCGTAGGAGCTCAGATCCTCACCATTATTGGGATTAGCATAAGCACCTCCATTTCTTTTGTACGCAAGTTTGAGTTGATTTCCGGTTGGAATGTGCTCAAGACAGTTCTACCAACCTGCTGGGGGCCCGAAGTTAATGCAGTGGCGTTCGATATTCTCTTGGGGAGGTTATCAACTAATGGCCAAAGGAGTGCTGAGCCTGCGGAATATGTTGTCACCTGTCCGCAAATGGTGCCTCCTATACTCTCCGCGTTGAAGGCGGGTCTGAGTATTGTCGCTAAAAACTGTGAAATGACAGAGGATGCGGATGGTATGGTTAATGCTATTAGGCGGCGGTTCAATTCTGACTAATAAAATATTATAGAGCGGAGCCAATACGGCTGGACTACAGAGTCTACAATGGAGGAGCTCACCGAAAGTCTTCTGAGCCTTCACGCCTCGAGTGGGACGTTCCGTCTAGTTTTCCAGTCTCAACAAAGCACCCAATTGTTCATAGCTGCTTACAAAGGGTTTGTGGATAAAATATCAAATGCATCACAGATAAATGCGAGAGCTATCCGGATACTGGAAAAAATGTCACATTTTGGACTTGCTTTAGCGCTAGATAATGCAGTGGCTGGTACTCAAAAGCGCGAGGTAGGCTGTTGCCGTTTGTAATATCGATCCTAGACTGATCGCCTCGTAGATCTTAGATATCTTACAATCGGCCGAGGGAGTGCTTAATCCCAGTGCCGAGAAGACCAACATCGATCCCAGCTTAGTCCAAGATACTCGTACTGTCCGACAACGGTTTGCCTCTGCTCGATTTAGCATGCAAGTAGGCGAACGTACTGTGATCAAAACCGTTAACAGAATGATTGAATGGCGTCAAACCATCCGTGTTTCCGAACGGAAGCGGTTGCGGAAGAACATCCTCGATCTGTGAGCTAGGCCTTCTAAACACGTCCCCAAGTAGTTCAAGTATCCTTCTTTTAGTCGGGAGAATCGTCGACAAGTGTCTCGTCTGTATGAATGGACGCTCATGCTGACTGCTGAGCGTGGGCTATGGGCTAGTCAAGAGCCTCGTTTGTGGCGGTTAGATGAAACTGAGGGTCCTCATAGGATCAGGTAATGTACAATCGAGTAACGAAAAGCGCCATCTGACCCTCTGTCATTAGGAAAAAGTTGGAGCCCGAAAGCAACAAATCTTTGAATGTTCGCGCCGAAGAATATCATCGCATCCGAGACGTTGTGGTTCCTGAAACCGATAATGGCTCTGTCGTTACTGTCGAAGTGCCACCATGGGCGGAAAGTTACGAAATTTCTTCAACGGATATGGAAGGTGAACATAGTCTCACTTGACTTTTCTTCCTTGGCTCAGATCTCGCTCAGATCGCCAATTGGCGGAAGAAATTTCAGAAGACAAGCATCGCAGGGTACGGCATGAACTAGAACCAGGAGATGTCATTGAATCTGTGGGCACTGTGGCAAGGGTTGCTGGAGTGGATTCTTCTCGTGAGTATATTTCCCCCCAGCTGAGGCAGGCTTACCGTAGTCCGCGCAGTCTCTAATAATTTTCTCTACAGCCGGGCTGCTTATTATAGGCCGGACGCATGTATACATGCTAGACGGGCTAATCGAGAGTGAGGATGGGGAGGTAATCGACGCTCACGATGCACCCAAATCTTTGTTCTTTGTACCTGGGAGTATTGTTGAACTTGATGGGCCGCAAAGAGCACAAAGATGGTATGGTTTTCAAACTTGGGTGTATGCAAGGTTAACGATCCTGGTTCGCAGGTCTCATGAACAAATTGCTACATTCAGCAACAAATCATTCCTGTTTCGGGACGTAGCGTTAGTAAGCTTTCAACATACGTTGTCACTGATTCTCACTTCCTCATAGACTTGAAATATACTTCAAAGATAGTCGTTCGTTGCTGGTTGTCTTTATTGATAAACAAAAGCGTTCGGAAATCGATCAGCGTCTGACCACCATTACAACGCGTGCTTCTGAGTCTGCCCATACCCCAGGATTATTACGAACGCCTCTATTTGGAATAGTCAGTGCCCGAGTTCTATCAGGTTTATGGACAGATGAGCTTTCTACCGCTCAACGCAAATGGCAAGCCCGAGAAATAAGCAATGTGAGACGGCCGTTGCTCCATGAAATATCAGATCTAATCCTGAGCATTGTATGAAAGTTCACATATCTTTGCGTTCTGAATCAAATTTCGGGAAGAACGCCTAGCGATGCGACGCAGTACCCCGTCTTTCGTGAGTTTGATATCCAATTGGTGCAAAACGCATACTCATGATCTCTTCGATAGCATGGGTGTTACAAGATTATACCTCGTCTACTCTGGACTTATCAAATCCAGAGACCTTCAGAGAGTACGCCTAATTTCTACTATATGGTTGCACCTTTTCTGATTAGTTGTCCTTAGCCTCACGAAACCAATGGGAGCACAAACCGCACCTCGTCGGGAGGCTGCCGAAACCCGCTATAGTAATCTAGAGAGCGTGGGCGAGAAACCGTTCCACTACGGTACACATTTCAGCTCTTCTATGATTGTTTGCCACTTCCTCATACGGATGTCACCATTCACCAACATGTTCAAGACTCTACAAGGTGGAGATTGGGACCTTCCAGATCGTCTCTTCAGGTGGGATGCCTCCTCTTCCTAGTGTTCCCTCAATAACAGGATCAAATAGTGACATAGCCCGTGCATACGAGTCTGCGGCTCGCGACGTTCGAGGTGATGTTCGAGAACTCATTCCCGAATTCTTCAACTGTCCTGAGTAAGAACATTATATCTCCTCTTCCGGCCACTGTTGAGCCTACTCTTAGGTTTCTTGAGAATTCCTCCAACCTTGATTTCGGAGTCCAGCAGAATACTGGCGAGCGAATACATGACGTGAAATTGCCACCTTGGGCAAAGCAAGATCCCTTGCTGTTCATCATCATGAATCGTAAAGTACGTACGAACAAATTACTTGTTCACTCTTATTGTGACCATTTCCTGCGCAGGCTTTGGAAAGCCCCTACGTCAGCGAGAACCTACCTGCATGGATTGACCTGATCTGGGGACACAATCAGCGAGACCCAGCTGCTTTGAACGTTTTCCACCCTCTTTCATATGAAGGATCTATTGGTACGCGCGAGTCCAGTCTTCTTGTCACGCTTTTGACTTTCGTAACAGACCTTGACTCGATCACGGATGAATTGGAACGCGAAGCCACTGTTGGCATTATCCATAATTGTAAGGGCTGAAATAACTGATTCCTACTATTCACAACACCCTACTAATGCTGCGCCGCACGTAGTCGGACAAACGCCCCGGAAGCTCTTCACGACTCCACATCCTAATCGTTACAATCATGGTCTTCCCACCTTACCTATTGGGACTCTTCATGGTATCGAAGAAGATGCACATCTTCTCGTGCAGGGCAGCAGATGTTTCAAAGGTTAGTTCATTGACTAAACGGATTATGCGTCCTCACACATGGTTGCTTCCAGACTTGGGTCCCAACGTTCCAGTCACCAGCCTGGTCTTGGACATGATAGGGGAAAAGATCCTACCTTGTCCGGCAGGAGTTTTATCCGTCCCATCACATCCGCACGAACAAATTGAGTGGGCCACATCTCATACCGGAGCTAAAGAAGTCCGGGTAGTAGTAGACCATAAAGTCGTACAAGTCATCGAAGGCTCTTTCTGCTCTTGCGCTGCATTCGCAGATTCGAACAATCTGGTTACAGGGTCAAGCGACTATACGGTCAGGCTTTGGACAATGTCACGCGCAGGCGGCCACCTCCCTTTGAATGTCTCCCAGGCACATATCATGCGGGTTCATACGGATGAGGTCGTCAGTGTCGCAGCGTGTCGGGCGTGGTCTGTGATTGTGAGCGGGTCGAGAGATGGAAGTGCGGCGTTGTGGGATCTTAATCGGGCGGTCTACGTTCAGTCCATTTGGCATGGAGAAGGTGGAGAGATGTCTACGGTCTCATTGATTGATATCAATGAAAGCACGGTACGTCATCGTGTATAATGTTTCCTCTCAATCTTCTCTTACTTTCATGAAGGGGTATATTGCGACTTGTTCGCGGTTAAAATTATGCCTGCACACCATAAATGCTCGTCCTATCGCGGTGTTGGATTTGACGACACTGCCCAACTACAACGTTCTACAACCAACCATAACCGCGCTTGCTTTCCACGAACGGGAATACTCACACCTAGGTGTCTTAGCTACAGGTGGCTCAGACGGTACCATTACGCTAAGAACATGGAGTGCCGATAACACCCCGGAGGGTGAAAAAGCTCGTTGGGAGTTTGTAACATTACGCTTAATGAAAGTACGGGCACCTGTAGGCAGAGGTATTTCACCTTTCCCTGCAGTGACTGCGTTGAAATTCCTAGGGTGTGTGATATTCGACCGTTTTACTCCTGACCCTACGTTTATCCCTTTCGCCCCTTTCGCAGTGAAAGTCTGTGCCATGGTGAAGATACAGGTAAATCGTTCGTGTGGAGTCTGCCTGACTAGTCACTATATATTGTTTATGTATTTATCCTGCTGTGTGTGTATTCATTCGCGCTTTCAATATGGAAACCAATACCATGTAGTAACAATCGGTACGATGTACGGAAGATTGGGTTGCTGCTAGCGGAGCCATTTCCCAATCACTTCGGATAACCAGACTCCATGCCTACCTCTCCAAAAATGCGAGGCCCCGGAACGACAGAGCAAAGTCAATCCTCGCTGGCCCTGCTCTACAAGACCAGACTCTGAGTTGTGTCCCGATGTTTGGCTTTGTTTCAGAGACCCATCCTTCCTCAACTCTGCAAGCTCCTTCACCCAACTCTCATAGCTTTTCGCACTAGTGAATTCATCCTGGTTACCGTAGATGATAAGTACGTTTGAATCTTGACTACGAATGAGCTCTTGGAGTTTTGAAGCATAGGTGGAAGAGCGGAATAGAGTGAGATAGCTGCGGGGTCCAAGCGGATAAGAAATAAGGATGTGGGAGGTCTTGATCTGTGTGTTCTGCATTAAAGGATGGAGGGAAGCGATTAAAGACCCATAAGAGTAGCCCTATACAGAAGACAAAGTAGTAGTAGCTAAAGGCCACTGTGAAATGGAGGGAATTCACGTACTATAATCGTCACTGTTATATCCGCCGCATTCGACGTTGCATGACTCTGGACATAGCGTAGCGACCAATCCACCACAGCTTCCAAATCTTTTCCCTCCGTAAAGCCAGTGAACGATGGCCACCCAGAAGATCCGCCTACCCCTCGAGAATTGTATCTAAATACATGATAATCTTTAATCTGTAAGGATTCCGTTATAATATCCAACACACTGCAAGACCAATGAGGAAAATGTTTAAGTAACATTTAGTGATATTCACTCAACGGGTCATTCATATTTCCACCTAACCAGGACCAAGGATGTAGACAGACCGCAATCTTGACACATTCTTCGGTGGATCGTTGGATGGTGGGAGGAAGATATTCACCCTTGAGTGTTATACCACTGACATCTATGTCAAGGAGCATGACGGTTCGACAGCGTTATCCGGCCCGCCTGATCAAGGCTGCCCTTTTTGGGTATTTCGTCACATACGGGTCGTGGCAAGAGTCAAAGCGTGTTCTACTGATCATGACCGAACGACCGTAAGAATTGTTTAGGTTTGTTTAGGGTATACACAAAATTCCGTAATATATCATATCCTTGGATAAATATATCAGAATATATCCTCACTCTCTCAGCTGAGTGTTGGGCGTCCTGGACTTCGAGTCCCTACCCCACTTTGGGCAGCCTAGTAGTAGATGTAAAAGTTCGCCTCCGACGGTTCCTTTGCCACCCTCTAATTGGTAATCCGATATACTATAAATCCTTGCTTATTCGCAGTAACATATATGATAGGACTTGTATTCGACAAAGAGTAAACTTGTACGGAGTCGGACGAGGGCGAAGGAGAGGAGTGAGGCGCAGAAGGTTAGGGATGGGTATTTGGCGGGGCAGCCACAACCTCTACCACAAACTCAAGGACAACCGCAGGGTAGAAGAGATTCCAGACAAGTCGTTGATTTGATTTAAATAATCACTTCATCACAGTCCGAACGGAGAGGAACAGTGAATTCAAGACAACAAATATCATTTAACAGCGAAAGAAAGACGCATGATGGTCTTCGGAAGAACCTATCAGCGGCGAAATGAAAGTACAAATGTTATATACTTATATTACAGTTTACATCTTCTCATCATACTTACCTAGGGTATTAGACCCGAATCGTTGCCACAAGCTTGTCCACGAGGGTCTGAAGACGATCAGCTTCGTGTTTCGCCAACGTCGAGTTTTTATCAAGCGTGATAGATTCAGTTAGAGCAGGTAATGTGGTAGCCCCGTATCCTATGAGCAGGTTGTTTAAGTATCTGTTACGACGAAAACAAACGCAAAGAGACACCAACCCAACCATCGTCCTGGTGCAACGCCAAGATGTTTATACCACTCTCTGGAGGGAAGACCATCCTCGGAGATAAAACCTCGTTCGAATGCGACAAGCTTCTGGTTAACGGTACGAATCCGCTTCATCGCCTTCAAGATTTTCGGTAAAGGAAAATGGGGTCGACCAGCAGACTTTCCGCACGTGTGCTCGCCACTGGAAGGAAGTGGCGGCGGGAGCTCCACACCAAAGTAGAGGGCAAGACCTTGCATAATTTCGCGGCGTTCCTGCCACTGCTCTCGCCTCTCAGAAATGGGATGGTACAGATCGCGTGCCACTTCCCTGCCAGAACTGACGATCTTCGGACCTTGAGATACATCCTCTTCGCGGCGGGGGGGTTGATGGGGTTCTTCGGAGTGATGATGAGAAGGACACTCCTTGCCAAAAACTTTCTTCAACATCTTGCAATAAGTCTTCCGAGCTTTTCTACGTAGTTTTCGAATTTTGTGGCCCTTTTTGTGCCATTTCTTGAGGATTTTCCTCAGCTCGCGTTCAGCAACAAATTTCTCATAGTCGAGCGCCTGACTCGCGGCTTGGAGGGAATGAACCGAGTTGCGTAAGGGTGATAAATCAACCTCGATCTTTGTGGATTGAGCAAGTGCAAGTGCTTTGACTCTGTAGATGGATTAACAGGACGAAGTAGCACAAAGGTGATGAGACCAACTTGTCCAAATAACTTTCGAGCTCATATGCGTAGTGCGTGGTGTTCAGTGGAAGAACAACGGATCCAGCTAGGCGGAGGGCGACGAGCCCGAGATGTTTAGCGACAGCAACCTAAAAAAAGATGCAAGTATGAAGAGCTGTTGAAAACAGATCGAGAGGCAACCACAAACATGACGGTGGAAACCTGGATCAGCGTACGTCTCCTCCCAAAGCTCGGAATCGTACACAGAATGATAATGATACACTGCATCATTCGGAGTTTGACTAAAGCCGTGGTTCATGCTTGCAACCTATGCATAAACATTTACAGAAAGTCGCAATCGTTACGTCAAATAACATCAATGATAGGCATTTACGCACCCCGATTCTCTGCAAGAAGATGGTGTAATCACTACCAGAACCAAGTACTCCAACTCCAAGCTCATCCTGAGCATTGATTGACGCTTCGTAAACAGCGACAGCCTCAGAATCTAGTACGGCGTTACCATCCTCCCTAGCACCAAAGTACTTCCCTGAATCTTGAGTCGCGTCCCAAAGGGTCTTGTTTTCTTCAGTGGGGTGAGGAACATCTAGGGCGGCGCTATAGGTAAGGTGTGCAAGAGAAGGCGAGGCTTGGACATGGAAGCGAGAACCGCTAGCAGAACCATCTACGTTTCCGAAATTAGCGTGGAATTGTGGTCAAAACGATAAGGCAACTGACCAAGGTTAAGATATGCAACGACATATTTATCAACGAACTCGGAAAAGTCTTCGCCCCACTCGGTACTCCCGATGAGACCGTACTATGGAAATGATCAGCAATGAGTGAAAATTTATTTCAGCACTCAGATATACCTCTTCGGCGTCCCAGCTAGCAATCAGAATGGTCCGTAAGGGCTTCCATCCCTTCTTCATAAGTGCACCAAAGCCCCGAATAGTCTCGTGAATAGAAGCTGTTCCACTGGTGGGATCAGCGGCGCCCATAACCTACTTGTCGTGAGACTAAGAAAAGCGCAGCAGAAGCTGTACGAACCCAGGCTTCGGAAAAACGATTCCTGAGAATGAATTTCATTGAATCACGATTCAGATAACGTACCATCCCGGTGGTTCCCAAGCATCACGACTTCATCTTTGATATATCCCGGTATAATCGCCATAGTGTTCCAGATGGGCATGACCCTCTCATCAACTAATTGATATTTAGACCAACTCAGCACTACAGAAAGAAAATCCAAATTACCTTGATTGTTCAGCCTAACAGTGCCATTCCAGCCATCCTTCGCGAGTTTCAAAAGTTTCTCTCCATTTTCCTGGGAAATTGGAAGACTCGGAATGTGAGGTTTGTTGAGACCTTCTGTACGAGTGGCATTTTCGTAGGCTGGAGTTCCTGGTGTGGTCGGGTCTCCGGGATACATGGATAGAAATTGTACACTTCCTCGCTGGACGGCCTTAGGATTGCGCGCAGGTCCATGAGGGTATCTAAAATCAGCAATTTAGTGCGTCAAATGTAAGTATGAAGATAGAAGTCTTGACTTACGGCTTGTAGCCGTTCTGAACAGTGACAGTACCATCATCCCGCACATCGCTGTAGATAAGCACCCCAGCTGCACCTAATTCTTGCGCCCTTTGTACCTAGAAACAGTCAACAACAGCAATCGCAATCCAGAGATATGAGGATAACATTCCCCTCCTCACCTTGATTCCTCGGAAATTACCTCCGTACCGAGTAAGCACAATGGCGCCAGTGAAGTTGACACCTAGATAGACAAGGTTGGGTGACATATCATCGGCTTTCCCAATCCGACTAACCTTGTGCGACGAGAGCATCGTAATCCTAATAGTGGTTTCAGGATTAAAAGCTTATGTATACTTAGATAAATAACAAACCTCAATCAGTCCGTAATTTGCATAAATCAGCTAAGAAACATTGGTCAATGTTAGAACAGATTGTAGGAGTTCGCATAGGATACCCTGCCAGTAACGTCAGCTCCTTTGCTGAGACCATGGAACGTTGGAACTGAATTGCTGAATTTGTGTGCTTCGGGATCCTCTTCTTCAGCGTGTTCTTCCAAGTCTGCCTCCCATAAAACTTTACCATCCGCATCCAGCGTCTGAAGACTTCTCTCCAAAGGTGTATTCATTAGGGGATAGTACGTGTCGATCCAGGCATAAGGGACAGGGGCCTTGGGAATCATCAGAGTTGCATGGCGAGAGTGAATCGAACCGGCGGGAAAGATCGGAGGTTCCGAGGATGCTTTGATTCCAAGTTCGCTTTGAAGAAAAGTAAGGAAATCTTTGGCCGTCTGCAAATCACGATCGGACCCCGCACGATGAGGTGCAGCAGTATAATCACGAGAGGCTTGAATGCAGCTCTCCTCATTTGGAACTTCTCTTGAGACAGACATACATTGAACAAACAGTTGAGCCAAAAGACGATGTCGCTCACAAAAAGTATTTCTCTGCCGCTCTACCCGTCAATGGTCTCTCAAAAGGACCTTTCCTATTGAAGAAGGAACGTTGACTCATGTTTTGCGCTGTCTTAATTGCGACAAGCAGACCATATAATATTGCGAAGCATGCGAGAGAACGATGTAAAACGGTTCGACGACGGCTATGGGGTGCCGCTGCGGTGGCAGGATTGGGTATACCATCTTTCTTGGTATGCATACTACCAATGATAGGTAGTTTTTCGTTTGGCATGGTGGTTGTAGAAAAAGCTAAGCTGAGCTTACTATGTGACTTTGCCTCCACATTTGGAGCAAGATTGAAAAGCGCAGTCTGAGCTCTGGATCTAAGTAACCGGAGTAACCGGAAAGCTAGATCGATAATAATTACCACGCCGAAAATTCAAACGATGCTGAAGGTTTTTCAATTCCAGCTAGTTCCAGCTGCAGCATCCTCTGCTTTATGGCGTAAATGATGATGAAGACAGTCCAACAACGACAGTATTCCCATGTATATATCTTCAATCTCTGAGTCGCCTGTGGAGATTCGATTCCAACGTGTAGTGCGCTATGCCTTATACTCGTGCTGCATTTGTTTCCCTCGATGAACTTGAAGTCCTTGTCGCATCGCTTCAATGCCACAAGTCGCAGGAAGTTAGTTCTTCACAATTTCGAGATACTTGTCGGTAACCTTCTGAGTTCTCGGAATCCTTGGGAGTGTGAGAGCTAGAACACTGCTATAACACGCGATGGACGAGCCATGAACTGGAGGCTCCCTGCGTTGTATATCTCACCACGAAGATCGAATACTAGCACGAATATATTTTGTATGACACCAGTAACGGAAACCAGGAGTGCTGTCACCTCGAGGGAGCTCTGACTAGTAAATGCAGGTACCAGTAGGCCGTATGCAAAGTTCTTAGAAATGCAAAATTACATCCACGACGCCGACACGGGCCTACGAAGAGCTGTAAGTAACAAGAAGTAACATTTGAATTACCGGGACTTCATTGGTGGGTTTAGCTAGATTTTAAGCCCCTCAACTGCAGGGACTTCGACTCTAAATTTACATGCCGACTACCTTGGTCTGGAACACAATTGTTTCCAGGATTTAGAACGCTCAAAACATTGAAATGCGTTCTTCGTTCTTCTACCTCCAAGCTCCAGGATATCCGATTCAGCGAAGGCTTGAAGGTTTCACATATATGTCAATTCTAATGAAATCGATTACACCTACCGAGTCAATAAGAGCAACATTTGCTTCACAGTGGCACCATAGTGTTCGAGTGACATGGGAGTTCTGTCGGAATGCCATTTAATGAACAATTCCTCAGCATGTAGTTCCAGGCTACATCTGGGTTTTATCAACTACGTCGTTGGCTCATCGCACCACTATCGGTCCATCATGACGACTATCTGCGCCTCATGCATTTCATTTAGACCCCTCTCGCAATTCTTACCATGATTTTCACGATAAATTCTAATCTTCCATCTTCCGGAAAGTCCTATCATTAAAGAGTTGTCCTTTTAGCGATAGCAGTTTGTGTGTATCGGCGTATCTAGATATTTCCGCCTCCATGGTTTGTAGCAGTATGCAAACTTGAAGCTGCTTGATGATATGTTGGGAGCGTACGCGTAAAATTTGGAGATCTCTTTGCCTGTTAGCCGACCCTTGGTGAAACAAGACAAGAAGAAATGCTGGTGCACGATGCCATACACCATAAGTATCCCTTAGGACCCTGGTCGTTATTTTCAGTCGGAAACAAAGAAGCGATAAGCCTCGAACATTGTTGGCGCTTCATTGTCAATCAAGATCGGAAGGTGATCTGTTCATGGAGGAAGCTTGTAGGTCATAAAGGGTCCAAAGGTGCGAGATCAACGAGAGAAGTGGAACCAGGAAGACCAAAACGTGTCGACGACAGCAAACGAGCTCAATTTACAATCTCTCGATCGCGTTCGTATCTTAACAGTTCCGCGGAACCAAACGCGACGCGATCGAAGTGAGAATCGCTTGTAAAATAGCTTTGCAAGCATCTCCAAGAGCTGGGCATTGAACATAAGACTCTTGTTTTCGCGAAGTTTTGTGGAGAGAAAACCAGCCCTAGCGCACTGTGGAGTCCAGGGGTAATAATATCTAACTAATATTTTGCTCGAACGTGTCTGTGTTCCGTCCGTTAGTAGTTGGAGCAGGGACTGCGTATGCAGCCGACAATAACAATAGAAACTGGGGAAGGGCAAAGAACGTACGCCTCTCAATAAATTATCGCATTGAATATGAAGGTTCAATAAAAGGGGATGCCTCTTCCTTTCGGTGCGAGCCTGAGAGATATTTCAGCATGAATGAGAAGGGCAGCGCAAGAAAACATAGCCATTGGGACCTTTGTAAGCGGGATAACGCAACGGGAATGACTTTGTCCTTCTGATGACTTTGAATGAGTCCTGTAAGACTTAAAAGGCATCTATCTTGAGCACACTGCTTTCGGGAAGAAAGAATAGGCACTCCGAGCGACTGAACTGACTACGAATTGATGCTCTTCCCTTTGATGATTGAAGATAACCCTACGCCCAGATGAGTTTTTAGTCCGGATCCAGCAAAAGTCTAACGGGTTGCTGGAGCAAAGCTGAGTTCTTGCTCAATGGCTGTTGAAAATGAGGCCCAGATCATCGAGATTTAGAGCCGAGCTCAAATGAAAGCGGAGACAGATGAAGGAGGAAACCAAGAGCCAGTGGGTTCAAAAAGCACACGGTGCCTTTTTCGAAATTAGTAATCAGCGCTGTACGTTTCGGCAGCGCATCAGTTCCGGCATTCGTTTCTTTCTATTTAATCATCATCTGCAGTAGGGCTTAGGGCAAATTGCCAACCTTTTTCTTCATTACCTTCACCTCCTCTGAGGCTTTTCTATGCTATTACTATGCTAACACTTCTTCCAGGCTCGTATTGCGACGTATGCGCAGAGGAATTCTCTTCACAGTGCCTTCCTCACACAATACCTTGTGGTGAGTCAAATTTTCAAAAATTTTACCGCGATCTGAAAGAAAAAAAACATCGCTGACGATCCCCCACAAAGGCCATGTATTGTGTGCAAGCTGTTGCAATAGTATAGTGGAAAAGACCTCCCCGCGACTCTCACCTGTCTGTCCTTTTTGTCGAGAACAATTTACAATCGACGCTGTTCGTTTAATTCGTACGGACTTTTCATCGAGTGGATGGAACACACCACGACGCCTCCCTAAATCTCTTGACATGTCTCCGAACGACTCTGTAGCTGATTTATGGTCCAGGAGAGAGGAGAAGTTGTTATTTTCTGAGGGTGCTTCCTCGCGTACGCGAGACGAAGCTCGACGTTTGGAAGACAAAGTCGCCAAGGTCGCAGCTAAAAAATGCTCAGTTGAAGAGGTTACCTCCCTTCAACAGGAGCTCGAGCAATGGCTGAAGTCCGCCTCCAAGTTGGACGATCAGGTAGTTTTTGACTATTTTTTGTCATCGCCGTATTGATCGCTTTCTCTCAGACATGTTCACTCTATCTCAGTGCCGCTTTATTACGAGCTATCCTGACGAACCATGTCGCCCATGCTGAGGCCAGCAAAATTGCCAAAAGTCTTGAGCAGAACCTCAAACTCAAATTGGAGGATTTTGAAAAGGCGAACAAAAATCTCGAGCTGGAACTTCATCGGTATGTAATCATCTTTCGTTTCTTGAGCGCTCTTTTTACTTTTCTTTCGTTGTCTCGTGCTCTTTTAGTCAAGTGAGTGGATGCCGTTATGTTTTTGTGGAATGATACAGTTGCTAACGTAAGCTTTTCCAGCGCCGAGAGTACAGTCAAAAAGTCCAGGAATGCGCATCGTTGAGGACTGAGGTTAGCCGTGTCAAAGCTTTGGCCAGCACGCTGGGCACGATCCCCAGTCCTCCTGCTGAACCTCGGCCACGAGCGATGTCACCTCCCCCTTCAGCAACACCATCATCCGCACCTTCACTCTTACGATATAATTCACTTCACGCTAGATCCACGTCAATGCATGCTTCACGACCATCCACGCCTGCTTATTCTGTACGATCCCATACGCCATCTTTACGATCCCAAACGCCTGCTCCGATGCGCCTACCAACGCCGTCGCCCCAACAAATACGATCTCAAACTCCTGCGCCACCAGTCCCGACTAGGCCTCGTCGCCTTTCACTGTCCTCCCCACCCAAAATGACCCGCTCTGTCTCAGAGGAGAAGCAAGAAATGCATGAACGCTGGATCCCCCCAAGGAACCCAGAAGATGACATTTCCTCGGTCAAACCTTTTCGGCACTCTCGTGCAGGGTCTGTGACTCCGAAGTCCCGTTTTGCACGATCCCCATCACCAAGTCGTTATTAATTGTTTACTACGACGCGGATCGTTTTTTTTTACTGTCTCGGATACCTATTATTTCACATCATAATATTTTCCCTGATGCTCTTTTCATCCTTTTCTCCTGTACAATTTCCCGGACTTTCGATACCTGGCCGTCATTCTCTGCTTCTGCAAACACCTGTATATATACTTTGATTTCTCGCTACCTCGTATATATTATACGGGTTGGTTAATCTTTGCTTCCCTTTTAATCGTCGTTCTCTTTCTTACCTCTGCGCTTTTACTTAAATTTTATAGAGAGCTTCAGCTCTCATTTCCCTTCTTGCAGGCAACTGTATGTCGCCTGTGTTTCTGTTGATCTTTCTCCTCCTCACACTTGCTTTGGTTTGCAGAGTCGCTGAATGGTCGGAACAGATCCTTCTGTAGCAATTACTTTTATTCTCTGATTTAACGGTATATATCTACATACTACACCTTTAGAACATGGAACCTTGCGTATATTCGGGTAATAGATTTCTTTGCCCTGCAAAATGCTGGACATAAATTTTCAGACAGCGGCAGGGCCTGCTACCAGGGCCCATGATACCATTTGTAAGTAAAATTCTCCTGCGAGAATAGGAAGACAGTATATAGATATATTGTCGACTACAGAGACTTGTAAAAATTGTACAATTAAATATTGATTAAAAAAGGTCAAAGAAACGAAAAGTTGGCCCTATAAGGCTATTTCACCTCTGGAAAGGTAGCGGGAATTAAGAGATTCCATGATATAGATGTAGAAGCTGAAAATAGTGGGGCCTCAAGAAGTAATATCCGTTTGTCTACGTTTTTAAGGTCTACAAGTTTAAAATATCTCTATTTATTGATTTACTTGGCCTTTCAGTTATGCGGGCATCTCTATCGGGGCTACATCTCCATAACTAGCTCGTATGCGTAGAATATCAGAACGTTGTAGGTTGGCTTCATTACAGAGGGATCGGAAAATAGAGTCTTCACGGTCGAACAAGTTTAGAACCGTATCGAATTCGGCGACTTGTCCAGCATCCATCACGATTATACGATCATAGTATGCTACATGAATCCGTCAGATAGGTATATACGCGGTAGGAAATTGGAAGTAGGGGTTTACCGATGGTATTCAAGCGATGAGCTATACAGAGAAGACTTGAGGTCGAAAACTCTGTCTGAATAGTTCTCTGTAATTTTCCATCTGTTTCCACATCCACACTGCTTGTGGCTTCATCCTTTACATGATCGAGAGTGTTAGTATGGAGATGTATGTGCTGAAAACTTTTACTGACGAGGATGATAATTCGACTTTTCTTGACAAGAGCTCTACATAGAGCTAAGAGTTGTTTTTCTCCTGCACTAAAATTGGAGCCTTCCGGACGTATTTAGAGGTCCTCAATGCAGAACCAATTCCAGCGGATTCTCACCTTCGTCGCCAACGGTGGCGTCCAAACTGAATTTTGCTTCAGCCACGGGATCCTTCGTTCCATCGCGCGGCAACAACCAAGCTCGTTGCAATGCGGAGATCAGCTCCGCATCCGTGCGAGTGCCCATTGGGTCCCTATCGAAATATTAAAACCGTGAGGAACATAGGATGTCATGTAATAGACCCTTACAAATTCTCGCGCAGTGTTCCAAGAAAAAGAACACTATCTTGAGGCACTAGAGCTAACTTCCCTCTTAGAACGTCCAAGCCAATTTCTCGGGTATTAAAACCATCGATCTCAATTTTCCCTCCCTCAAGTTCAACCATGCTAATGCATGATGTTAGTGGCGCACTGGATTGAGATCGGATAAGGCATCGTACCGGAGCAGCGCCTGTATAAGAGAACTTTTACCTATTGTCCATGTGAGTGATGTCGGTATTTCCAAAACACTGTCATCGTACCAGCCCCAGTTCTGCCGACTATGCCAATCTATACGCAGAATTAATATTGAGATCGTGGGGAAGTATTTCGCCAACACACCTTCTCTCCGGGCTGCACATTGAAAGAAACGCCATTCAACACGAGGGGAAGACCTTTTCGATAGGCCAGCTGAACATTGCTGAATTCGACGCGTCCCGCATGAGGCCATGATGGAGGCGGATCATGCGGCGTCACTGGGTCACCCTCGCTTGGTAATTCTGCATATACCAAGATACGTTCCACGGCATTCATATTCTACTTGGGTGTTAGGGTGGTTCAAAGCTGGAACTGGGGTGAATATTACCTGCTCGCTCAGAGCGTATTGGCTGACCATTTCCGCTATGAAAGCAGGCTCAATGGATCGAAAGGAGATAGAACACGACAAGATGCAACATACAGAATATCTGAGTTACTGCATCAAAAACAAGTTCAGGCAGGAGCTTGTCTGATAGAGTGAAATTAATGACTTACTGCTAAGCGTGTATGAAAGAACGACCCCAATCTTCGAAGGATTCACTGTTTCTCTGAATCCAGCGGCAAACAGGGCAATTCCCAAAATCAAAATATTTCCCAGAAAATCTAATCTTATAGATAGCCATCGCTGGATGGATATAGTCATATAATACGCCCGATTCTCCAAATCGAGGCCATTTTGCGCATTTAAAACCGATCGCGCCTGTGGCATCTGTTTAGATTGAGGGACATAGCGTTAGGGGGAGACACTTGCCTGTTCGCGATATGCACGAATAGTGGACAGACCAGTGAGAGTTTCTACAATGGAGTATCCCTGTCAACTGATGTCAGAAAATCAGAGACGAGTGCAGATTACCTGAGTAAGAACTATATAGTGCCGAACGCATCAACGAATCCAAACGTTTCGTTTCGACAGATGACCGTCGGTAATAAATGGAGATGAAATAGTAGAACACTGTCATGGGTGCAAAGATGATCCCTAAAAGAGGAAAAGTGTAGAAAACGAGTGCAACGGTGCCCAAGACAGAACTAAAAGTGTTCAGAAATTGCATCAAGGTCATCGTAAGGGTGGAGTCTAAAGTATCTTGATCTTTCGATAAACGGGAGAGAATTCGACCTAATGAAAAATTTCTAAGTTTGAAGGACACTGCGAATGAACGCTTACTCACCCATGGGGGTAGTGTCAAAGAATGAAATTGGAGATCGTAAAACATGACGGAGTGCTGTTTGGAAGAGATTGAGGCTTGCTACAAGGCCAGCAATACTACAAGCGTACATCTGGTCATCGATCTCGATCCAGCAAATAATTGGCCGATAAACTCACGCAAACGAAAAGGACAACAGAAACGTGAACAGGGCTTGAGCAAAACCTAGAGAGTGCGGTTAACCCATATATATCAATGCTCAAGGCCTCCCGTACCAAGCGCTGCATAAACACCCATATACTGAGCTTGGCCAAAACCTGGAATGCTTTCCGCAGTCCAGAAGCCCAAGAACAGATTATTTGCGACTAAAGTTCGAAGGAATTTCAGTTGAACTCTCGATCAAAAGTTGAACTGACGCACCTTGCGCTCCTTGTGTTAAAGTTAACAGGAGAAGAATGAAAGGCGCCCACCAAATCCCTCCGGCGAATTTTAGGTATTTCGCATACGTTTGATACCCGATAGCGCCAATGTTACGTTCTTCTGTCTGCATAAGAGCAGCATTTGCAGCCTTGTTGTCGGGTATAGGATTTACGACTTCATCCTCCGTCCTTGGCTTCTCGCTGTTACTTTCGTTCTCGTGATTTAAGCTTCCATATTCATCCATGATCCGCGTGAAAAGGCCATTGGCAGACATAAGCGTCTGGAGACATGAGTCGACAGCTGCAACACACTAGTATGAATTTTACACACCTGGAATGTCCCCTGCTCTTTGATTTCTCCCTGGTCAACCACGTAAACGTAATCTGTTTTGTCAAGCACGTGCAAAGCATGTGTGACCAGAATTCGCGTTTTGTCTGCCAGTGGACCGTCCAGGAAGCAATCCGTCAATATAGATTTGCCCACATATGAGTCAACAGCGGATAATGGGTCATCCAGAAGAACGATATCTGAATCTGAGTATGCCGCCCTCGCTAACGAAACTCGGGCCTATGAAACGAGAGAGTGAGACAAATTCAACCTCGAATATACGAAATGGGATGGTTGCTACCTTCTGCCCGCCTAGAATCATGAATTGAGCAGTAGTTTTTAGTCGTTCGGTTAATGCTCGCACCACTCAAATTGATACCCTTTTCGCCAATTTCAGTATACTCGCCGTGCGGTAGTAGTTCTAAATCGTGCTCCAAATTACAAGCGCGCATGATCTCTTTGAACCTACGGAGTTGTCATGTCATGTCAGTGCCATCAGGAAGAATGAACAATGCTTACTTTTTATCATCTTCTTCCATGCCGAAGAGCACGTTCTCTTTCAGAGTGGCATTCCTTATCCATGGAGTCTGTGGGACATAGGACACAGTTCCACCGAAAACTACTTCTCCTCGAGTTCGCCGCATTTCCCCTATCAAAGCGTTCAGAATTGAACTCTGCACAGAAAGGGCACGATTAGACGTGGCGGGATGGGATTATAAGGGTTGGGTCTCACCTTCCCTGAACCCACAGTGCCCACTATGGCGACAAAAGAACCTTTCGGGACGTTGAACTTGAGGTTCCTTAATACGAAGGGTTCATCTTCCTTCAGGGGATCACTATCAATGTCTTGCGTCGTTTTGATATCTTGAAAAGTGGTGGGTAGAGTTTCGTCTTGGGTGCTTTTTGAGACCGCCTTTGCAGGCTTTCCATCTTCCTTGGATTTCACACCGGAGTTTGGGACATGGTCGTTCTTTGCACCCTTTTCAAACTTTGTTTCTACTATTTTACCTGCAGATTCCCAACTGAAGTCGCCATCGACTTCCACAGCATGTTTACGTTCGAAGTCGATGGTGTAAGATTCTGCAAGCTCTTCTGCTTTAAGGAATTTGCCAATCCGACCCATGGCGACGAGGAAGTCGGACAATGAAGAGAGGACGATAGGGAAAAAGATGAGAGGAGCACGAATAATCTACGAAAACAGGTCGGAGGTCAGGGTCAGTGTCACAGCTACACTACAGACGGATGTTAACTGACGTTGAAGAATTGTAAAGAGCTGAAAATAATCGCAACATTGAGATCATGGCCGCTTAATGCATAAGTGATCTAAAAATGTTGATCAATACGTAGTTCTGGTTCTATACACAACGGAAGCTCACAAAGGAGAGGACAGAAGCAAGAACTGGGATAAACGTGACCAGGGCAATGAGAACTGCGCGGGCTATCCTGGATGGTGAAGTTAACACAAGAACAGTGACAAACTCATGCAGAGATAATTTACTTACGAAGCAGTCCGAATCCGTGCCACTTCCTGCTTCCTGAAGTTGTAGATTTGGGAAACATAGAATCCCTCCCAAGCATATGCTTTGATGAGGCGGATACCTTGCAGAACCTGTGGAAGCAAAACTTGGTTCATAGGTATCCAAGTGCATGAAATTATTATCCATACCTCAGTGGTAAGCCGGACTCTACTATCTGTGACCTTCACTCCCTTTCTTCTGTTCATGAACATTATCCTCAGGCAAAGGAATTGCAAAGGGAGTCCCAAGAGAAGTACCTAGATCCAGAAAATTAGACGCGATTGCATGCAACACGGGATAAGCATACTATGACTTACACCCAATCCCACAAGTGCAGAATATCCCAGCTGTGCCATAAAAGTAGATACAATATCAAATCTTCGTCATAAATGCGGCTGCAGGTAAGGATACTAACGTTTGCAATGAGAAGCCCGATACCAATGGCTATCTGGATTGGAGATACCCAAATACTTCATAGATTACATGTCAGGAGTAAGCATACAAAAGGACAAGTATAACACACTTGTGGACATTGGCGGAGAATGTGTCCAACCTCGTAGCATCAGTGGAGATCATTGTGGTTATCTGTTATCTGTTTGAGCTCGGTGTAAAATACGGGAATTCTATGAATGTGCACCTGTCCAACGCTATGCTGGTTTCTTGCACGCCCAGAAAGACGCAAGGATTTGCGGAATATGTTCCCTATGATCTACGAAAAATGTTCAAATTGAAGGAATGTGTACTGTTGTGAAACAACCTACGCCCGTTCTGATGGCTAATCCGTTGGCCATGCTTACTGTTTACAAGGCAGGGGCTGGGTTAGTAAAGTTCTTGCTCAACTGCACCGATATTGACATACTCTGCATGTAATGATTCGTCATCTAGAGCAAATTTAGATGGGGTAAAATTATAACGGGTTGTCAATGTCTCACCAAACTAGCGCTTTCTAAGGAAGATGTGAGTAAATTTCTGAGGAATAAACAAGTACATACCTTGCATAACGAACAAAGCGAATGCAAGTCCAATCCCATATCCGATACCACGAGGCGAAGTCAATCCAAGCTCAGATCTTTCTGATGGCGTAGCCTTGTAGAATATGAACGAGTCTGTAAGCCAAGTGAGAATAACTTTATTGACGAGAGGGGTCGTGGTCTTGAGTGTATCTAAAGGACCAGATAGAGTTAGGAGTGAGCATTTGCGACCTCGAGCAGAGAAGAAGGAAATCGGGGTAACCTGAAATTAACTTGAGCATTCCAGAGATCCACCATTCGGCTTTAAAAGTTATGTATATGGCTTGTAATAATGAGGAATCATATTTAGGTTCTATGTTCTTCTTCTTGTTAACGCTCTTCTTCTCGTCGGTCTTCTGCGTATCTGACGAGCCTTCGTACGCGCTATCGCTGTCGTTGTCCTGCTCTGGAATCGCGTCCGTCACTTCAACTTCCCAAATCTGACGGAGCTTTTGACGTAAATGACGAGGCCTCTGGTCAGGAGGGCATCGTTGGAAGAAATTCGTCTCAATTCTATCGGTCACATTCCCGGTGAGACGTGCAGAGGGGAGTTGCCATAAATCTGAATCGAATGACAAGGAGGTAAGTAATGAACAGATTTTGTGTGTCGATTGCTCACCGTCCTTCTCCAGAGGCCGAGAGAATCCTACAGCCAGAAACGGCGACAACCACTGGAATACGAGGCGGGAGAGCAGTCTGTGAAATTTCCAAGCGTGAGGGAGGTAAAGGGGACATCAAGATGAACAATGACACACGACGCCTTTGGTTCTGGTAGGATTGTATCTCTGCCAAATGCAGGTGGAGCGGGAGGAGGGTATAAGGGATTGTGTAGTTTCATGTTATCGAGCGAGAGATGATCACCGTTGCGCAATGCTTTAAGCAGTTGAAATGATGGGCTAGGTGTCGTCAGTGTGCATGAAAGATTAATCCACTTCTTCAAGGAACCAATAGTCAGCTAGGTAGTTATAATATGGCCTCGGTTCAAATAAGGCAAAATAACACGCACGCGTTCAATATGAATGTGTCAGGAAGAATGACTGAAACGGAACTGATAACCGCCAGCCTAACCGGCGGGTCGTATCCATTTTGTGTCAATGCCGTTGGCCCGTTTCTTCGAGATCGTTCCGTGAAACTGGGTATCAAGGTCTATCAACATAGTGTAATACATAATACACGAAGGAAAGATGAGTTAAAGCACATAGAGTAACGTCAAGTCCGCTACGTTCGAAGCATACGGTACTAACGACGCACATTCAGTTCAGTGGCGATCATGCATAACATCCAGATTGAGAATACGTGCAAAGAACGGAAAGGATTTGGCACAGTCAAGGGCTATAAGGGACTAGCGGCGCCGAAGAGAGAGATACTTTGTAATTGGAACAGAATTGATCGAATTCCTGATCGTGAGAACAAATAAACTTTGAGCCGTAAGCTTAAGGTCGAACCAGCAATCGATCAGCTTGTACTTCACTCATTATCCGAGCAACTACATGGCGCGCCAATTCTTTGTTGGAGGCAATTTTAAGATGAACCCGGCTAGCCGGAAGGACAAAGTAGCTCTGGTGAAGCTTTTGAACGAAGCAGAGCTTGATCCTAACACTGGCACGTCTTACTCACTCACACTCTCATTAAGCATCTGACCTCATTCTTTGCCCGTGTGCCCTTCTTGATATATAGAGATTGTCATATCTCCACCAGCTCTATATCTTATCCCTGTAAAAGAGTCTATCCGGAAGGACATCAAAGTAGCTGCTCAGAATTGCTATTTCAAAGACTCCGGTGCTTTCACTGGAGAGATCAGGTTCGCGATTTCGAATTTACATTGCAAACTTCGGACTCAGATGCCATATGCAGTCCTGCACAACTTGTAGATTCTGAAATACCCTACGTTATCCTTGGTGCGTTAACTATGTATGATGACAGTAGCCGAATACTCATATGTTTTTCTTGTTAACCTCAAGGACACTCGGAGCGTCGAACCCTCTTCCATGAATCTTCCGAAGTCGTTGCGCAAAAGACTCGCGCTGCTCTCGATAAGGGACTCAACATTATTCTCTGTATCGGCGAGACTCTCAACGAACGCGAGGCCGGAGAGACCGCAAAAGTCTGTGAGGAACAACTCAAAGCTGTCGTAGATGTATCAAAGGAGAGCGATTGGAGGTGAGATTTTGTGTAGATCTTTCATACGTTGAGCGTCTTATCTCCCTTCCCATCTTATCTACAAGTAAAATCGTCGTTGCCTACGAACCCGTGTGGGCCATAGGAACTGGCAAAGTTGCTACTCCACAGCAGGCGCAGGAGGCTCACAAAGATATCCGGTCGTATCTATCCAAAGCCGTCTCGTCAGGTGTCGCTGAATCGACCAGGATCATCTACGGAGGTAGCGTCAATGCTGGAAATTGCAAAGAACTTTGTGAGCTTTTTGTTTTGAACCATCTTTCCTGCCCAATATCTATCTGTCTCTGATCGACCTCAACCCATGTTCTAGCTACTCTACCCGACGTCGATGGTTTCCTTGTGGGGGGTGCTTCCCTGAAACCCGAATTTGTACAGATTGTGAACTCAAAGAAGTTGTGAAAATATAGATGGGCTCAAACCACGACCTCAGAGATCTTGTTGTATGTACCATATGGAACTATAGTGCTCTGAAATTTCCGAAATTGATCTCATTCGATATGCCCCGGATTCAGGTTGTTGGCTGCAGTATCTTCTCGTTGTCTGGCAGTGATATTACAATTCAAATATACACCGAAGTCAAAAGAGATGGTCTCCGCGTCAAGGTACCCTGGTTTTATTCCAGCAGCAGGCTCAAAGGACACATTTGTAACTCAAAAGTGTTGACATAAAGAGCATCTTCCTGTCCTCTCTCTGTGCTCAGGTTTCGTGTGGTACAGTACGAGTCACAACATCCAACTTATATTGAAACAGATTGTTCAATACGTTGGTAATTGAGAGTAATCACTTCACCCTTTGGGCGTGCCTGCGTATTAAGATTTGAATGGATCTGTAGGCCTTACACTTCTCCAAGACACTCACCTCATTCACCTTGTTATGATCAGGAATCGGAATTGTCGGGTTAGACTTGCGCTTCGTCCGAGTTATATCGTAATCGTAGGTCATCACGAATAAACAGACAATCGTCTTGATCGTCAGTTTTGCGATCCCCAATCCTACACAGCGGTGTCTCCCTGGTATTGGATGGTTTGCAAATTCATTGGCATCAACATATGAAAACATTGCTTACCAGCGCCCCATCCCAAGAAGTCGTTTGAGAGTACCTTCTGTTTTCCATGTTCAAAACGATCAGGCTTGAATGACCAAGGATCGTCGTATATTTCGGGCTCCAGATGAGCATCGGCATTACTATATGCTACGAATGCTCCACTTGGAACATGGCCCTGTCCGCCAGGTATTTCGACATCTTCGCCTATATTCCGCCGTAAGACGGTTTGATTCATGACCAGGCGAAAGGTCTCGGAAATGACGAGGTCGAGCGTAGGCAGCGATTCCTCCCAGGCCTCGAGCGGTACTTCAGTGAGTCTCCTGTATAGCGGCTTGGAGATATCGAAAGAATGTTTGGAGAGGACATTTTCTACCTCGGAACGGATGGTCATTTTCCATTGGGAATGCATCGAGATATAGATAAGTATCCAGGAGACTATGTACACAACGCGGTAAAGTCACAGAAAAACAATGAAAAGGTATTGGACGCGTACTGGCTTTGGTTGCGTTGTAAACACCTCCAAATAGGAATCCGAGAATGAACTGGATGATCTCCTGTGAATTCATCCCGTGGTCAAGTAACAGATCGATGGGTTCAGAAGTCGAAATTTTGTCCTTTTCTCGAGCCTCGATATAGCTCGTTAAGGTCGTGAAGAGGGAAGTTATAGCTATTTCTTTTTCTCGTTGTGATTTACGATAGAACCACGGTAAGAAAATCATTGCGGGAGTGTTATTCTTGAGTTGGGTGAAGAAATGAGTTTGAAATCGAGAGAAATTCACTGGATCTGAAACGAAGTCGTTGCTAGTAATCATATGCGCGGTAACATGAAAGGTGATCTATGTAGACGAAGTTTTAGTCGAGGTCTAGTAAAATCGGCAACACATACGTCGTTGATTTTGTCAAAAGGATCCATCGATCCTTTGTTATTCCAGGTATCCGTGAGTCGCTGCATATCCCCAAGCATAGTTGCGATAACTGCCGTGTATTTGAATATGTGCCTACTATAAGTAGCTATTTGCTGCTTACTGTCAGCCAACCGATTCTGGTTCACGAGAATTTCAAGTTGCTTCTTGAAGTGAAGTCCATGGCCTTCCTCTGCCGAAAGTAACGTTTTAGCTAGTTCTGGAACCTGTTAAAAAACTTCAACAATGGCATCTAAGAAGATTTGCAGTTCGCATACAGGAGCTGCTTTGCTGAACACCTTGTATCCTTCACTAGTACTGAAGTTCCTTTCGTTGAAGAACACTTTCCTCGCTTCTTGACCTCTCAATCCAACCACAGGATTCTACTTCAGTGGTAAACATCACAGCGGTAAGATGAAATAATACTGCCTAGTAGTACATACTCCAAGAATAGTGAAATGATATGTGTTTTGGCCGGGTCTGAAGCTAGATGACATCAAGTCATAGCTGTAAGCTATAGCACGGAAGCCGATATAGCTTTCCTTGATTTTGCGCCTCGTAAGAATTGTTAGCAGAGCAAGTCCCACCGCTAGGAGGAACAGGAAAACGGAAGAAAATATCGCCATATTATTTGAAATTCCCACGTACGTGACAGTTTAGCTCAGTTTATATATCTCTTTCCAAACTTTCATTTCCGCTCAAGACAAGGAAAATGCAAGGCAAAGGCATGTCTTGTGATGATTGAGTTGCATATCATTGTCATCCTAGCGAATCGTGTTACCTGTCAACTAACTAGGCGGTGATTGGATCAGTGTAGATTAAGGTGAGTCTTTGATGATTGCTATGTACTTTGCTGTGATAATATAAAGCGTCTGTTCAGCCCATGTACACCTTCAAATCCTTGCTGTCGTGTCGAAATCACAGGAATGCTCTCCTCACAGATCATCAACATGAAGCTTTGAAAATTTCGAGATTCGTGACGTCGTTTTACGTAACCGAACCCAGACCAAACCTCAGGCTTTGAAGTTCGTCGAACCTTTGAATATCAGGGATTTATATTCATTCCTGATTCTGATAGGTTTTTACGTTCACATCGGATCTTGATGCCTTATCATGCTACATAGTAGGAGGGGCAAGCAGGGGCCAGCTTGAGCAACCGCGCGAGAGGAGGCGAGATGCATCTGACTACTAATTGTTCATTAGGTCCGTGTAGAAGGAAGTTGATTGTGTGGAAACAATAATACACGCAATGTTAGATATGTGATATTTCGAGGCTCAGGCATTCCTCGTGAGTGACATATTTACTGACAATATCTCTTTACATACATATGAGAATACTTATCGTAGTTGTTACAGTGTTTTGAATTTGAGAGGCAATCAGAATAATCAGGCGCTACTAACAACAGAACCAACGACACCAACGACACCAACGACGATGATCCACGGGAAGCCTTGTTCGGAGGCTTCTTCCATTGACTGCTTGGCGTTGTCTAGGAGTGAAATAGGCATTTCCTTCATAGCGCAGCGGAACGCCCAGGAGTCTCCAATCTCCAAAGCGGTCCTCTCATTCGCCGTCAAATCCGGAACGGACTGAGCGAAGGCTCGGTGGTCAGCCTTGTATTCTGCGAGCGCCTTGGGATCCAACGCCAACTTGGTCATCACATCAGTCATGGCTTTGGAAGTAGCGAGAGGTTGATATTGCTCGGGAGGAGTGTGAGTGTCCAACTGAGCGATAGCGGCGTGCTCATTTGATCCATACGCAGGAACAGTCGGTACCTCGGGTTCCCATTGGTTGGGTGGGTAAATCTGAGTACGCGTATCCGGAACTTTCCCCTCAGGGAGAAACTTGAGTTCACGAATGATATCAACGTTAATCTCCTTTCGCTCCTTTGGCGGGATGTAGAAAGTGGAAACACCGCCGACGCGTTTGTAGAACTCCGGCTCACGGAGTTGTCCAATGGTCCACTGATCGGTAACGGGATCCTCGTGAGGGAGCATAGCGGCGATGTAGTGCACGACAGGATGTTCTGCGCCATACTCCTTCTCGAGGCGGTCAACAAGAATTCCGAATTTCGAGTTCTAGAACAAAGAGTTTATTAAATGTATACCTCATGGAGATTGATGATACTTACTTCAAATCCAGTGAAGTTGAAGTCAGCAATACCGACACATCCAACTTGGAAAAGGATAAAATGGCTGTAAATGTTCGTTGGCCTCTCTCGAATGAGGAAGTCAGATGCTTCGTAGGTCAGACATCCGGGGTTCGAAGGATCGATGCACAAGTCTGCATAAAGGCAGTCCTCCGCAGATACGCCCGGCAGCATCCTAGCCTTGAACCCCTCACTTTTGGCGATAGCGAGCGCTCGAAGCGAAGGGTTAACGAACACACCTGGGTGTCCGTAGAAGACGCCTACAACATCAAGGCCCTTGCGGACCTCCCTGAGCATAACCTTTGAAGATGTCAGCTCTATACAGAACACAAAGAAAACATTTGACAAGAAACATCTCACCTCAGACATTTGGGTGTAGGTATCCATCCTGGACTTGCCATTATCGTAGTACTGGTACAGGTCGACACAGTCCTTGTTCTTGGTGAGGATGAATGCTTCGGTGGCAGGGTCTATGACACAGTAAAAAACTTTGTCGGCGGCTTCGATGTAAGACAAGGTCTGAAGGGTCATTTGACCAATACTCTCGATGCCAGTGCCAACGATAGTGAGGGAGCCGGATTTGTTTAAGGTAGGAGTCTCCATTGTGATGACTATGTAGGTGATGCTGAATCACAGTTGGCTACTTTTCAAAGGCTTTATATATCTGAAATATCTCTGCACTTCAATAAATGAAGTATCGCTCATCCTGCAGGAAGATTTCACCGTCTGTTGGAAATGCGATTTTCGGACGCAATGAATACACTGATGATCTATCTGTAGAATATTCCATAAGATTATGGTTGAGAAGAGAATTGCAAAACGGGGCTAGGATGAGTGTAGCGAGCGTTAATGCCAACATCCTTGCTGTCAAATATCGGAATTCTCCTGAGCCTTTCCTATAGCTATGATGATAGTGCCTGGGTCCCTGCCAGTGGGAATTACTCCAACGCAGAAGAATATGGAGTAGCTCAAGTTGGGAAAGTACAACAGAGGAGCCCAGATTGTCCGTTGTTGGCAGGAGGTATGGAAGTAGTAACAATAGCCTCTAGGACAGAATAGGACTTAGCATCAAATCCGATTGGTCGTATTGTACAAAACAATTCTTTCATCGGACTTGCTTGAAAGTTGTTTGTAGCCAAGTGATCTGCTCTGACAGCACTCACTTTCACTCATATACAATTGCGAGGTTGCTTTTCACGCGATATCTACATGTACAGCGTACTACTTGTCACTCGTGTACCGTACTCAATAGCACTGCTCTTTCGCAGTCCCCTCCTTTTTTTCACGAGTCAATGTTATTTGAATACACAACTTCAACTTTTCTTGCATCCATATCATACAAACAACAAATACGTGCTCTTCAAAACAACGGATAGACTACATATGTATTCCTGACCACCGGGAAATTCATCCACGGTCCCACAGATTCAATTCAAAGATCCCGCAGAGCTCCTAGAGGCTGAAGGATTTAACTTTGTGGTTAGGATCCGTCTCGAAATGGACTTTGCCAATCTGATTCCCGATGAATTCATAAGTTGCCTTGAACGGAACCTCCCTAAAAAAGCATCAAAGATAGTCGCAATAAGAATGGAAGAAGGTAATGATACTTGATAGTGTCGTGATTGAAAGTGGACTTTCCCTAATCATTTGGAACGCGTTAAACCTAGAATTTTTACATGATGTTTTATATGATCATTAACTCACCACTACGATAACATTTCCATCGACCTCCTTGGCGTCGGTGATGGTTGTCTAGATGATACTCAGTTGAAGCCCCCACAACAGTGTAGAGGAGACTGAGAAACTAACCTTAGCTTCCAGCTCTTGATGAATGCCTTGATGAGATTCAAGAACCTCTGCCTTACTCATCGGGGGTGCCCCTGCGGCGATATGCGCAGTGGTGTGCGCAGACAAGTCTTCGGCCAAGAGCTCATGAGCCTCATCAAGCTTTCCTTCGTTCAGGAGGTCGTGGAACTTTCGAACGGTTTTAATCTTCTTGGTATCAGTCATGGTGTGGGCTCAGTCGTATGGTGGTGGTGGTGAGAAGCAAAGCAAAAGGCACAAGCCCCGTTCAAATAGATGTTCTGCATCTCATGTGATTGGCTACAGAGTATCATTCATGCAGTTAGCAGTATGTATTTAGCGAGCCACAAGGGAAAATCTAACTGCGTACATAGATCTTTAAAATTCAGGGCAGCTTGACATTTGATTCTGCTAAATATGCTGCAGGGCCCATGGGAGCTGAGTCTTGTGGTCACTAACGATTAACTTAGTTCTCTTGCTCCAACGTTGTCATTTTCCAAGAACCAGACTAGTCCAGGTGGCAAGAAGGATATAAAAATTTGACAGGATTCAAGTCGGATATCTGGAGATTTATGATCTTTCCGATATTCTTTCTGGAAATCCGCGGTAGCGCAACTCTAGAAGGATATGTAGCAAGAATATCGTTAGAATATGAAAAGGATTAGTGGGCGGATGGCAATCGGGAAAAGATTATCCATATTGGGGAAGGAAATTCCTATACATGGAAACTTTTGATTGCATCAATTGCTGAGAGGCGGGCCGGAGAACTCGCTGAGGTTGAGGCTGGTTGAGGCTAGGTCCGAAGCTCTTTCGTCCAGAAAAAAAAGAACTACTAAAAGTGAAATTCTTTTCGTGCATTCTTTCTGTCTACATAACTCGGCGGCGCGAACCATAGTGGATATTATGGATGGTCAAATATAAATGACCTCTTATGACCGAAGTATCGCTGAGAAATCGCTTTCATTGTCAGTGATTATCTACTTGATTAGACTTGATTTCACCCACAGGCTACAGCTATCTTCCAAGCGAGATGTCAATCAAGTAAATATCCACCACGGCTTCGTTTCACCAACTTGATCCTATGATTCTTATCCTCATCACAGTTATTGACCGAGTGTCTATGTCACCGCCGATTGTTTTATGAATGATATTATTTGACGCGGAGATTCAAATTTGTCACCAATCCTTCGACTGAGCAACTTTCCCCTCATTATGCCATCCTCGACTACCTGGTTCATATTTGGTATAACGTTAGTATTCCTCACCGTTACTCGCTGCATCGCTGATGGCAAGTTGAGGAAGTCAAAGGTATGGTTACGCTTTGAGCCCATGCATTGATGCCCAGACATATAACTTCTCTTTGAAGTACAAGAACATAATATTTGTCGGGCCAACAGGGATTGGAACTGTGATTGGGTTTTTTCAGCTTCTACTCGGAACCCGCGACTTTATTCAGGAAGGCTACGATCAGGTGTGCCGATGAATGCTACTACTTGCTAATTGTTTCACTAGCTAACGATTACTACCATTAGCACTATGGAAAGTTGTTCGCAATTCCTACTCTGTTCCAGATGACAATTGTTGTCTCCGGTCATGATCTCATCGAGGACATCCGGAAAGCGAGCGACGATCAATTGTCTTTATATGGCTCTATCAAAGAGGTCTTTCGTTGTTCCTCAATACTTCTATTGTTCATGATCTCAAGCAATTTTTCAGGGTATGCAAACTGACTACACGATGGAGCCGCACATTCTCGAGAACCCTTATCACTTTCGATTTATCCATCTCTCCCTAACACGCGATCTTGGAGGTCGTTTTCCTGAACTCAAGGAAGAGGTCATTGCAGCTTTCTCAGAGCTTGTGCCTCCAACTGATGGTGAGGAATTTATTCTTATCCTTCGAGATTTTTCATCTAACAAGTCAAGAGACTGGACCACCTTTCCGGCTTGGCTTACTGGAAAACTTGTGGTCCTCAGAGTCGTCAACAGATTATTCGTTGGTCCTTCACTTTGTATGTTTATCTCGCTATGATCATTGCGCTCGTGGTTTACCGTATATGCATCAAGGCAACAATTCAGACTACAATGAAATCAACGACGCATACTCAGATGCTCTTGTTAAAACTGCTCTGATCATAGGTTTCACACCTGGTTTCCTCAAGCCGTGAGTCTTCTAAATCCTGCTTTTACTTAGATACTCTTTTGAAATGATGTTGTAGAATTGTCTCCAGACTTCTTGATGTCTATATTCCCAAAACTTTGCGGCGTGCAATGAAACATATTTCTCCTCTTGTCGAAGAACGCCTTGAGAAAGAAAAATTGTTCGGCGCCGATTGGGCTGGAAAATCAGTGAGCAAAGTTCTCAAATATCGTATGGTATCTGCTTACTAGAGTGTAACCAGAATGATCTTCTCAGTTGGCTGATTGAGAAAACGCCGGAAAGCGATAAATTATCTGTGACTACGATTAAGGCAATCACAATCAGACTGTTAGCGACTATGTTTGCGGCGTATCGCCCAGCATCTATGGTGAGGAACCATGTTGTTAATAATAAACTTCGAATTATATCATGAGTAACCTCAGGCTTTGACACAAGCGCTATTTGACCTGGCTACATTTCCAGTATATATTCCGGAGCTACGAGCTGAAGTAGAATCGATTGTCAAAGAGGAAGGTATATCCAAGGATTCCATTGGCAAGATGTATAAGCTCGATAGCTTTATCAAGGAGTCTCTACGCCTACGGGCAGGTGGAAAAGGTATGTTGACTTTGCGAACTCCCAGGTGTGATTCATGATTCGATCCATCAGCGAGCATGCCCCGCAAGGTTCTGAAGGATTTCACGTTCTCCAATGGGACGACTGTCTTCGCAGGGAGCTCTATTATTGCCCCTGGCTATGCGATACACCACGATGCTGTAAGTAACCTTTCATTTTCGTCTGCTCGGAATAAAATATAAAGAGTATACCTAGAGGCACTATTCCAATCCAGCTGATTTTGACGGGTTCAGATTTGCTCGACTGAGGGAAGAACAAGATGACCCTGTTCGATACCAAATGGTATCCGTGGGTCCTACTTTCATGATGTTTGGTAATGGAAGGCATGCTTGGTGAGAGATGTGAAAGAACTATCCGCATATTTTGATGATTTTGTGAACGTATTCAGTCCTGGCCGCTTTCTAGTATCAGCGCTGTTGAAGACCATGCTCGCTCACGTCTTGATGACATACGACATCAAGCTGGAACATAACGGTAGACGACCCACGGATAAGTGGTATACTTTTTCACCCGCTCCAAACCAGACTGCTGGATTATTGTTCCGTAGACGATCAGCACCTAGTTGCTAATTGTTATTGTTTTACCTCCAAAGGTTGTATGTAGTTGAGTAGTGTAACAAAAGTCGACACTGATTTCATATATCTGACCTATCCCTATCATACGTTCTACAGCCTCAGTGAAGAACTGACTAGCCCATCCTGTACCGTAGGACTTTTCTAAATCGTTACGAAAAACTATTTGTGAGGTGCGGCGCCTAAACGGTTACGGATCCATATTTGGGACTTCGGGCGAGGGAGGCGTTAAATAGTTTCAATTTGATTCAGGTCACGACACAGGACCATTGCTTTGACGCGTGTTCGTTCTGAGCGCACATAACTAGTCCCATGGATTTCCCGATAAAACTAAATTGAGATCAATCACAATTGTAGGTTACAACAGAGTAAGTCGCACCTGTACTCGTCGGCGGTTTCTTCGAGCATTTTCTGTGTACTCTGGGATGGAATTAGCAAAGTGCGAGACCACAGTAAAAAATTTCAAACCTTGCCGGCGAAATGTCCAGTGTTTAGATCAATACGCATCAAAACCGGGTTTGGACCATTGGGGAAGTTATACTGTAAGGCAGCAACATGTTTGAATGCTTTAAACCGATCAGAGTTCTATAAGACCTCAAGACTTTGGCCCACTCACAGTGCAGAGGAGAAACTCGGTCATCATACGCAGCGGTAAAGAAAAGCATAGCTGGCAAGACTACATCTCCTGATGGAATGTTATGATAAGGGGAATACCTGTCAAGATTTGGGTAAGGAAGCAATCTTGTATCGGGACTGTTCAGCTCACTTGTAAATGAAGTCAAAATCCTCCGGATCCTCGGGCTATAAAGGGTCAGATTTTTTCAGACCAATTGACATTTTAGTACATCACCGTATTCCGAACGCCATAAAGCGCCGAAAGTAAACTTGGGAAACTGCAATGTCATGGATGAGTGAGGAATCAGGAGGAATCAGAACGAAGGATATGGTGACAAACTCTGAGCATGTCGATGATACCTCCAATTGTGATGACACAGCGGTAGAGCTCAGGCGCTTGATTCGCACACGCAGTTGTCAAAACTCCTGTAGAAAAACCACATCACTTAATGTCTGTGATCAAAGGTTCGAACAGTTACAGCGCAGCTCACCTCCGTTGGATCCTCCGCGAATGGCAACGTTATATTTATTGGCATATTTGTTCGCAACGAGCCATTTCGTAGCTGCATTGAAGTCGTCGAACACGTTCTGTTTCTTGTCCAACATTCCCTGTAGAACGCGCCTGAGACAAAGTTATTTTTTACGCAAAAATTAAACACTACTCACCTCCCGGTGCCATGATTCTCCAAACTCTGAACCACCACTGAAGCATAAGCCAATTCAGAGACCGAAAAAGAAACGATGATGAATTAATTACCGTATGTTGGGTACCACATACATTGCCCGGTAGATCTTGCAGAACAGAAGCGTCGAGACAGAGAAGGTCGGGAGCATTGCCAGGGCGAAGCCGCCGTAGCCATAAATATATACAGGGGCAGTTCCGTCGACGGGGGTATCCTTCAATCGAGTAATGAACATGTGAATACTAAATTTATTATCAGGCTTCGGATGTTTAAGAGATTCAGCAAGAATGATTACGGAGTCCCATCCTTTGATGGATAAAACACCTGCATATCCTGCTTAGCAATAGAAGCGATGAAGAGAAGCACGTATGCATACCGATTCTGTCGTGAAATCACTCAGGTTGAGGCCAGGAACCTGTACAGCACGAAATAGGGTGCCCTTGTTACTATCTTCATTCAATCGGAACCTGTACAATGTCGGCGAGGGTGCCACAATGTCTTATCAACGAGCTCACCGATATATGGTGCCGGGAGAAGTGAAACCACTGTGAAAGACAAACATATCGTTATCGTCACGCCGTCCCGACAGCGAAAATTGCCCGATCAAATTGTCGAATATCTGGCGGATCGGTTTTCCGGTGTTAAGATCGTGTACATGGATTTCATGCCTGGCATTATGAAGGTAGACGAGGACGAGTTTATCGGTCGAGAGGATGCTTGCCGATATGAGAAGGGCGTCAGGATTTTCAGCCACCAGTGTCTTGACCCCCGCTTCTGAATGCCGAATGTCCAAGGTTGCTACTAGGTAATTTTTAGCTTCTAGGTTCGTCATGAAATAAATTGTTGAATCATCGTCTCCAATTCTAATGAGATCAGTATTAACTAGAATGTTAGTCGAGGTCGAGAAGCAGAAGAGAAGGTAGACGTACATAACAAATCTAGCCTGCCATTGATCATGGATAGTCAACCATTGAATACCGTTTTGAATGTCGCTCGTCCCAATATCAGCAATTTTGGCTAGTTGAGTATGACTAGCATCCCGCTATGTGTAGCTAAACATTAGAGTGAGATGTGTATATAGTATGAGTTTTGCGTACGCTTGCAGTCAAGAGTGCATATCGGCCACTACATATTTACTAAGTGAATACAGTGATCAGGAGTGCTGGGAAACACTAACCTAGGGGAGAGCTGCAGTGCCCAGAGCCAGAATGGATGCTCGGGATCCTCACTTTCAGAATATTCATAAGCAAGGCCATGTGTTGATGCCTCATGAACTTACTAGACAAGAGTATCTTTTTCCTGTTTCTCCCCGAGGCGGTGATAATACACCTGATGGCGTTGGAAATGAGAGTAGTAAACATAGAGCGTGGAAAGAAACTCACCATGCAATTCTGCGCAGGTGTATTGCCTTTGCCCTCGTCATCTTCTGGTGGATATCTAGAATAGAAAAAACCTAGACCGTTAAGAATAAGTAGGCCTCTTTGAAAACCATTTGCACATTGCGACCAAACCTTTGCTGTCACTCGACCAATATACAATAAAGAAGCGAGAGTAATGGATAACGTCGTCCATTCTTCCAGGATCTTTGCCCTTCTCTTGAGAAGGCATATGCGGTGACGATGTTTTCCGAACATATGTTGTCATCCAATCAGAACCCTTTCTCATGTTGTATCAGTAAAACTTGAAAGTGCTCCCTTATGACAACACACGAACATGTTCAGAAACGCCGTAAGCCCAGTATTTGCCACATGGACTCATCATTGAGCCAGTTAGGGCCGCGTTTCCATCCAGAGAGAGCAGGTTAGGATCAAAGAAGAGTTCCCCACCAGGTCCAGACTCGGTGAGAATGGTGTCCTCTTCGCTCACTTTCACGCGACGTAGAGACATTTGAGATTGAAGACCGTCGTTGTATTCGAAGTAGGTGTAACCATCGCTTTCGCGTTTGGGGACAGTGAATCGTCTGTAGTTCCAACTCTCTTTCAGCGTTTGCAGCCACGTTTCTCTGTCAAATAAAAGCGTTAGTGACTGATAAAGAGCACATTAGACATATACCTGTCAGGAATCTCGTCTAGATACGTCCGCGCAAACTTGCGTTGTGCATGAACAAAGGCCTATATCCTGATCATTGAGGATCCTGTACACGGAATCATGATTTCCACAAACTTTGGTCTCTTCACTATCATCAAAAGGCACCTCAAGTGCACTGTACGGATCGCGTACAGTAACAGAACCGCACAACTTGCTCTGATACGTGATTGCTGAGGTTTCGTCTCTACTGACTGGTGGGTATGGATCCCACTGCGGAACTGACATAGTGGGACTCTCCTGGGTTGCGGAAAACATGTGAAAGATACTGACTCTCCTTTAACAGATTAGTGCCCTTTATCCAAGGAATCGCGAGGCTGCTAAGTACATACTTATTGTGATATGTTTTGAGGGAGGGAAGTCAACTCACTAACACGATGGTTCCATCAACTTTTCCGATGTTTCCATTCTGCCTGACAAAAAATTGATAGAAACAGACAAATTCCACAAAAAGTTAGTACAGCCCGAGTAAAAACATAACTTCGACACATGCTCCAAATTCTTTATTCTTGAATTTAGTACTCCGCTACCAGAACACCAGTGACCAGACTCAAAGCACGCTCACTTGCAGAAGCGGATCCGGCATACGCCGGACCAAGGATACTCATTTCCCCAGAGCTAGAATCTTGCCCAATCGCACACAATGCTTGTCCTGCCGCTAGACATCGCTGAAGCTATAATTCGCGAACTCCTAGCCAGAAAGGACAAGGCTACAGTGAAATCCTTGTCCCTCGTCCGCTCTTCCTTTACCCCAATCTGCCAACGATATCTCCTCTCGAATATCATCATATCCTGTTCGAAGGCAGAAGGAAATAGACGATACCAACGCTCAAGTGACGCAACACTAAAGCTACTTCGATCGTCACCTCATCTCGTTTCGAGTATCCGATCCTTATCTATTCTCGACTCCGGTTTTAGCTGGACACAGCTCGACCCCGCCCTCGTTGATATCTTGAATTCTCTCACCGATCTAACCTGCTTCATATGGAAAGCCGCTTCCAACTCCTCACGCCCGACTTATTGGAGAGAATTACCCCAACCTCTGCAGCACTCAATCAGAGCCACGATCAGACGTCCTTCAGTCACTTCCCTATTCCTTCATTTCGCCGACCTGACCGATCTATTGAATGCAAGAATCATTATCTCTCCCTCTTTGACATATCTGAACTTACGAGGCACGGGATTTTCCAAAATCGCCTTGGAACTGACTCGTCCGAGTATAATACCTTTCGGAGAGATGCCGTCTAGATTGTTCGTCACGGCATGTAAGCTTGAGTGGATCGAGGACGAGAAGATGTGCTTTGGGTGGATCACTGCTATTCTACCGAATCTCAGTCTTGAACGGCTTCAGAAACTGGCAGTCTTCCGATCTTCGCTACAATCAAAATTGCCTGAACTTCCTTGGGGGGCGTTATTATACCACCAGTCTGTTCAGTCAAACCTGGAAGAGCTTTGGTTCGATATGATCTCTACTAATGGTCCTCCAGTTGGTTTGTCGCTTGAATTGTTCACGTTCGAGTCGTTTCACATCTCGTATTTCTAGATACCATGTCGCTCGACCGCTTGCCTTCCTTAAAGCGACTCGGGCTATCTATGGGCCTCTCACGAGTCTTCGATGCTAATTGGGATTTGGTTTTAGGATTATCTAGATTTTTTGAGAATACAAATGCAGCTGGAATTACTCATCTTATCCTTTGCTTTAGCTTTTCCAGTACTTCTCTTGTATTAGACCCACTAAAGGTGCCATGGGGGAGTCTCGATGCCGCTGTAGCGGCAATACCCACCTTACGCTGGGTGGGAGTCCAGTTCGTTGATTGTAGACGTGAACCGACTGGCATTATTCCTCCCAAAACGAAGATTATGCTGCCAATGTTGACCGAAAGGGGAATATTGCATTGGTCGACTAGCAGAGTAGAATTTCCGCAAATTTGAAAATTATAATCAATTATGTAATGAAGTCTTTTGCTGTGGCTGTGAGCACAGGCTGCACAGCCTGGCAAAATTTCCTTTCTTGTCGAATAGTACTTACCTGCCTCGTGTACATGATTTGAGTGGCGCAAGCAGCTCCCTCTTTTTGTCTCAACTACTCTCCGGAATGCTCTTATGCTTATCGTCCACCCGTCGAGCTGCTGCGATGTGTGCTTGGACCCATACTCCTGGCAAGAGGAGACCACACTGAAGGAGCCATATGCTATTCGTAAGTTTTCATTGATTGACAAGACTTCGTGTTATTATACAAGTGACTTGCTCCCTAGCATGCGGGCATATTTTTTGCAAAGAATGTCTTGAAAGGACAGCTACAGCGACATGCCCACTATGTCGAAAAAGATTTAACAGAGATTCTATCAAGAAATTGCACATGGATGCGCTTCCAGGGAGTGATGACAGCTTAATCGTTCAGAAACTGATTATGGCTTGGGACGACGAAGTGGAAGTCGTTAATACGTTAGAAGAAGTAGAACGCTGGCTACAAAATCAAGAGGTCTGCATGATGTGCTCGTCACTTGCCACAATTCGTCTGAGTTTATGGTTGTACTTCCTCAGAGTCCTGCTTTGACACAGCTTAGAAAGGTACAAGCCGACTTCCAAAAACTCAAAGAACGAAAAGCAGAAGACAGATTCAGGATCAAGCGACTGGAAACTTCTTTAATGCATCTTCAACGCAGCAACGTGCACGATCGTGATATGGGACTCGCAATGGAGGCCAGTTTCTCTACTACCATCGAGGAACTTGAAACGTAAGTCCTCCCCGAGTCAGCCATGCTTATTGGTCTGACTATCATGACAGAACTCTCCAACAATCCCAATCAGAAGTCCAAAGTCTGCGCAATCAACTTGCCCGTCTAGAATTTAGTAGACGAGACAAAGGGAAAGGCAAAGCAAGGGTCACGGATTACACTTCAGAGAACGATTCTCTACGTCACAATCCGCTGCCAGCCCCCCCTATGGCTATTACTATGGAAAGATACGCCACAGTCGCAGGGGATATACGTAGTTCGTCTGTCGAAGCTGAACAGGTCGCTGCAGCAATAGAGGCATCTATACATGATCGTCGAGGCTGGGATGGGTCCTCATCCGACCTTGCAACTTCATCAGCTGGCGCAGGCTCTTCCCGTCCACGAGACACCAACGGTCTTGTCGCCCCCGGCCTTGCCAGTGCTATGCCACACACTCCCGAAGTCGTTGTGTCTTCTCAACATTACATGGAGCCTCCTGCTAACTACGTACCCATTCCAAATTACCCTCTACCCATCCCTCCACTAACATCTCGTCCGCGTCGATCTTCTCGACTAGAAGCACTTCCCGTCGTACTTGACGCTGCCGTTTCTCAGGCGCAACAATATGCATCGCGCTCTTCGCCGTCTAGAAGACACAGAATCGTTCCAGGCGCTGCCGAAAATGACAGAATCTATGTTCCGCCCGGTGCCAGCCAACACTGGTCTCAAGCCGGCTCACAGACGACATACGTCAATGGGTATGCCTCATCTTCCATTCCTCCACCAGCCAGTGCCCCAGTAGAGGACTTATCCCGCAAACACCGTCGTCGACACAAGTCAAAATCGAGAACGCGTCGTAGAGAAGAGCATCTGAGTGGTGGAAGAGAAGATATAGCTGGTGTCACTGGTTTAGGGTTGATAGATGAGTCCTTCGAGGAGAGGCGTGCAGTTGATCCCCAAGCGGCTTTTGCCAGCGGGTACACGGAGGGATTGAACAGTGGATTCAGCGCGAGAGCAAGAACAACTCCTGGCCCCCCAGTCTCTGCTCCACTTCCTCGGTCAGTGAGATTCAATGGCGCGACTGAATCCGCAATACCTCCTGCTACCGCCTCTGCAAGCACTTCCAATGGAGACCAGCAGGCATTGAGACGAGGCACGACGACAACACAGCCCACAACACAAAGCATCACCCCAGAAAGCCTCGCCAATCGGCTCCGCGACTTGATGGAAGACCCCCTTCGTTCATCATCCCAAGCCCAAGCCCAACATTTTGCTAACAACCGAGCTTCCGCTGTCCCTAGCGAGACGCCCACTTGGGGTACAGTAACGACCGCTAATTCATCCCGAAGACAATCCAATGCAAGTGACGTGATGGCTAATCTGCGCGGGTTTCCTGAGCATGCGCATCATTCGAGTCGCGCGAGTCTTGCATCCTCTCAGGAGATACCGGTGGGTGATCCCAGAGCATTCCTGCCTGTTATTCCTGTAAATGCAAACAACCCGAATCGACCATCTGCAGTTGGGACAAATGAAGTGGCGGGTTTCTCAGCCCCTGTCGTTAGTTCTTCTGCTAGATCCGACGTACAAACGAACAACCACGCAATCACGCATCATGACTCCGAAACACCGACTGCCTCCCGCGCTGCTCCTCGTGGTAATGTCAGTCAAGTCAGTCAATCTGCTGGGACGGGGAATACTAGACCAGTAAATCAGCGATACACCTCCCTTCCTGTCAACACTGTCAACACGACGCCTCGCGACAACACCCGCAACTATGATCATGCTCGTGGTCATCGTCCTCAGTTTTTGCGCCCTATCCCAACCTCCAATCTCAATTCCAACCCCCTACCTACACTACCTAATTTCGGTTATCCTTCTTCCGCACTGGCTAGTGCTCCCCATCGTCCAGCCTTTCCAGAATACAACTCGGCACCTGCAATTCCTATGGCACCTGTGACACATGTGGCGCCTAACGGTGGCTCTGTCAGCGGCCCTAGCCGTGCAAGTCGTGACTCTAACTCCCAGACTCCTCATAGTCCTCCTCCCGGAGATGTCAACGCCCTAGGCTTAGACTTGAACGAAGTTGGCGACTACGATGACGGCCGCGGTTATGAGCCTGAGCCTATCCCGGCTTTCGCTGCACCCACGCCAAGGGCCTCTCACAATCTGTTTTTAAGGTCGTTCAGTTTTGATCATGACGGGAACGAAGTGGACGGGACTTTGTATAGATGAAGAATTAATCCAGTTGTAGCTGGTTTCTTTCCTTTATGCTTTTCTCTCTACTGCCTGAGAGCCTGTCATCTACGATTAATCATATTGTGAGTGAGTCAGCTCACGGGGTTGTCGCTACTAGATGCAGGCATCTCTAGCTGAGACTGGGCTCCTTCTCCAGCGGTAGATGATTCTTTTCTTGCTTTCGATCTGCTGTGCATACAATACATATAACTTGGCTTAGTTGAAACACATGAATGTATATTTCGAAACTTCGTTTCTCCTTGCATCTCGCTGTACGTACATTTATTGCTCATGTATTCATAACTCAAGCCTTATTATGATTAATTATGGACAATATTTCCGGTTTGTGCTGTTTCTGTTTCAAGGTGAGCAACTGGTTCATCCATGATGATAAAGCACCATTTGACAGCAGTACTGCAGTAAAGTGCGTCTGCATCTCGAATTACGACTGTGGATCCAAAGATCGCAGCAGCTCATCGACATTCGCTATATACGTTCCCCAATCGTCCCATCTTGTAGACGATAAACATAAGTACTGAAGTAGAGTTACCTGAGAGATAGATAGACTTACTGATCTCCTCCGGGCGTATTGTTGAACATAGCTAATGCCGCATGGGCGGGTGCAGTTCCGGGTCCCCAGAAGGAATTATCTTTAAGACACCAGAAGTTAATTCTCAAGTTCAAACCGTCGAAGATGGAGGGTCATGACGAACCTATGCCAAATGGTATACCCGTGGATCCTAGGGGATCGTTAGGCTGTGAATCGAAGCCAGAATACTGGAAGCCTTCACTAAGGACAGGCATGGGGTATGCAGGAGCTTGCGCCTCAGAGTTGGCATAACTGCTAGGTAGGAAATGTACAGGGAGTTTTCCTAAATCCTCGGTACGCAGAGGCAGCCCTTCGCTAAAATCCAAGTCAGGTGTCACATTGAGCGTTGCTTCGGGGACGAGAGCTTCTGAACCCAGGGGAATTTCCCTTGCGGACGCGGGAATTCCGGAGGAGTATGACATGCTGCTCGAGTAGCTAGAGCCTGCTATGGAAGTAATCGATGGTAAATCTACCATGGTTGAAAAATGATCACCCAAAGCAGAAGATGACGGGTGTTCCCCATCGCTGGGGTCATTTTCGCGCTGGCGACGTTTGGAAGTCCGACTGATTTGTTCAACTGTGGCTGGTGGCGAAGCTGCATTACTTGCAGAAATTAGCTCCGATATGATATCACTTCCATCGGAGGTGAGCTTTTGCCAAATAAAGTGAAGCAGAGGTGGGATTAGCATACCACATTCGTCCAGCATTCTGATATCTATCCCCATATCAATTCGCTATCATTGAGTAGTAGAAAGAGCGAATGCAAAGAACGCACATCGATTCGTAGGTCTTTAATATTCGAAGAGATTTGTTAACGTCTGCCATTGTCCTTATTGGATCCGTTGCTAACCCCAACTGTCTTCCGCCCCATAAATTCAAAAGTAGAACGATAGCAGAATTAAAAAGCGCTACCTGTTAAAAATAATAGGCAATGAGTCCCGGACATCGACATGCGAAGATCACGACGACGTAAGATATTGTCGAAAAAATGAATATACTTACATGGGTACTCGGATATCCATGTTCACCATCCCTTGAGTGAAGCCGACCAAAGACATGCACGCAGGAACGAGCGGCATTCGCACATATAGCGAGAGATGAGTACTTCATGCCTGAGCCTTTTCCTTTCCCGGGAACAAATATGAAAGGACGGTGGATTTGAATGAGAACCTTTGGATGGTATTAAGCCAACTGTAAACCATAGACATTAAAGCATCAACTTGCCCAGTAGTAGCAAGTATATAAAGATGCCGATAGCGCAAAAAAGAGGGGATCTTGCCTATGTGGATCCCATCGTACTGTAAAGGGAAAACATGAGAATTTCCTCAAGAATGAGACGATTGCAACAGACTATGTTCAGGCACCGTGTCTGCCCATTTATTTAATGCAACGTCAAGTTCTGCCACTATATTCTCATCCCATGAGGCATTTGAAGTCCACTGTTCAGGTTTTCTAACAGCGTACTAGACGCCACCACTAATGAGGAGCTTGTAGAGACCAAGACTTTGTAAGGCGGCCTACTATGCTACGTTGCGCGAGTCCGAATATATCCAACAGTTTCAGAAAATGTATCCAGGATGAGACGGTCGAAGGTTTTCCGACCGGTTGTTGGAAAGCTCGTTCGCCTGGTTGTAACCAGTATTCGTCGTCGCAATCTACAGGGAAGTCAAGGTCATAGCTGCGGAAAGAGTTCACACATAAACCTGAGATAATCAGGAACAGATGACACGACACACTCTGCAGGATTAGTAGCCTTTGGTCGTCCAAGGAAGGAGCTCATGAATGTATCAATACATACGAGACACCAGAACGCTCGTTTCCACAGCTCGCCAGCGATTGTTGGTGTGGGCCCGAAGAAGTTTCGACGATGAGCCCCTACAATCTGTGCGAATCGAACACCGAGACCAAGTATAGGCCAACAAAGCCCAGGCATAGATGTCGATTGTAAAAACATCACGGCATTCTGGACACCAGCGCGATCGTATGAGCAATGAACCTATATGCAGTGAATCTCATTTACTGACAACGATGATTTGCACTCTATACAGCGCACTGGTGCGAGTCAAATCTTGCAAGACGACGATCTGACTAAAGTATGGCCAACCTATACTTCAATTGAGTTTCTGGCGCGCTCGAAGTTGTTCTTTGTAACAAAGAACACATCATACATACTCACCAAGGCTGTGTTTCGTTTTCACATCCGCGTAGACTCGCAGATCATCGGAATACCGAGCCCCCAATGCACATACTGACAAAACAAGCTCTCCAAAATCCCGGTCGACATTATGCAACCCATTTCGTAGTCCATTATCAAAAGTAGCTCGGTGCAGGAGGGGCATGAATGTATTGCGTTTGTCGAAGTAAAAATCGACCAGATGACTGAGAAGGTCGGGATCGGGAAATACTAGAGGCGGAAGGTCGTACGAAGTCGTGTCGTGCAATTCCTGCCACTATAAGAGAATAAGATAATTGTTGTGCAGGGCTAAATGCACGAGCGCCTTTCAAAAGTCCGCGCTTACTGGAAAAACCTCCCAAAATTCTGGTCTTTTCGATCCTAATGTCCTTTCTTCAGAGGTATATTCGTTTCTGACACTCATCGCTGCCTTGACCTAGGGATAAAATCAACACTTTTTCTCATGGTGAATGGCTCGGATAACGAATGGATACATACCAATGCAAGCTGGCTATCTTTACCAAAAAAGCTATCTTGCACCCCAAGACGTTCCAGACGTATAATCGTGTCGGAGACCTCCATCTCCACGTGTAGGTAGTCCTGCTCGACGTGCGTACTGGGTACGGAATGCAAGGGATACACACTAGAGTTGCTCTGTTTTTCAAGCTTGATTTCAAGCGAACGGGCATATGAGGCGATCTCGATAAGGATTTTGAGGATCTTGTCCGAATCATCTGGAAGTTCGTATGCAGCCAAAGTGGATAAGATGTCGGAGATTTGGGATTTTGCGAATTCGTGACCATCTTCGGTATCCGAGTCCTTGTAAATCTTCGTAAGGTTGTAGGGCTTTGATATTCAAGGAAATACTACAAACGAGTGGGGCTTGAGCGCGAGAATCTTGGCTATCTGATGGGCTGTTGTTTCGTTAGGGAGTGCAAGAGGAAACAAGTCAAGCACGAACACTTCCGTGCCTCTCTTCTTCGGATGAGTTTTGAGACGGATTCAAGAATCAAGATATGATGCAATCATATACATACCTTTTTTGCAGTGGACAAAGAATGTGTGCATTCGGATCCCTGGCAAATGGCAGTATTGGTTCAAGGGTTCACAAAATCAACGAGTAGGCTCACAAATGCCCTACAGTTTGAGCAAACGTTCCCAGGCATTTTGGCACTGTCGCCTGGAAGATACTTTTGGTATGACAGCTTCTAGCGGACATGATGAAGACTCTTACAGCGAATTTTCTTTGCTTTACATATATCACAGGCGTTGGCAAGTCGCCGCTTCTTGAAGCCACCCATTGGAGCGACATTGGCCATGGTGGGTCGATAAGACCGGGTCCTCTATGAATTTGCAATTGAACCTGTAGCGCTATCGGCGTTCGCAAGATACCTTGATTGATGGATGGAAAAGGCAGTGGGCGACCGAAATGACAGATACATACATGTTCTTTATGTGCTTGTATGCTGTGCATACAAGAATCTGGGGGAGTCTAATGAAAGTGCGTTGGGCTGTTAACGATTAGATACAAAAACTATCACAGCACAATAACCAGAAGATTGAGAACAGGCTCTAACTCAGTGTAAATTTCCAGTGAACTTGAAAATAAAATGTTCGGTGTATTTCGTGTTCACCGCGTAGCAGTGTGAGCAGAGCTCGGGTCTGATTAATCACCGACACGCAGCCCTCACCATCTCGTTAATGCTGTTGCCTCATGCCTAGTTCATTCATTCATTTCATGAGCTTCACACGCATCTATGCTCACAGCCGTAATCTGCAACACGAAGATTTATTCGGGAACGTGAGAGGTAGTAAAGGCAACACAATAATACATATGTTGAAATACAACAGAGAAAAATAGTCCGTAGCACGGGTTGTAGCAGAATTTCATGAGAATCGGACATTAGCAGCACATCTCGCACGGGCAACCTGAAGAATGATGCTGCGTAAGTAGAGAACGAAGGACAAACATAGAGGAACAAAGCGCACAAATAATGTCACCAATGCAGTCGCAACATCCCTCACAGCATTCAAAGCATAGGAAACATCCGATGATTCCGAGGAAACAGTCTTTTCCTGCACCGCCGCCACGAAGACGAGAGACGATTCCACCCTTGCCGTGCTTGTGCTTGCAGTTGCCATGTTCGACGTCCTGGCAAGAGGCCGCGGAAGGAGCATTTGTTACACCTATAATGCAGATGATTTGAGTAAGTAAAAGTTAAGAAAGGACTTGAAAATCATACTCATTGTCGGAGCTGCCTGGGGCTGAGCGCTCATAGGTGCTTTAGTAACGTTAGTCGAAGACATAGTTAGCGGGGTGGAACTGGGGTGGAAAGAAAAAAACCCTTCAAGGAGGACGATATATATACGATTTGGTGACGTACATAAACCGGTCACAACGTGGTATAAATAGAAAAATTTGATGATATCATTTACGCACCGCCGCGTGGTAAGCGGCACTAGGCGGCACTGCGGAGTCACCGACTTGTCCTTTTCTCTGATGTCGTTGGCAAGTTGAATTGTTGTTCATCGCACTTTCAGAAACACTGATATCAATGGTCTATATAGATACATGCTTTAGTTGCCCAAGGTCCAACAATACTTGCTGAGCACAAAGCAGGCAGTCGGGATTTCTCTCAAGGTCTGTTCTTAAAGAATGGAAATTTACCTAGGACTCAATTTTTCTCCTTACTTTTAGCAACCCAAACTATCCTGTCAAAGATACCTCCGAATAATAGGTTGGCCCTCCTCAGTATTCCATCTGGCTCTCTTTGTTGAACGAAGACCCGAAGTAAACTCACTTATGTCTGGGAACAATATCTATTCCACTATGTTTCCGAAGGCGGTTTCACTTATCTGGTCATGGCCGATGACTCTGCGGGCAGGTAATCTGGCGAGCTTTGTTTACGATTGAGTCTAATCATCAGTTTGCAGGAGGATGCCGTTCGCATTTCTCGCAGAATTGCAGAGGAAGGTGCGAAATTCCACCTAATCTTCGATATTGTACGGAAGCTGATTAACTGAATATCCTCAGTTTCTCGAAGCACCCTCTTCTTCTTCTCTCAATGACCCAGAACTACCAGCGTATGGGTTACAAGGAACGTTTGCACCTACTATATCCAATCTGATGAACACCTATAATACTGCTCCACCGGTTGATGAGATCGCTCGTGCTCAAGCAGAACTCAATCAAGTCAAAGACATCATGGTCCAGAACGTAGAACAAATTCTTAGTCGGGGCGAACGAATTGAACTGTTAGTTGACAAAACAGATGTCATGGCCGGTCAAGCCACTGCATTCAGACGAGGCGCGAGGAGCGTCAGGAGACAAATGTGGTGGAGGAACAAGAAGATTCTTGGCTTGAGTATTTTAGTGGCATTGGTGTGTCGTATTTACCATTCGACTCATGTGCCAAAGTGCTAATCAGGCTTCTCTTTATTTTTAATCAGGTGCTAGTATGGATATTGTTGGCGCAGTTTTGCGGTGCTGGTTTGAGATGCGGTTCGTCAAACAAGTGATCCCTTTTCGATTCTACCTTCGTGATGGATGGTCTAGACCGTCTTTCTTTGTTCCTTCCTGGATTCATCTTGTAACAGTATTCCACACGTTCAGCTATCCCATACATCCCGCGACTTCCACAGTCGTTCATAATTCCGAATCTCATCGGCCGCTGTGGGCTATACCTACATTCGAAGTGATCATATGCCCCGCACTCTACTCGCATCAAACAAAGATCCGGCCTATCATATCGCTTTGAAGCTTTTGAAGTTTCCTTGTCCGGAAGGATAGTCTACAATTTTTCAGTGGAGCATCCACATTCGACCTAGCCAAAACTCCGACCATTGTCCTTAGGAGTAGCCCATATCTACATACGTATGCAGTTATTCTTCTTTCGCACTCAGCGACATTGGAACGCCAATCTTCATGAGCTAGTATATCTGTTCTGTTTAGTGTGTATATTGGGTGCAGCGTTGCATATGCACAGTGTAGGCTGAGGCTCAAGCTTCAGGCTGAATTTCGATCCGACAGTTAATGCCGGACAAAGTTACAGTTCCACGACGTTCTGGGGAGAAATTGCCACATGTTTGGCGCAACGCGATCGAACTTTCCAGCTAGTTGGCGATGGATTTGTGGCCCGACCAGTAGTCGATCGCGTTTTAACAACGTTCATAATCGAACCTCCGCAGAAATCACTGTCTGAGTATCAATCTAGTCGAGCATTTTCATTCGTGCAGGTTTTTTATGTCTGTCTGGGCTCTCTCTGATATGAATGGTGTTCCGAAACGGAAGGTCGCGCTTCGGAATTCCTCAGTTCCTGTGGTGGCGCACGAACACAAAGATACATAGATACAAGTTCCGTCCAGGACTCAGACTGATTGGTTAGCCAGTGCGCATCGCATATGAAAGCGAGAGATAGATTATCCATATTAATTATTCCAAAACGACGGTATACAAAGATTGTACAAAATATACAAAATATACAAAACGACGCATATGATATATGTACAGTTTAGATTTAGACTGTTTAGTGTTGGTACAGATGATTGATGATGATGGTTAACGATGCAAGAAAAAAGAAATCGTTCCTCGAGAACGAATTGATAATACATATAGTGAACTGAAGTCAGTTTGATGTTATGAGTTGGTTGGGCGTTCCAAATCCATTTGTCTACTTGCAGGGAGGGGGCCATTATGTTTTCGTGGACAAGTTGGCAGATACATACATTAAAAAGAATGAAGAAAAATTTCAAGCAAAACCAGCGGTAGCAGTCATGGTGCCAAGATGAACTTTGTCTTTTCCGGAGCTCCCTATCGACGAAGTATATTGATATGCGTCCCGTTCCCTCGTGGGCCGCCCTGTTTTGAAGGGCGTGGACGTTGCTGAAGATCGACTAATTGAACTAGACACAAAAGCTGAAGAGCTTACATCAGTGTCTTGTGTCTTCAAAGCGCGGGACGACTCCCGTTTTCCAGAATGAGAGATCCCTATTGGGCGTGAAGTAGTAGTAGGGGGTCGTTCAGGCTCATAAGTGCCAAAACGATTGACAGGATTCGACGAGGAATGTTCATTGTCGCGCGGCGCGGGAGGAGAACGACGACCAGGTTGCTGTCGAGATCGATCCGAGTCAGGGACAGTCGCTTGAGGGCGGGGAGAGCTAGACGCTTTGAAATTTGGCGATACAGATAGAAGCGTTAACGACTCAGGGTTGCCTGGTTCTCGCAAGCCCTCCGATACATCTAAAGTCCTCTCTGACTTCCTCTTCTCTCGTTGAGCGTTCTCCATGGCGACAGCATGACTACTGGCCCGCGACAGTGCTGGTCTTTGCGACAGGTTGCTATTAGAGTGTATCGAGCCTCCAATTGTAATTGAAGTGGTCGGCTGGACTGAAGGGATGGGGATTGGGGCAGGAGACAATGAGCCAGCAGAATTTTCGAGTGAGCGAGTGGGCATTGAACGACGGGGTGACGAACGATGACTTGAATTTGAGACCTTGTCATATGAGGAATGGTGATCCATTGTGCTAGGCAAAGACGAAGACACGTTCGGGGGGGTATCAGTGAGTAAATCATGGAGGTGATTTCGTAACAAGCTGTTACGTTCTAAGGGGTTTGGAACCACTACAGGCAGGTTGTCTTCAATAGGACGAACAACTGGTGAGGCAGGACGGGTAGGAATGACAGAACGACTCGAAAAGGATTGTGATCGAGAAGCTCTTTGACCAGCATCGTCAAGCCTTGGCGCAGTTAAGGAGAGCAGACTGGGGGTCACGGGAGCCGTTGGTGGATTGGAGGATACTTCTTCTGGAGTGTTCTGGGATACAGGCAGGCGATCGTACGAACGCGGGGAGTCGCCTTCTGAATCATCGTCACCAGGAAGACTGACAAAGTTATCTGCTGCGAGCGCATTACTAGTGAATTCAGGCAAAGGAGATATCATGAACTCTTGCTCGGGAACATCGAGCCCTTTCAACTCTGAACGTTCAAAACGCTCTTCGGACGTTCGCGACGAATCGAGGCTAGTCCTCGTCTGGCGCTGGTAGTCAGGGTGTTCCTGGTAAAATGAGCCAGTAAGACGATGAAGTTCGTCCCGCAGTCCGTCATTCAACGCCTTTTGCTGGTTGAGCTAGCATACTTTAGAATTCGAAGTAAGGTTCTGCGCAAAAACAACACTCACTTGTCTATAATGATAAAGGGCATCAGTTAATGGCAAAAGGAAATGAAATGCAGAAACTCACTCTAAGAGGTCAATGTACTTGTTCTGCATCTCCGATACTTTTTGCGTGAGTTCCAGCTCTCGCTGCACGGCTGTAGCTTGCACCTCTTTCTTTTCCCCTTCAGCCTTTCTTCTTGCATTGACAGCCTCTTTCCTCGCGCCATCCAATTCTAACAACCGCACCTGGAGTTCATCGTACTCTGCTCGGCTCCCTTCAAGTTGTTCTCTGAATGAATCAACGGCCTGATTCTGCGACCTCAACGTACTCTTCACTTCACACAGATACGCGATCATGCGAAGACTAACGCGCAAATCCTGAAACTGGAAATGAAGACCGTGTTACATTGATTTACATGAAAGAGGATGAGTGACGATACATACTAAACTTCGAGGGTGACCGGAGAGAAAGGTTTTGCATTCTGATATCAGCGAGCGAAGATTGGCTTCAGAAGTGCCAGCATTAGCAACTGCAGCAATCCTCTCATGAAGAGAACGGGCCTCTTGTTCAGCAGAGGGAGTATCTCCTGCGCTGCCAGGCCCGGTGGACGCTGCTTTGACGCTATCCAAATCAACGTGAAGCTTGACTGTTGATCTGGGGTCAAAGGGAACTCGGCACAGAGGACAAGTCTGACGCGTGATATGGCGAAGACAGTCTGCGCAAAATACGTGTCCGCTTTACACATATCAGAACAACAAAGTATTGGGAAACGAAATGACACTAATACTTACCATGAGATCGAACACGGTGCCTTCGAATCAGCACCAAAGGATTCGAGGCAAACATCGCATACTGAGCCTGGACCGAGGCTGAACATCAATGGAGGAGGGAATGGTTGGTGCCGGAGAGGTTGGGCCGGGAGCTAGATACGCAAAAGCAATTCGACAGGAAAGTGAAGCGGAATATAAGCTGCGACGGGTATGTCAACACGTGCCATCTATTGGTTCCTTTGGAAAGAAAGCATCCCAAAAGAGCGAAGCCTCGATTTAGGGCACGAGGCTAGGATAAGCGAGCGAGACGAAATGAACCAAGTCACGTCGCTCTCCTCAATCATAGTGCCCACTGTTGGACATCAGCATGCGGCAAGTCAAAATAGATGCCGAAATTCTTCATTTGCTCGATATCACGGTGATTCTACTGCTCTTCCATGGTTCTGTACAATGTTATGTCTAGAGCTAGTTGATGTTCCTTGATTCGGATTTCAATAGCCTTCTCCAGTCTTCTCCTTTGTCAGGACTGGCTGTAGATAAGGTGATGTCCGTGATCCTTCGGTGACAGCGACTCTTGACTTCATATCTCTCATCGGATTCGGACCGGTACGAGATGTAGGGATGCAAAGAAAGGTCTGTACCCAGAATATAAAAGATACACTACTGTTTTACACATCCATGGTGCAATCATGTCATAGATACTGAAGTCCAGGAGTAAGCGGTGATTTAGAATATAACAAGGTAGGCGACGCACCAAAAATTGTGGATCCAGTACGTTTTTCAGTCGGGCAGAATTGACAGGACTATGCCTTGAGGTAAAATGGCTATATGTTGATCTGAGTCCTCAGAAGTTCTCGGAAGAGTTCACTTCCAAGCGGCGACGGGTGAGAGCTGAGTAATATAATGAAGCGTCTCATGAGAGCAAAAACCACATGTAGTCAAAAATGAAAAAGCTACGAAAAACGTCGTGACATCATAGCGTGATTATTCGGTCATGTGACTCTGGAATTAGCGTCGCGTCGGCGGCGCCGCCTATCGAGAAAGCACTGGCACTTCTCGTCTTGAATATGCACTGGGTACATGGTCAGATAATCTCGTATAATAGGCGTACTGAATACTGCATTGTGCAAGCCCTGTCAATTTTTCCTGTGAGTTTACAAAGGTGAGCTGTGTCTGATTGGCTTGAACCGTCTTGCCCAGGCTGCTCGTTGACGTTCAGATCAGGGCGCGAGTCTATTAACAGTACTAGGAGACCTCCTGATCGAGGAAGCTTTCAGCTCTTATGGTACAGCTGCTAGCCCTTACTTTCCATCCTTTGCAAGTAAGGTTTGAGGCTTTGAGCGGGCCTGAGATTCAATTCTTGAGAAGCCAATGCAAATTTAGTACAAGCTGTACCATATTCATTGAGCACTGAGGGGACCGACGCTTCTATGGGAGCCCGCGAGCGGCCGGTACTCATGCATGACTATGATCATCTATGGATAGGATAGGATAGAACAGAAATTATATCTATTGAACTTTTCGCGAGACTGAAGTATGTAGTAGAGACTGTAGAGGGTATTAGGATAATATGTTTGATGAGCGTGAGTTCTGCTCTAAATAGTGCGATACTCTCAGTCGTGTGTACGGTCTTCTTGTAAAGAGTATTGCCACGAAATTGTTATATGGTACGAAACACCATGATTTGCTATGAATACTACGTGACTTAGACGTATTATCGTCAGCCGGTACTGTACATATATATGCGGAATAAATTGGACCAACAACCAACAACCGTATGTACAGTTTTGAAGAGCCAGCTTTTCGATCGAGTCTTCTGCAAGTTCAGATCCTAGAGTCTGATTTAGATGAGAATCGAGATACTTGAACTTCGACTTACAGGACTGATCAATTCACCGCAGTTTTAGACGGCTGCAGATCCAGTAGCGGCCAGATTATGTATTGGTTCAGTGGACCGGTTAATTATTTTTCTACAACCAATAAGCCCATGAACGAACCGACCTGAGTAAGAATCGAGTGAGGGTCCAAAACGAAAGCGCTCGAAACGTGTCTGACTGTCACCTGACTCCACCTAAGCGCTTGACACAATGCCAGCAAACTTTCCATCTTATCCCTGTACAGTGTACTGCAAGCTAAACTATGGTAAGAAACTGTGATATCGTCATCTTTGTCCGTACTGATTCTGTGCAATCAGTCTGACTCTGATAGTCCCCGGTCCCCAGCTATTCGCTCTACTGCGTCTTCCGTGGCAAAGCCCCCTGGCGCTCAAATACGGTGCGTTAAAGGCAATTTTATTACAACATGGTACTCATATCTACTACCACTCTGCAGGCGACGGGCGACAGGTAATCAGGCTGCCAGACCCAACTCTTCTCGGGCTGCTGGTGCAGGAGGGTCTTCAAACACAATGTTGAAGTTATATACGGATGATTCACCTGGGTTACGAGTGTGAGTAACAGTACGCATTGAAATGCATGCGTTCTAATCTATCGCACTCAGTGACCCCTTCATCGTTCTCGTCCTATCTCTTGTTTTTATTGGTTCCATCTTCTTTCTCCACATTTCGGCCAAGGTTATACGCATGTTCACAAAGTAAACTTACACTGGCAATGTCATTTGGAGCAGCTACACACTGCGAACTAGTTTTGCCCATGTATAAACACTCTCGTTCGCTATGACACTCGTTCTTTATCAGGACAACCACGGCGCATGAATTTTCTTTCGGGCTACATCTGTATGTGGTTATTGTCAGATGTGCATTTCCTACACCTCTCGCGCTGTAGAATGGACTAAATCTCTAGTCTATTCAGAGGCTTTTGCGCATTCTCCTACGAACCAGTCAACATCCCTTTATGATTTATGAACCGAACTGGCTTGATTCGTTCCCATTTGACTATAAGGTTTGTGGCCCTTGATGCTGGATAATTTCCTAATATCCAACCTGTCGTACGTCGCGCGATATTTCAACTCATGCTGAAGGCATTGTGCACTTAATGGTATCTTTAAAATGCCTACCCTTCTTCGAACCTCTTGACGTTCGGTATGTCTTTCCTCCCCGATTCTTATACACCTGGGCTCTTCTTTTCTTTCATTGCCGAGGAAAAAACAGATCTCCTATGATATTCTCTCTTACTTCCGTCCTCCGAATTAGACTTCCCATGTCATTCGGACTGGACGACGTGTGATATTCATGTAAATCTGAATGGACATTGTGTTCGGATGGCTGTAGATTGGATATATGGTTTTCTGATTACACGTTGTAAATGCATGTCTTCATTTCTCTTTGATGCTGAAAACTAGACGAGTGTATCTGTGTTTCCCATGAACGTAATGCCTCTCCTCGGTATTAAGTTGGTCAGTTGTGTGGACAAGCGTCGTCGTAGGGTGTCGCGTGCCGAACCCCTACTATTCAAACTTCATTACCAGAGCCTTTGCGTTCCTACTGGCTCTTAGTAGAGAATTCTTCGACTTGGGACGATGGAGGTCAGTTTTCCCGGAAAAGGGGACTGGATGAATTTGATCATTTTCGAATTCTAGCGCTTTCACCATTTTACAGTTTAAATCACTTCGTGCATTCCGGGGGGGGCAGGACCTTCATGCCAGCTGGTTATCAATATCTTCAATTCACTTCGGCCCTTCCTCCTAAAGAGTTCTACGCTCACTATTTCCCGTCCCCTACAAAAATGCCTCACCTTCTACTGCCGTATGTGAAGAGCTCTACCAATGATCTGATCTTAAGGATTCAATAGCGATCGTATAATGGCAGGAAGAGTCAAACTTTAAAACAAGAATGAACCTAGCTTCGTGGAAAGGGTGAGACGAAGTTCATTATCTCAGTTCTAGAACAAGTCTTTGGGCTTATTTCAACATTCAGAGTGTATGCCAGGCCTATAACTCGCGATGGACGCCTGTTGTATACGAAAACTCTTGCTATCGCATCACTATGCCGATTCCGTAGTTCCTCGCTGATACTATAGTTTTTCTCATTCAGATAATGAGCATGAGAAGTAATGGGCACAAAAGGCAGGCGTGAACAATCTGGAATTGTCAAAAAGATGATTACATAGTACTTAGTATGGAATGAGACATTCACTGAAGATCATAGTTCTTCCTGGTTCTTCTAATTCTGACTTCGAGCAAGACAAGGACCTTCTCGCAGGTAGGAATTCTAGGTCTAGACACTGCTCAGAAATAGTTTTATCGAATTGAGTAGCTTTTGTTGAGTTGAGTAGAGTGTACGTCGATGTTCCAGGGTTTGAATGTTTGGTACTGCATCTATTGAAAACTTCCCTCCCTTGACTCGGTACTAAATCTTGACGTCCTTGGCCGATGTCGACCAACGTGTACTCCTGGCATTCCACAATTTACACTATATCGTCGTCAATGAAATGATCACGAAGATGTTGGTTGCTGGGTTTAACCTGGTTTAACTGGTCGGGCCTTTGAAGTCTTGAGAAGTCTTGAGATAGTAAGGAGATTCAAATTGGCATTATTCAAGTAAGCCCTAACGGATTTCAAGTTAAAATGACTTCCAGACACCTGCTGAAACGCCGGTCTTCCTTCCTCCTCCTCACCGACACCTTTGAGCGCCAGTTTCAAAGCGTCACAAGTGAAACTTCGTAGATTATCGGCTTGAGTCTAAACTATAGCACTCGAGATTCGGCTTTGTGGGACGTGATCGTCGAGCGTGAGCAGGATAATCAATGGTTGTGGTAGGCTGTACTCTGGCTGTACTATAGCGAAGATACATATTGTGGGAAGAGATATACTTTTAGGCGTTTGTTATTTGACGCCCATTGATGGAGATCATAAGTAAGTATAGACACAAACAACGGATTTCCTTTCTCCGAGTCCTCCAACTATGTCAGGGCTAGACATCACTGTCGAAAGGCTCAGTGCTCAAAACACAGAAGCGACCACTACACCAGGGAGTACTACTGATACTTCAACTCCGGCGACTTCAATTACTGGGCTGGATGTCGAGAAGCTAGCGAAATCAGAGGATACAAAACGGATCCCTTCATATCAATCCATCTTCAACTCGCCTCCCCCAATCAAATATCCATACAGACCGAACGAAGCGCTCGGAGATATCCCAGGGATTAGTTATGCGTTGGAACTTTTCCTAGCGTCGCATATGGTGGAATCAGAGGACTACTGCAACAAAAGCGACGTGAATAAGTACGTGTCATGCTTTATTGAACTCACTATGACCGATCTGATTGTCTCTTCTATAACAGAGAAAGATTATATTTTGCCACTGGTTATGGGCTCATACAATGTGTGAAAGCATTAATGTCGTACGCTGATGAGGCAAGCTTATCGTTGGGAAGCTTGAATATCCTTCATTCAGAATTCCGATTTAGGACATTCTTTCTGGCATAGAACACACAAAGCAGGGTAACCTCATTGCTACCCAACACCGGAAGAAAGCCGCGTTCTTCACCTCTAGATTAGCCGGCTATGTTGTGTCATCTTTGAATACGACTGGTGTTGGATTTATTAGGAGTATGACAGATGTGGAACGGCATGCAGAGCTGGTATACGCTGAAAGCCTTTTTGAAAAAGTGCGCTAAATTTCTTCTTACGTGCTTTCCTGACCATCATTTCTCCAGGCTCTTCTTGGTATCGTGTATTCCGGTGATTGGCTCGCATTCATAAAAGAAACGTGCGCAAGCCTTCGAAGCACATTGTGTAAATTGACTGAGTATATTCCATAGTTTGAACATGCGAACCACTATTCAAGTTTACCGTACTCTTCACAAATACATCAATACGATGGATGCTGAGTCCGTCGCGAGAGGAGGGCCTGCTGAAGATCCCTCCATAGATGCTCATTTTCGCTCCGGCGTGTATCTCGGTGCCGGGATGTCATCACTGATTCTATCTCTCCTGCCCACAAAACTACTTACAATTGTAGAGATGTTTGGGTACAAAGGTGATCGAGCAGAAGCTCTCGAGCTTTTAGGACGGGCCGGGGGTTGGTCAAGAGATAGTGATGAACCCGGCGTATCTGCGGGTAAAGTTTTCCTTGCTTGACTTGTTGACAGACATGAAACCTTCTAGTTGCTTTGCTATAGCTCAGGAAGGCGTCAGACGGACAATATGTGACATGGCGCTTCTGATTTTCCACCTTGTTCTTTCTAGCTTTACCTTTGATGGTGTGGACGTTACGATGGCGCAGAAGATCATCAACTGGAATTTGAAGCGATACCCAGATGGTATGTGATTTCTAATGGTTGACTTGTGATCTTACATAGCCGATTTTCAGGTGTATTCTTCCTCTTTGGAGCCGGTCGTGCTTCACTTGCCAAATCTCAGCCATTACGAGCGATTGGTTACTACACCCGCGCAATGGAGGTGCAGGCACAGTACCGAAATCTTCACCATATATCTTACTGGGAGATTGCTATTGCCCGTATGGCGCTGTGGCATATACGAGGTAGTTTGGAAGCTTGGGAAGTTCTTCAGGTGGAAGCTACCGTGAGCATGTCCTTCCAAACTTTGATTATGCATGTTCCTGGTATGGTTTATTGATCTTAGCTACCTAGTGGTCCAAATCTATTTATTCGTACGGAATGGCCGTCGGTTTGCTGGAGCTTGCCGATGCCCTTGAACGCGGGGAGTTGGAATCCGAACCAAAAGCAAACATCACGAATGAAAAGGCCCGTACGCCAGCGAAAATGCGGGAAGAGGCGACAAAATTGATGGAAAAAGTCCCTGGACTTCGGCAGAAGATTGCAGGCAAGAGTATACCTCTGGAGGTACGAGGTCATCATATTCTTCTGTTGGTGGTCGAGAGTCTGATCCTTCAATAGAAATTTGTCGCTCGGAAAGCTCGAAAGTACATTTCACAAGATCGGAGACTGGCACTTCCTATGCTCGAACTTGCTTATCTTGCTCTAGCTATCGCACATGCGCCTATGAACGTTGTGGAAACCAGTATGATACCTGAGGTCAATCGTACCTTGGCAGAGCTTGACAAGTGCAGAGATAATCATAGAAATTATTATAATGGGAAAGGATATTGGGACGATTATTGTCTAGCAAAGCTGTTAGAGGGCGTTTGCAAACGATATGTGGCTTATCCAGCAAGTCCACATACTCTTCGCATCACGTTAAAGCAACGCTAATCACCATCTCAGGACCCCGATGCGGAACTGGATCCAGCACAACTCCCTAACATTCCTCGGGATCAAGCAGCAAAGGAAGCAAAAGCAGCATTTCATGCGGTCTTGGAACATGGACCAAAAATCGACTTCGACCACCAACTCGTGTATCAAGCTCGTGAGTGCCGACATTTGTACGATTGAAGATTCCAATCCATTAATGCATACTAGATTATGAGATAGGCCGCCTATTGGCTTGTCAGGACGATACTGCAGGCGCTACAAAGCATTTTGATCTTGTTCTCTCGGGTATGTAACTACCTTTCACCTCTCTTTAGATGCAGACCATTGATATTTTTTGAAGGGAAATACCTCGAAGTAGGGCCTTCAGGCAGGAAGGGTAAATACAGCCTAGAGGTCCGTGAATTGCATCGATGTCGATTTTCTTCTATACTGACCTCTTTGTTCAGAATGCGTTACACATGCGTACGCATGCCGCTCTTGAAGCTCTGCACCAGAAGAGACTTTAAAAATCTTTCTAGGATTGTACTACCATCCGTTTGCATCCATATACCCTTATCGTTTATCGATATTATTCATTTATTGTCGATGTTTTCATATCCTTGCATTTGTACAGTCATGGCGCCGTGTATCTGTCTATCTATGTTGTGGTTTCGTGCTTTCGTTTTCGCTTGTCACATATTTGTTATCTGTTATAGAATAATGACCACGAACTAATGAACATGATTGCACCCCCTTGTAAAAAGCAAATCTATTCTCTTAATGTCTCTGTGGGCATTTCTATCTCTATAGCAAGTTAATCCAAAAATACGGCTAATGCAGTCTGGCTTAATTCTAAATTGCATCGCTGGCACGAACAATCGAAAAACCAATCCTTTGACAGTGACTCTCGTCTCACGTTGACGACGTCCTCGATATCGATATAATTTATACATAGTTCCTCGTTTTGTTGTATGTCTCTCTTGGTGTAGAATAGCATTGATCGTCCTTGCCGTTCTTTGCGTATATTGGGAGAACAGTCTGGGGCCAGAAGTGAGCCAGTCGGCATTCAAATTCATAAAGTCCGATAGATAACATACCATGGTTAAAGTAAGACCCTGCGCTAAAGATCGCATAACCCAACATCTCGCTGTCCCCGACGACTTCAAAAAGCCCAAACGCGTTGCCTTGATCGCGAGCGAGGAGTGCCCGGATGGTATCCGACGATTCAACATAGGGCCGAAGAATGGGAATGTTGAACCAGAGTGCGCTCCGAAGAAAACGATAAATACACAGATGTGATGCGATGGCGTAAGGTCTGCCTTGAGTGTACACCAATTCGTTATCCTGCAATTGCAAAGCCTGTGACCAGGTGCCAGTCGTGAGTTCATTAGACGATGAAGGATATATGACTTCTAGGTGTCTACGAATGATTGCTGAAGCCAGGAATCGCGCAGTGTCCAATTCTAACTCATTTAGAGATTCCTTCGAAGCCGCGTTTATCGACGTTTCTTCCGCTCTTTTCCATGCGGAATCGATATCTGCCATACTGATCGTGGAAGTGGATGACGGGGGCGATACGTTCTCTGATTCCTTTGCGAATCGTTTCTTCATAGTTTTTTCCAGCCTATCGAGAGCCGCGTTCACCTTGGCCACCAGATTATCGACATTCTGAGTAGATTGCCAGTCTTCTTTGCACGCGTCGCTGCAAAAATACGAAGAACCACCATCGAATTCGTGCTTAACTTTCCAGGTATTCCGATTGTATTCGTAGGCGTAGGAGAAGCATTGGGCGCATACTTCTTTGCGGTACCTCCGATACACAACCGAGGCATATGGCGAAGTGGAAACAAGTAAAGTGTCCTTGGGAATGGAAATTTTGGCGAATAAGCCCCGACCACCATAGTGAGTCGTCTTTTGGACCAAGTACGAGTTCTCCATGGTGGTAAGAGGCAAAAGTTGAATCGGTATTTTATGTAACTGCATTGGCAAATGTAGATACCTGATATTTTCTCACCTTTCTTCTCATTCATAGTATCAAGTCCTCCTGTCAGTCCCACTTAGTGTTGATTATAGCAGGTTTCCGTGTAGGATGTCCACATATGTTACTGGGTTTTATGCCTTTTTGATTGGCAGTTTAAGGTCTACCAAAGACATTAACAGGGTTGACTATGGTCATAATACTGTACATCAAACACATATATAGGCATTATTACGATACAGTATTCAGGTCCGTCCTTGTACGAGGTAGCGAAGTTTTCCGTGTAGAATGACGCATTAATCCTTCTTCGCCGTCACCGAGTCCTTTTTTTTCTCTGCCACATAATGCTGCCTCTTTTCAAGATCTACATCAGTTATATGTTAATCCAAAATGGGCATTCAGAAAGTATGCAGTTAGCACTTACCGAAAGCCCACATCGCCGCACCAACCCTGTTAGAAATTGTAAACACCAAGCCAATGATGGGGAAACCTTCCAGGAGGGCAGCAGTAAACCCAAAAGCTGACATTAAAGAGAGGTAAGAATGACAAATTAGAGATGAGCATTAAAAGGTCAAACATACTTCGGTAATCCCATTTGTGTTCCTCCATAAATATCGCGACTTCATCCGGTGTCATTTTCTTTGCTTCGAAGTACTGCAAGTTGATTCAGTCATAAGATGACCATTGATCGAATGCAACACACCCGTCGATGTAAGATCCGGGCTGTACCCATTCCCTTGAACCAGGCCGAGATGAGAATTCCAACGAGAGGGTAGAAGTTGAATGGCAGGAGAAGAGCTGTGAGGTCCCGAACGCGGTTGATTTACTATCCGCAACAAAGAATAAACATCATACTCACCTTTCTTGAACATGAACAGAAACCAGTTACTGAATGCTTGCTCGTACCACATTGCAGAATGAACTGCTTTTGGTGGTTGATCCCATTCCTCCGTATACGGTTGCCAAAAATCCTCGCCCTTCCCGCGTGAAGCAACGGTCTGGTTCCAAGCGCGGTCTCGTGCGATACGGATATTCCGAGATAAAAAGAAGCGGAGGATGTAGGTTATTTGTTGACCAACAAGGAGAACAGCAGCATCTTTTGAAGTGAAGTTACAAAATGGAAGAGATAATGCAAATGTGGCGCGCGACGCACAAGTATGAACGTTGAAAGGAACAGGATAGCCAAAGATAGTGTCCGTAGCAAGACCTGTCACTTTATGCGAGCTACAAGATAGTTCAATGTACAGTACTTGGCATAATAGATCATTCGTAAGCTTGGAGCTTACTTGGCAAGGAAAATCTCGATAAATTTCTTTTGGATTCCAAAGGTGAAAAACGCCTGGTTTGCACATAATCAGTCATGACATTGTTCCAAACGAGTAGACGCTAACCCAAGCTATCCCCACCGCCGCTCCCCTGACGGTTCCGTGCTGACATTTTTGCCATACAGGAACGTACAAATTCTGGTCTGTACACAGTCGATAGACGCCTACCAAAGCATACGAGGGCGGAAATTGGAGTCGATGTGAGGACCTTTTGAGATGGTCTGGGAGATCACCACGAAGAAGGCTGCTGTTCTTTTCAGCGAGGGACCTGTTAGACTTGAATAGTTCGTTTTGTGCTTCAGGACCGTCGGCCATGGCCGACATGGGAGGAGGAGTGTGCGTTAGGGTTAGGGCTTGTAAAGCTCATGCCGGCATCAAAATTCTACTAGTACTGGCACTTCGTTACAGACCGTTGTCTTGTACCAGCGTTATAGTGAAATCTCTGCTAGTCATGCTCCCTCATGATCTCTGCTCACATGTTCAAAATGCCTTCCGCGCGCGCCACGCCAAAATTTTTGTTGAGCACAATACACAAAACCTCGGAATTCTCTCCATCCTCCTTCGAGCCGGCTTCATTTCCAACATAACCAGAGGAACGATTACCTCTCCAGACCCTATCGCATTCCATAACGTACCCGAACCTCAGCAGCGAATTTGGGCTGATCTCAAGTACAGAAACGATATACCGGTCCTTAAAAATATGGAGTTGGTTAGTAAACCCAGTAAGAAGGTCTTTATGGACTTGGGGGAGATCAGGAGATTATGCAGTGGTAGAAGAGCGGGCTCCGTACCGCCATTAGGAATGGGAGAAATTGTCGTTGTCAGGACGAGGAATAAAGAATATCAGTGGCTAGAAGCTCGCGAGGCATTGCAGATGAAGTTGGACGGAGAGGTAGTCTGTCGAGCACGGTGAACGTGGAGGTATAGGGGCTTTGTACGTTTATTTAATGCACACTCTTAGTCCTATGCTCATGCCCTGGGAGCTAGTATCTTTTTTCACTCTTTATTTTCACATTATCCAAAAAAATATCAAAACGGATGCGTCTGCATTGAGCACCAACATTCTTGTCTAAATCCCGTACTATCCACACGGGATGCTAAAATTATCAGGATGTTGCGAAGGAAACGTTGCAGTCCGACCTCCGTCACAACGAGAAAAGTTTTTATATGATTATTTGGTGCCCAGTTATTTCCTGACACAACGCGGGACTCGTGAACCGTTCTCAGCTTGGTTATACTTTCTCCTCCATTTCACATGAATTCGTAACTTGGTGATTTCTCAGTAACTCAACTCCGATTTGCTATCCCGATGATTTCTCGAAAGGGATTTGCCTATGCTGTCATAATAGTACATCAATAACGATCATTCTGTGTGCATGCGGATTCCTGCATTCTCAGCCGAGTTCTCAAAGAGAACGGACAGACTTCAGCCTTCAGTAATCAGTGCAGCTATCTTCTATGCCAATCTCGACTCCAGTGGGAATGTCAGTGATGTCGTAGTTGTACCTGGTAAGTTTTGAAGTCTACAATCAGTCCTCTATCTCATTTTCTGTTATGAAGCACGAACCAGATGTAATGTCCTCCCTGGGGGCTACCATAGTTGACTCGAATGCGGCTGCACTAGATTATCGAGCTCGTCAACACAAATCAAATATATTTCAAGTATTAAGATACCCACAGGCTGCTCGAGATTGCACGCGTCTGCACCACCGCCAGGTGGACAGTTGATCAAGTTGGCGGGGTTACCGGGGTCGGTGATGCGACGCTCGAGGTTCGAGGTCGATACAGCCGAGGTAGCTACGATGAAGGCAGCGAGAGCGACGAGGGTGGTGGAGAATTGCATTCTGAAAAAGGTAAAGAGAAAAGTAGAGCTTGACTCTGGCTTTTCTCTGTCATTCTTGAGATTCTTTTATACCCTACAGCGGTACCTATTGCCGGTTTGTAACTAACAATGACTTTCCTGAAGGAAATTTCGGGAACTCCAGATGTAGTGTCGATTGAATGCTGTCGGAAGTCCATCGTTCGCAATTGTATCGAGCGCCACTCGAGCATTGTTGGCATATTAACTTTCTGTGAATGGATTCCTGCCAAGTGAAGCAGCGATTGGACATTGTTCTAGTGTCCAATTGATATAGGTACAGGTCACCGTACATAGGGCATTGGTAATGTGAAGACTTTCATTACGCGACCGTCCGTAGATCTCGTTGCTGCTCAGTAACATCGGTGAAATATGCGTATATTTGGTACCAATCAGTCTACATACAAGGTTACGTCGAATGCATCTCTTCTTGTGCTGCTTCCTCAAGATTTTGGGGTTCGAACTTGAAATTTTCACATTGCCTTCTGCACAATGCCTTCGCACTCAACCTTCAAACCGCGCAAACACGGCGTTGTATCAGGTTGAATCTATCCTGCGTTTTTGAACGTGATTCGGATGACAAAGAGTCAAAGCTGTGTTTAGCATCCAGAACAGGAAGTTTATTTGCAGCAGAACTTGAAGCAGTAAAAACCCGTACATTGACTGAAATTTCAGAGTTCGGAAGATATTTTACGAGGTAAGAAGGCGCCGTGTAGAGCCTTGCCGCAACATTGTCAGGAGATATCTCAATTGACTGTAAAGCAACTGAGGTACTCGAATACGCCGCCGCGGCGATCTACTTACAACTGTATATGCTGATACCTCAGGCTGTCTTGTTAGTATGTATGTACGTATGGAGTACTTCCCCAACAAAGATCTTACCTACAAACTCAACCTTCAAATCATGGAGCAGAACCTTCGAATGGGGCTCCGGTATTCAAAATTGAAGGTCAGAATCTTGGATGTAATAAGACTTTTCAAAGCAACAGTTGGTAGAGAATCAAGCGTTCCAGGCTCTCAAATACATGGCTGACCTTCTTTGCGTGCGCAATGGTATCATGATGCCAAGTAGCTCGCTGCCCGCACTTATTTTGGTTTCAAGGCTGCAATCTCGTTATATGTCCGCCCTAAGCCAGTTAGACTGACGACTCATGAGACACGTTCATGTACTCTGTGAGCCAGGCCTCGCGATCAGTGTGATAATCATGATTTCTATCATCATCCGTAGATGCAAGTGGAGCTGAGGATCATACCAAATTCAAGATTCTGCAAAGGGCATTTTGTTTTAATTGAAGGTTATATGGTGGCTTTACCACTCGATTCTCCTTGAACCAACTCAAACTTAATCGGTAGCACATAAGCAGCTGACTTGTCCGCGAGATATATCAGGCAAGTTCAATCACAATGGTTATTGTGGAGAATAACTATGTGGCTGCTGGCAGCACTGGGCGATGTGGTCACAAGAAATTTTGACTGCATTGACCATCGAGGCAGTGGCAATTAATCTGATAGTCAGTCATCTCCGGGGATAGAGTTTGACGATTTGAACGTTTCTTTCTCCAAGTCCACCGGATACTGCAAGGCATTTAAATGGGTGTGCAGTCATGTCCCGTGTCACATTTCAGCATAAATCAAGATCTGAGTAGATTCCTATTCGTCAACTACAGCGAACAAAGCCGATTGGACACCACTGGCATTTCATGATTCTTAGTGAGGAATGGAAATTTAGATAAAAGTCAGCGAAAGTCACGAACCTCTGAACTGCGAATCTCTCTACCTATATCGAGACTGCTTTACCACCTTCGAACTTCGATTATGCAAGATTATGCAGCTTTATTATTTCGTCGCCCTCGCTGCATTCGTTGCAGCTGTCTCCGCTACCTCGGTCTCCAACCTCCAACGTTGCATCACTGATCCAGGCAACTGCCCCAACCTAGACAACTATCCGCCTGACGGAGGTGCAGATACATACAACCTCGAACAGCCTGTAAGTGTATTTCATCATTAGAAAGATAAGTAAATAACATTGACGAACCTCTGCTGCGACATAGTGTAGCCGCATTCGGTTGAACTACGGGGTGAGTCCAATTCAACACCAGTACTTCGCCGTGGCCACTCTACTGGAACAAAGATTAGACATGGCACATATCTGAAGGTATACTACAGTTTGTCAACGCACTAAATTCTACAGTAATCGGTAAAGAAATGAGCAAAAAATCAATGTTTTCATTTGGGACCTTATTCAAGTTGAAAGTAAAGCGTGTGACCGAGGCGCCAACTTCTTTGAAAACAGCAACAAACGGTGAGTTCTAGAAGGCGCCCATTGATCGATATTTACCGATACATGACCTGCCTTCGAGCCCAATAGACATGGGTTGCCTTGCGGAAGAAGTGCTCTTACCTTGAGGCACTCCTGACTAGCACTTAATGCTCCTCAGAAGCTAACCGTGCTTCAAGCTCCCTGCTTTCGTACTAAATCTCTTGAACTTGAGGATAGTTACAATGCTAATCGTTGACGCATCCAGCTCCTGTGATATCTGCTTGGAGCCATTTGAATGGGATTTCACACAAAGATCGCCTCATATTATCGACTGCGGTGGGTTCCTCAGAATTGTCGTTCTTCGTTCTTCCAGTTTCCTGATTTTTCTTGAAGGGCACGTCTTCTGTGCAGAGTGAGTTCTGAATATCCTCATACCAGGCAATAATTTGAATGATCCTTCTGTAGATGCTTGCATCAAGTTTTTCCTACCAAATGTCCCCTCTGCCGCAAATTATATCTTCCTAGTGAAATACGCAAGCTCCATGTCGAGTGTCGCTCTGATGATGACAAAGAAGAAGTCGACCTCCTCAAGGAATTGATCACAGCCTATGATTCTTCGGAAGAAGATATATTGCGCCTCCGAATTCGAGTAGACTCATGGCTTTCATCGCGAACACTTAATGAGGTATGTGCTGAGGTTTCGTGGTATTAATGGCTGACTGGTAATTTTGATTCAGCATAGTCCTCTTCGTCGAGCTCGCGACGCATTGGAGCAATATCAACAGCTCAAACAAAAAAGGTTTCAGGATCGAAGGAAGATCAAAACTTTGGAAAGGGCTGCTCGGCAATGGGAGAAATCAGTTCAAGACTCCGCCACGAGGAAGGAGGCTGAAGCTGCGATCATGGAACAAACATTGCGGAGGTGTGTTTCTTCACGCTCGACACATTATACTGATATGAAAACATTCGTTTTTAGCCAGCTCGCAGAGCACCAAGCACAGATTACTCAGCTTCGTGCTGAGATAGACAAAAAGCAAGCGCAACTCGACCGTAGCAAATTGAAAAAATCGACACCCAAGCCTCTACCGCTACCACAGGTTCTGACCCCCATCTCTAATCCTCTTCCTACCCCACCGCGATTAGTCCGTGTCACCACAAATAAATCCACTTGGCCTGTCGATCACAAAACCCGAAGTAATACTATGCCTCCTCCCCGGTTCCCCATCCTCGAGCGCGATGATGGTTTTGATGGTTTGGAGGACAACGCGGCATACTTTACCTGTCGAACTGCTCCGTATGCTTGGTTGGATGATGAGGAGTTTGGCGATGAATCGTCATTACAGAGGCCAATTAAAAATGCCCATTGTTAAAGATGAGGATTGTTTCTAATCACTGCTGGTCAGGTTATCGGGATCCATGATGATATTTTATGCGCTGTTGTACACTACCTAATTTGAGGTCATAGTATTGTTCCGGGCGAGTGCACCATGAATTTGAACATAATGACCAGATTATCAATAGCGCAGGAACTTGTTGTGTGATAGGTATAAGTGATGGTATCGATACAGCTAGATGTCCAAAATAGAAATACAACTGGGTAATATATGTACGAGTTATGTGTAGAATCAATGTGAATTAATAACGAGTTCTGAAGGTGTAAGGTCAAGAAATACAGTGAGGATCGAAGAAAGGGCCACGATCATAATATAAAAGGATAAGAATTTTGAAGTTTGCTCATTTGGTATTCTATTTGATAAGATTGGTTGAATATTTTTGACCAATAGTATCGAGAAGCAGGAAACTCACTCATCAGTGGACTATCCATCGCTAGTATCGACATTGTAGTCATTCCCACTTCCAGACCTTGTCGTAAAACATTAGAATTGATTTGACTTTGGTTATCAAGATTCCAGTCCCCCAGCATCTCTGTCCGAGCTAGCTCGTCACCAAAGACGCTACAAGCCATAACGCAAAGCGTCCCCAGAATTGGATTCAAGTGCGGAAGACCCACTTGGTTCAAATCACCGAGGATACGTATAATCTCCTTCGCTGTCCCAATGGAGCGCTCCAAAGCGTCATGGACTCCACAGGACGAGAAGATTTTTTGCATCTGCATATAGGCACAAGAAACCAAAACATGCGTGACAACTAGAGAGCTTCTGGAATTCGAAGGGGATGGGGGAGTGGTAGAATAATCAAGGAAGGAGTTATCCACGTGCAAGGAAGGGAGTGAAGGGTGAAAACGTGTAAGCAAGCTCTCAATCACAAGGCACTCATTGACGAAAGCAGCGTAGGCATTTTCCGTCTCGATACCTATTAGAACAGTAAATTCTACGTCAGACCACAGAGCGACCGGGGGAACTCACCGCGGTTGAACTTATGCGTCAGTGCAGTAACAGAGTGAAGAATGACGACAGCTTTGGCGTATGAGCTTAACTCGGAACTTAGGTTGGAGATTGGACTCAAACCATGAATGAACAAGTCTATCGTGGAGTGTCCAAATGCTCCGCTGTTGCATAAGCCCTATGGTTACGCCGTGAATTGGCTGATATACAAATGCGCACATGGAAGATTACTCACAGCTTCGTATTCCTGAGGCCAAGGTGTATCCACTTCATAACGAGGGCTATCCAAACCACCAAAACATTTTGTGGTGTTCCCCAAGGTGATTGAAATGAGTCTGTGGAGACAATATACAGCCCAAAAGCCGTTGATTCGCTCACCCTCTTCAATAACGTCGCGCGCTGGAGGTAAGAACATCTCAGTCTCCAAAAGCACACTTACTACTGGGGACGAGAAAACTCTGTCGGACCGGATCTGGTGCAGTCCTGCCGACTGTGCAAGTGAAACAGCTCCATTCAAATGAAACTCGGCTTCTAGCAATTGGTTCTTTCGGAAGAAATATGTTGAGAGTAAAACCTCAGCCTGAATTGTGTGCATAATCTGAGCAGAATGAATGGCACTTGGGATTTCGATGGACACTTGTTGGAGAGCTCGATTAAGAAAAACAGTTTCGTTTGAACGAAGGGCATCAACTGGGGAGAGATGTGTACCCCACAGATAAGTCGTGTTAAGTAAAGCAGGGGAAGGTCTGGAGCTATCACCGAAGTGAGCTTTTAGTAGGGCGGCAGACCTGAAGCGTTCAAGATGCAAGAAGAATCCAAATTGTGTGGCGGAAGGTAGGAAATTATTTAACCTGGTATGTGTCATAAGCGATGAGTATAGTCGCTCGATCCCTACGATCCGCCGAGACTTACAGCATAGTGATGATAGAAACGGAAGGCTCCTTAATTTAGATATACATGAGCTCAATCCCTCAGATGACATTTACAATGCACTCACGGGAGAACCAAGTAGCGGGTCGTAGCTAGAACGAGGAGAGGAACTGGAATGATCTGCAAGTTATGGAAGTGAGAACCTTTGGCGGTGGAATAAATGTTGCATACTCACCAGAGTTAGAATGAGCTACAGACCCTGACATTGGAAGGAGACCTCCCGTGTCCACGGCATGAAAGGGGTCCGATAAATGCACCCCAGAGTCGGTCAATTCGGGGCTTTCTAATTCACGAACGCGTGCTTTTAGACGAATAACCCGTTGCTCTAATTCCTTGGTTCTAGAGGGTCCACCAGCGTATTCGCACTCTTCATCACGAGGAAGACGCATGCATGATCCACAAACTGGTCTCACCCCATCACATTTCTTCACGAGAATCTGGTCGTGAATACGGTGCAGTCAATCATATAACCCGAAGGACTTACGATTTTGTGAAATCTATTGCATGGTCGTTGAGTAAGTGCGCATGCTGCAATGTAGTATCCAGAAAGCATACCTGCAGTTGAGACATGCTTTCCCCCTTCGTAGCTGTTTAGTGGGCTCCTTGAAGATGAACTTTCGAGGAGTAGCTATAGATGATCCTGAAGACATTTCGCCCGTTAGAAGTTCAAGAACGAGAGATGAGGGAGGAGGGGAAGGAGTTGTCGAGAGTGTCGCAACCATGGTGGAAAGTTATAAAGGCATACGTTGATGGATCTCGGTGGATCCTGTGTCACAGTCAGGACGCGCGTTGAAGAAATTACTGATTTTGCCACGTGGCTGACAAAGTTGCCTAATACAGTAGCCTCCAATGCAGTGCGGGTGGCCATCAACGGACTCGAGGATAATTGAGGAGTGCACTCAAATTGTACTGAAGTAAACAAATGCTGTACTCAAATTGGTAAGTACTGTGTAAGCAGCAATTAGAAAATTCTCCAGAGGTTTACAGAGATCACAGCCCGGTTTGCAACAGCTACTTAGGCTCGATCGTCTTCAAGTTGAAGACTCAAATATTCATACTCAAGTAGATAGATTTCTTCACGTTGGCGGGTCTGTAAATGATCGTTCCGTAAAAAGCCCACTGTTAGTAGTGATAATGGTATAGGGATTCAGACAAGCTTGGGTGGGCTGGGAGTCGTCATAAGGATGAGGAGTATGCGCCTATAAATTTCCTTCACTCTGGTCGTCGGAGTGCACTAAGACCTATTGTATAAGTGATACTCGTAGCCTCATTTTGGCGAAAAAAGAAATTTTCACTTAACGGATTCGGAGAACCTAATATGTATAGCGACGATCAGGGGACGCTGGCTCAATTCAAAGAATAACGCCGGCGGTGAAGATAATTTCTGATGCACGACGGTCCAACTTGATTCTGGATGTATCTACGGGGATTGAAATGAAAACCGTACTTTCTGTCTCTGCTGCTCTCAAAGAAGGCGCTAGCCGCGAGCTGATACTGCTTTGAGTGAACGGGGAGAAACGAGTAACCAAAGCCCCAACTTGCTGAATATCATACAAATACATATAAGTTGACCACTTACAACTTCAATATAAAAAACACGCTGAAACACGTCTCTGCGTGAAACGTATGCACCTATGCTATCATGGGGGTATCATTGATCTTAAGTGCTTTCCCCTTCGACTGAGCTACTCAGTTATATACACTTACATACAGCATGAATTATATTGCTCGAAGTGGCACGCATTACTAAAAGGGGCTAGTAAGCGCTGGATCAAAGCGGCGCTTATTTTGTGTATTCCCTGGGCAGTCCTAGGCGTACATGAGAATGCAGCTTTTTGCAACCTCTGAATATGTACTAAAGCATTGAAAAGCGGCAAAGATGATTCCGATTTTTGAATTTCCACCGATACCGTCGTGGTATCTACCGCGGTAAGGAGGGTTGTCGATCATGTCGAGACACTGGCAAGCGATTTACTGCAAATCAATGGCCAGATTTTCATTAATATGTATCTACTGCATGTTGATTGAGCTAACATCGTTAACGGTGACCTAACGCCGTCAACCTTGGGACCTTGCTGTCTAATATTGCGGTTCTTTGCGCGAAAGAGTCGGGCAATGCGCAGTACTCGAATACATGTGATATACCATCCATATTTTCGCCGTAAGTTCAAAGTCCTTCTTGATGCTTGCACTCAGATTGCACGAGCCTAAAGAGATAAGTACGTTGACCCCGTCATATTGTTTGCCTGGTCAACCAGGATCAGCCTCGTCCATGGTAACTTACAGTGCTAAAGATTTTGATTAGAGGTAGCGGGAATTTACGTTGCCATGCTTTCGTCGGAAGAAAGGCCGACAGTCTATAACGGGCGCTTGATTTCGAGACTTTTGATTCATCTTGAAATCATCTTCACGCCAAACATAGTATTCAGACCACTTTCAACTTCACTCAAAATGGTGAACATATCAGCTTCCAAATGACACTTTGGGTTCATACGGTGTCTTTGGGTGGACCTACAACTGTTTGAATGGACGGAAATCGATGGATTGCACAATTTGTGTTTGGATGACGTTGGGTCAAAGACATAAGTATCTCCCGGATTTCCCGACACGCCTAGGATTATACTAGGAGCGAAGAATGTAATTCTGGCGCTGCTTCCCGTCTCTTCTCTTCTTAGGCGCCGAAAAAAGGAAAGGTTGTCAAGGAAGAGAACACCGTGTCTTTGGGTCCACAGGTCGCCGAGGGCGAGCTCGTGTTTGGCGTTGCCCACATATTCGCCTCCTTCAATGATACCTTTGTTCACGTTACTGATCTGTCGGGTAAAGAAACCATATATCGAGTGACTGGTTCGTACTCACAATTTGTTGTGTATAATAGCATCGCATCTCATGTTTTTTGAATAGGCGGAGTGAAAGTAAAAGCCGACCGTGACGAATCCTCACCCTATGCTGCGATGTTGGTTGCCCAGGATGTAGCTACCCGCTGCCGCGAGGTAGGAATCACCGCTTTGCACGTCAAGCTACGTGCTACGGGAGGTACCGGAACCAAAACTCCTGGACCTGGTGCACAGAGTGCTCTTCGTGCTCTTGCTCGCGCTGGCATGCGCATCGGTCGTATTGAGGATGTGACTCCTGTTCCGACTGACTCTACTCGTCGTAAGGTGCGTTCGTTCATTGATGATGACGTTTGGACTGGCTCTGATTTCTCCCTATTCTTTCAGGGCGGTCGTCGTGGTCGTCGTCTATGATTGTGCCGCGTTGCGCGGTTCTGTATACTGGTACATTATCTATAGCACATTGTCCTGTCCCGCGGCCGTTCATTTTCCCAAGTCAGTCGATCGATATGATTTATTACATGATTCACACTGATGATCAGAGGGTCCATTTATTCCTCCGACAAGTATCGGCTCGGAGAAAGTCTCCTCTTCACGTTCAGAAATGTGCTGGTGATTTCGTGGATGATTACACTCGAGGGTGACAACGGTGTCGTTGGCGTCAACTCCCTCATTCAACACTTGCATATCCAACAAAATTTCAGATCTATTATTTTGACATTCCTCCATGCTATCACACCTTCGTCGACTCCAATGGTCTTCCGCTGCCGCCATCCTCCCGATCCTCCCGTCATGTCCTTCGACCTATCACCCAACTTGGATTGAAGGTGAACACCATACCAGCTTGTTGTATGGCTACAGCTACAGCGAGAGTAACTTTGGCCTGAGAGTGCTTTGCATTGATATCTTTTGATGAACACGAAATCTCAAACCATCAGAACGTTTAACCCTCTTGATAGCTTTCTGAACTTTGCTTGCACTAAGGCAAATTTTATAGGAGGTGGGGGAGGTTGGGGCACCTGTGGCCTGTGCATGATGGCATAGATATTTTAGGGATTGCCTCTTACTGCTACCACTGACAAAGTTCCTGTACCTGAAACTTCAAGCAGAAGATCATCAGTCCCACTGCAACAATGACCCTGTTATTTGTCCTCCTTATATAGAGCTGAAATGGAAATCTAAGGACAGGGAATGGGATATGGGTGTGAAAGCTAGAAATACCCAGAACAGTGACTTACCAAAAAGTGATGGAATTGCTGTATATGAAGGCTCTATATAATCAACAATGAAGATCAGGAGAGCTTTTGGGATGGTACCAGAGGTGATGTTCACTGATTTTCGAGATGGAGCAGGGAAAGGAAACAAATTTGATTGATGCCTGGGGTTAAGGTTCTGAAAACTTGAAGTGCCGGGTGCCGCTGGGACACCTGAGATTCCCTGTTATACACACGCAGCAACCCTCGAGAACGCCCACTTTCCAGGAACCCCAATTCATTCTGCCGAATCGAAGTAATGTTTTTCTCAAAGGTATTTATGGTTGATAGGAAAAACGCGTAGTAAAACGCGTCGAGTCGACGCGCAATACTAGGCAGGCAAATTGAAGGCGATTGACTCAAAACTCAGTCAGTCGCAGAACTTTCAAGTTAAGAACGGCTCCGACTCCCGAGAGCAACGTACTTGAATACACACGCGGCATAGATGCTCGGCATGATCACTATTCTTAAGGAAGCAATCCCAACAGCCAACAAACCAACTAACAACCAACTCGACGTCTCAATGCAAAATATATTTCATCCTCCTCCTGCTCCACCAGCTTTGAGTAAAGGAACTGTAATTCCAGAAAAAAACTCGTCGTGAGGATTTCGACGTGTCTCTTTTGCTCTTTTCCTTACTGACATTCGGATACGTGCCTCCAGTATCTTCTCAAGTCTGCTTCTGCACTGGCTCAGTCCACTTCTGAGCACGGGCTTTTCGAGGCCTTTGGAACAAGACGGTAGGTGGGGATAACCTACAAAATGAGACAGTAAAGCTGAACATAACGTCAGATCTCTGGAGTCTCCCGCCTTCCCAGTTGACGAGCAATCTCACAGACAAGCTCGAGCAGGCATTCTACTCGAATGGTACAAATACGCAACGAACTGTGACTCGAAATGTAGGAAGAGTAGGGGAGCTGGAGTCAAACGAAAAAACCGATTCTCAAGCTCTGGAGGAGCAGGAGAATCCGAATGAAGCTACTGTTCAAGTGCCTTTGCCAAAGGCTATACATCGACAGTTCTTCTGGCAGTGCTGGTCAACAGGTTTTCTCGTTCTCATCGCTCGTGAGTAACACGTTATTAAGAACACTGAATCGAGCAATACAAATCCCCGGTAATTATTGACAGAGACTCTTACTACACTCACACCCCTAGTGACAAAAGTCCTCCTTACGTGGCTGACTGAGTCCTATGTGTTCTCTCACCTTTCATCTGCGGAGCAAGCTGAGCCTTCCACTCTGGGCCTGACAAAGCCGCAGGGAATCGGGTATGGAGTAGGCGTTGCAATAGGCTTGTTTGTCATGCAGCAAGGAGCAAGCTTGGTGAGCGAGGCAATTATCACTCGATCTATTTAGTTTGACTAACTATTGCGTGTCTCTTCAGATCAATGCACATTCCTCAAAATGTATGCATAACTCACAAAAAAGGGAACATTCTCTACAACTGATTCTCTCATTCTGTGCAGTTGCTATGACTCTCGGGCTAACCGTTAGAACAGCAGTGAGATCTACTTACCCTTATTTAATGTTTCTCTCCTCATCTTCAATTCAATCAGGTCATTGGTTGTATCACCCGGAAATCGCTTCGCCTTTCTGCGCGTGCAAGACTTGAACACTCTAGTGGTCAAATACTGACAATGATATCAACGGATGCAGATCGGATTGATAAATTTTGTATGTATGGACACCAGTGAGTAGCTTATTTTCTTAACTTCAAGTTGTTGATCAGGAGTGTTACGATGTTGCTATGTGTAGTCTATGGATCGCCCCGACTCAGGTGAGCTTTTTTGTTTTTAACATACACGGCCCCTCACTTTCATTCTTTCGCCAGTTAATCATCGCTGTGGGATTCCTCATTGCCACGGTTAGACTTTTCTATTTACCTTCTCCGTGCATTAACTCATTGTCCTCATTTAATATATGCAGCTTGGATACTCTGCACTTGTTGGCCTTGGAGTAAGATTTGATCCTTTGTATCTTTTTGCATTCACACTCAATCAGCATAACTCCAGGTCCTCATTTTCAGTCTCCCCATTCAAACTGTCCTCGTTATCGTCATAATGAAACAGCGAAGAAAGGGAGTGAAGATTACGGACTCGAGAATTCGCTTGACTACAGAGGTCCTACAAGGCATACGACTTCTGAAACTATACGCTTGGGAAAAATTCTACGTTGGAAAGATTACAGAGTTGCGGAAGGGAGAATTAGAGGCGACTCAAAACTCCTTGTGAGTTCAACATGCTGTTGTCCTCTTTGTCCACTACTGTGCGGACGATTACTCAGGATCATCTCCCGTGTAGAATTGCTACAGCTGGTTTGATAGCTATGATGACGTTCATCCCGATCTTAGCTTCAGTTCTGTCATTTGTGCGTATAGATACAGGCACGAATGTAACGTCTTAACTGACTTGATTGTAAGATCACTTATGCTCTGACGGGGCATGATCTCAACGTTGCAATTATCTTCACGTCTCTGCAATTTTTCAACGTATGTCTAAGAATTTTATTTTCTCTCTCTCGCTGGTCTTTGATTTTTCCCCCACCATAGATCATCCAATTACCGCTGATAATGCTTCCCATAACGCTCGCCAGTCTATCGGACATCTTTGTGGCAAACACCCGTATATCTGCATTCCTACTGGCCGAAGAGCGCCCTGCAGACTATGCGATTAAGCTTGATACACAAAGTGCAAATGCAGTGGAATGCAAAGGTGACTTCGCCTGGGTTATTCCTTCGGGAAATGAGAACAAGGATACAAAGGCTGAACAAACGGAAGATGTTGTGCTTGTCGCAAATAATAATAAGAAGGAAACGGTTCAAATGATACAAGAGAAGAATGCGCAGAGGAATTCAAAGAAAGCGAAGAAGGTGAAAGGCGAAGTTGATTCTCTTGTCCTCCCAACGTCGAATCCCATTGAAACTGGACCTGACCGGCCAAACCCATCAGAGACACTTCCGGATCAACCTTTCGAGTTGAAGGACCTGGATTTGACCATACGAAGAGGTGCTTTTGTAGCTATTGTCGGACGTGTCGGCTCTGGAAAGGTACGACAAATTTTGTATGCGACTTCAATATATGCGACTCACACACTTTCTCGATACGAGCAGAGTTCAATTCTCCAAGCCTTGATTGGGGAAATGCGAAAGATTTCAGGTGAGGTCCGGTTTAGCGGATCTATGGCCTACGTTCCGCAAAATCCGTGGATTCAGAACGCCACTGTGAGAGACAATATCATGTTTGGACAGCCCGAAGACGTTCGAAGGTGCGACTCGCTTTCATGAAGATATGATTCCATGGTTCATGATCAAATAATAGGCTGAGCGACATAATCCATGCTTGTAGCTTGACTCATGACCTTAACAGCCTTCCGAATGGCGAACGTACTGTGATCGGTGAAAGGGGTATTAATATTAGTGGTATTGATTATTTTCTTCATCTTTTTGGGATATGGTTGACATGAGGGTTTACAGGTGGACAGAAGGTGATTGGAGTCACTGTACAATAATTGATCCTGTGTGATAATGGAAATACTTGCTAGGCACGTATATCGCTCGCGCGCGCCGCTTATTCAGGCTCAGATATAGTTCTTTTGGACGATCCTCTCTCTGCTGTCGATTCTCACGTCGGGAAGGATATCCTTCAAAACTGCATTCTCTCAGGACCGCTCGCAGACAAGACCCGGATTTTAGTTACGCATGCCTTGCATTTTCTTGACAAGGTGGATTACATCTATATTGTAGAGGGAGGGATCATCAAGGAACAGGGAACCTATCAAGTACGTTGGATGTTCGAAACTTATCTTCTGCCCATCTCATGCATCCTCGACCTCAAGGACTTAGTAAATAGTAGTCTTATGTTTACCGGTCTCATGAGTGCACACGCACAGAAGATGTCTGCAGGGAATCTGGACACTCCGACCAAGCGCGAATTGGATATAAGGAAACTGGTCGATGACCCCCTCATACAGGCAGAAGAGCGCAATATAGGTGCCGTCACTGGGGCAACCTATAAACAATATTTTGCCTTTTCGGGAGGTTTTGGGTGGATCCCCCTCATCCTTGGCATGCTAACAATGATGCAGTCTTGTCAAGGTAATTTATGTGTAAGGTTATGTGGATTTACGTCATAATTGACAAGCACTTAGTGGCGTCCACTTTACTTTTGGGATTCTGGACAGCAGAGAGTATTCCGGGGTTCCAGGAAAATGACTACATAGCGTTATATGCTAGCTTTGGTGAGTCTCGTGTCTTTAGTCATTAGATTGTGTTGTAATTTTTGGATAGGAGCGGGTCAAGCATTATTCTCTTTCTTGCTCACATGTGCTTTTGGGTGCGTTTAAACAATTTCAACAGAGCCAGAGTCTCATTGGAGTGGCCTCCTACAGCCTGATAGGGATTCGTTCGAGCCTAAATTTGTTCGCAACCGTGCTGAAGAAAGTGTTGCAATCACCAGTATCCTTTTTCGATACCACTCCTATTGGTACTGTATTCATCCCGGCACAAATAGACCCGATACTGACTCCAACAGGGCGTATCTTATCCCGACTTTCAAAAGATCAAGATACTCTTGATACAGAGCTTCCCTTGACTATGATGCAGGTAATCTTCACTTTTTGGCATCATATCATGCTTTTACGAACATGTCTGTAAACAGTTTTTGGCCACGGTTAGCTCGATCGTTGGCACCATTGGTTTGGTGTTTTATATCTTTCCTTTCCTCGGTATCATATTTGCGCCAATGAGCATACTCTATTGGTTCTTTTCGTTGTATTATCGTCGAAGCTCAGTTGAAGTCAAGCGCCTCGACTCTCTTGCTCGATCAAATTTTTACAGTTCCTTTTCAGGTATTGTCATTATAATCTTGTCTAGGAATCATTCACTAAATCAATGTCACAGAAACACTCACTGGAATCACTACTGTACGCGCATTTAGAATTGAGGTACATTAGTTGCTGTTCGCTCGTTGCTCGGAAATAATGCCAAAACTCACTTATTTCTCTACCCAGGGCCGCCAGATGGAAATTGCTGAGCGGGGACTTGACTTGGAGAACCGGGCTTACTACATCACCGTGTCCCTTCAGTGGTGGTTAATGATCCGACTTGAACTTTTTGCCAGCATTTTGATTTTGGGTATTGCACTTTTCGCCGCTGGTTTCCGCAACTCAGTGAACCCCTCCAAAATCGGTGTTGTTCTCACATATGCTTTGAGCGGCAAGTCACTCTTCCTACTCCTTCTCACAGCAACTGTTCTTATTTTTATTTTAGTGACGCAACTTTTTTGTAAGCAATTGTGTTCAGTGGAATACAATATCAATCTCGAATACTTCAATCAGCTCAAATCATACAAACCTTTACAACACAAGAAATGAGTATGAATGCGGTCGAGCGTCTTCTGATCTACGCCCAACTCCCGTCCGAAGAGCGTGAACCAATGAAACCCCCAGATGTCTCTAACTGGCCTAGTCAAGGAGAAATCGAGTTCAGCAACGTTTCTATGGCGTATAGAGAAGGACTTCCCCCTGTCCTCAAAAATGTGTCTTTCCATGTTAAAGCAGGGGAAAAGGTACATGGTCAGCCATCATACTATATTCGTATGTACTGACAAGGCTCTTGTAGATAGGTATTGTTGGCCGAACGGGTGCCGGTGTGTTCCGACGTGGTTAGGCTAGTATATTTGGCTGAATGCTTAAAACTCTAGGTAAAAGTTCCCTATTGCAGGCACTCTTCCGGTGAGTTAAATATATGTACAAATGACATCAATTGCAACAACTCATATACTCTTCAGCATTGTTGAAATCCAGCACGGAAGTATCACCATCGACGGAAAAAATATCACTGATGTCAATTTGGAGACGTTGCGCACTAAACTTGCTCTGGTACCCCAGGACAGTGTGCTTTTCCTGGGGACATTGAGACAAAACCTGTGCGTTGAATTTATTACTCAAATATCAACATTCACACCCTCCTCTGGTAGTGATCCCCTCGCTGTGCGGACGGACGCAGAACTCATTACTATACTGCAAAGTGCCTGTTTGTTGCCTAAAGCTATGTCTGATCAAACTTCTGAACAGAAGTTTGACTTGAATTCCAATGTTGACGATGAAGGTAAAACAAACAATGTCCAATCAGAATTGTGATGTGATTGACTATGACCGCAGGCTCGAATTTTAGTGCTGGTGAAAAGCAACTATTGGCATTATGCCGTGCATTAGTCAAGAATAGTAAGATTATTGTCCTTGTGAGTATATAGTTACATGGTAAAATAGTTGGAGCACCTAATTGGTTTTAGGATGAGGCAACGAGTAGCGTCGACGTTGAAACGGATTCTAAAATTCAACAAACAATTCAGTCCGAATTCACTTCCTCCACACTTTTGTGCATTGCGCACCGTATTCATACCATTGGTTTGTTTTCTAATCAATGTGGTTTCATAGAAGATATTGATGTTGTTCATTATAGTGCACTATGATCGCGTTCTTGTCATGGATTCGGGTGAGGTTGCAGAATACGGTACAGTGCTCGAGCTCTACGACCGCAGTAACGGTTCAATATTCCGCTCTCTGTGTCATGAATCTGGATTAACCAGAGCTGAGATAGTCCGCTTGCGGGCGACTCGTCGATGGTAGATTGTTTACAAGAAATGGACTGATAGATTTATATACAGTATTTGCAGCCTAGTTGATTTCAGGTATGGGAAAATTGCGTTACGTTGTGAAACTTCAGGCAGATATCCTTCAAGCTTGAACTGGTTACTTCGAAACCAAGGTGTAGGGAAACCAAACTAACCAAATTAACTAAATTAAATCAGGTGAAATATCTGGACGTTGTATACACATGTGTAACACTGAGCGGGCGTGGAAGATATGATTTGGAGACGGCGTCAGGCTTTCTGTCGCATTAGTTCCTCGCAAAGTCTCCAAAAGTCTCTACCTAGTTTCCCATCCTTGTCTTTCGCAATGGACGCTTTGGCTTCCACTTGGGCGATGGGGAAGAGCAATGTGGCTCTGCAGACACAAGATAAAAAGTGAACAAGGCTGTCATGACCTGAGAAAGACTACTAAAGGAACTTACTTGAGATCTTTTTCTACAACCTCTGGAGAAGTCGCCGCATATAGTTGCGTCAGAGCACCTCGGTCAGGGTTGGTGGTCATCATTCTCCCGACTCGCCGTAGAGGCGCAAGGAAGGGCCAAGATTCTAGGAGTCCTGAACGAGCAAAGTCAATGTAAAAATTTTGAAAGGTGATGAATGAATGAGATATGGTAGCTATTAGACGTACCGCGCGACAGTTCAGTGTTCACAGCACCAGGATGAACAGCCAAACAATATATATTATTGATCCCAGCCGCAGTGAACCGCTTCTGGAGCTCGTTGGTCAACAAGATATTCTGCAAAAAAATCCAATCCCGACTTGTCAGCCAAATATACACAACACAACAAGGGGGAGACGCACGCACCGTCAACTTTGACAAACCATACCTGCCCCAGGTTCCAAAGGTTTTTTGGTTCAGACCCTCCAAGGAAGTGAAATCAGGTTTTGTCATATTCGCTAACATATAGCCACCGGATGTGATGTTCACTATCCGAACATGCGAGCCTGGCATTGCAGCTGTATCTTTCAGTATAGGAATGAGTGTGACAGTCAATGCGAAATGGCCAGTCCCATTGCATGCTTGCATTTCGATCCCATCGGGGCCTAACTCGTATGGGGTAGCCATCTGGATAAAAGCATTCAGCAATTTGGGAGTTAGAACATGTAGATTAGGGATCAAATTGAACAAGCCCACTTACGATACCAGCGTTGTTAACCAGAATATCCAGTCTCTGCTCGCGTTGCATGTACTCCTCGGCGGCCTTCTTGGCGGATTTGAGACTCAAAAGATTGAAGTTGATATATTCAATCTCGGGGTTCAGTTCAGAACCTAGTTCCGTCTTGATCTTTTCAATCGCAGCGAGGGCGCGCGATTCCGTTCTGCTGAGCATGCTGTTATATATCATTATGGGTTTTCGAGACTTTTTAAGAATATAATTGGGAGAAGAGGAAGAGGAAGTTACTCACTATACTCGGGCACCGTTCCGGGCCAGTTCACGAATAGTGATATATCCGAGTCCAGTGTTTCCTCCAGTCACAATTGCGACACGACCGCTTAAGTCAGAAATATCAGTTACTTTCCATTCTTTCTTGCCTACCATGGTGAGGATGTTTATGAAGAAGACGTGGACTGGGGCACCATTTTTAAGTAACAAGTTAGAACCAGACGTTGCGGGAAAAAATAATGTAACTGTCATTACCATTACGCATTACCATTGCGCGCTGCGAATGGGCGTCCGGCGCTCGGTACCGGTGTTACTAGTAGAAGTGTATGTATGTGCATTGATTCCTAATCGATTCAAACGTCTGAGAATTCGAAGTAGCAGCCAAATGCTGATCTAAAATCTCATGAGTGACTAGAGATAGAGAGCAACCAGTGCAATTCATGACAAGCACCTACAATAACCACTTTCCCCATCCCGACCTGTGCATATCGACGTATATCGACCACCAACGACCCGGACTTCCACCTGTCGTGGAGACCCAAATAGGAGATTGCGGACTTTCTAAACATGTGCATGAAGTTCCGATCGATCAAAACGAAGAATGAACAGAGGTTGATTGTCCTACTCTCTTTCACAACCTCCACCAACCTCCCCCTCCATCAACAATAGATATTGCCCATTAATGATAGTTGTGCTTCGTGAAGTCATTGCTAGGAATGCTGCGGGCAGTGCAAAAAGACCTTCTAACTCATCATCGATTCATATCATCCTGACTTCGATTCGAGCTGTTCAAAACACAAAGAATCGGAAATCTGCGAAGGATTGATGACCAATGCCCAATTTTGTGAAACTGGTCTTGGGGGGATGGCAGGGGATGGTATTCGGATACGGGGTGGTCCGAGGAAGGTGAGGTCTGTTCTGACACAGGAGAGAAGCCCGCGATCAACACAGAACACAGAGACAATGCGTGACTAAGTGACTGTCACTGTGTCAGTGATCACGTTTGAACGCGTTTGAACAGTGGGCAGCAGTGGGCTTCAACGGACCCTCTTTTCTAACGCAAGATATTTTCCTACTAGAAAAGGGCGTGCTGATAGCATGATTACAGAAATTCTCGCTGAAAGTCTTTTTGAATCCTTAGTTTCAAGGTCCAACTCCGGACTCTGAAGCTTTTCGTTCTGAACGCGACCGTATCCGCAACGATTACTTTTATGTCAAAGACCATTTCAATCTATGCAACGATTCGCAGAATGTTCGACCAAAAGTATGTTGAGATTTGGCGAAAAGATGCGTACACATATCCGTATACACAAATCTTCTGCTCTAGTTGGTGTAAGGAAGTAGTGGAGATAAGTTCCTTTTGTCAAGGATCCTTCACCTTAACACTGCTAACTAGCCACCGCTTCCTGCTATTTAGTTTTAGATTGGCCTATCCCTGGCCTATCCCTGCCCTAAAGGGAACCCAGACGCTCTTGAACAGAACTTTGAGTCTTCAAACCTACTTCAAACTGATATACCTCCGATAGATACTTATTTGGAGATTTTGAGCGATATTATATATTCTATTGCATATCAGGATCTGTTAGCGTAAAGTTAAGCACAGTTGGTATCAAAACAACTGAGATTCGTATGTACCTGTTAGCGTAAAGTTAAGCTACGTATTCAATCAGTATCTGCATATTCGGGTATGTTTGTGAGCTCACCTCAGTTGGTATCAAAACAACTGATCATAAGGGAGCTCGAGGGTTTCTGTCGTGTGTGATATACCAAGTACTGTACAGTTTATGGTAAACACGATGTATACGTATAACGGGGTTATGCGTCAAAGCAGCCTCTACGTACGGAGTTGGTCCAACAGGATCATCCGTTCAATGAAAAGACAGCACGCGCTGCCGTCGTTCCTGTCCACAAGGAGCAACAGTTTCAAGCGAACGAGACGAAACATTCTAGAGAGGTCTCAACCTCCAGCAAAAGACGATCGTCATATCATTGAACTTCTAGGTGAAGACTATGTCGGAGTATATATCTGTTCAAAGTAATTCTGTTTGGGTTTCCTAGGACAATTGAATACGCAATCGATACTTTGATGTCAAGACTATCTTTGTTGACTCAAGTACCTTCTGAAGTACTTTGCACCTGTCTCGCGTCAAGTCCTCCACATGAATACCAGGCAAGAAATTCATTCTGGGAATTTCGCAATGGTGCGTTCGGTGGCCATAGGTATCACAATCACCCCTTGGCCGGTTGAGCTATTCTAGACGGAGCTGTAAATCCTATTGACCTTGCGTCTTAAACCCTCCTTTAGGCTCCTCCAAACTCCCGATCAATGGATAGGGATCTGACGATTTACATACGGTCCCCGATGGAGAGTGAGAAGGTAGGACGGGGGAGGTCAGAGTCAGGATTGGAGTGGGCTGAAAGGCTATTGAGATAGTGTTCCGAAGGCACCCTCTTGACACTTTGAGTCGAGGAGGTACTATAGACTGAGAGTGAGGAACTGGATTCGGAAGAGGTCAAGTATACTTAATGTTGTCACCACGGTTCTTTTGTGCTATATGTACTTGGAGTTTGTGCTACTTGTCCCAAAGGGAAATCATGATAAGATGGAATTGCGGACTCTGATACACCTGAAGAGTACAATCCTTAAATCACCTTCCCGTATTCCTGTTGCATCTCCGTTTCAGCCTCCTCCCACTCTGGTGAATCCCTCAATTGCTGCAACTCGAAACGTGGCTCGTTCAATATCCCCAAGTAGTTCTGTTCAACCTTCCTTGTAACTCTGCCTCCTATTCCGTTTCCGCCCTGGAATAACAGATCTCGCATGTATTGCAACCAGAGCCCCTTCATAGTGAGATCCAACTTCACTTCCTTGGACAATGAAAAGTTTTTTACCCGTGCTAATAAATAGTCGAGAAGAAGCAAATTAGGCTGATCAGGAAGCTCCACAGTATCCAATAGCTTGAACAAGGCCTCCTTCGACTCGTTTGTCAATACGAGAGATCCTAACATTATCCCGTCGGAGGGTTTGTAAGTAAGCTGCGTGGTCTTCCATTTTCCATCAGGCGATAACAATATAAATCGATATCCCCTGCCTCCGAAATTCAAGGCCCACGTCTCCATATCAGCGTCGGCTTTTTGCACAGACTTATAGTATCTAGACGTGGATTGAATGATGGTGGTGGGGCCCTTCTGCTTACGTCGTTCACGTATGAGCATGATGTTCATGGGTTCTGCGTCGGTTCAGTATTAGCAGTCTATCACTCAATGACACACCCAATGAACGTACGTGGCTCCAATTTAACGACCTGAGAAGAAGCCTTAGGAGGAGTCTTAGGAGGACTGATTGGAGAATCTAGCGTCGCAAGAGTAGTCAGAGACACAATTTGCAAAAACGAATGAGTTACAAACTTACAGCGTTGTGGAGTCGTTGGTTTCGTTCTTACAGCCCCCGGGGCAGCCGCAACTGCGAGCAGAGTTGAGAATAGCACAAATGCGGAGAGCAAGCGCAATATAGGCGATGGATTCGACATGAACAGGAGTCCGCGCTTTATAGGTGAGGGGAAAAGTCCGGATAATGTGAGGATAATAGTATGAGATGAAATATGATAATGCAGTAATGCGGTCTTCGAGAATGCAGATAGTCAATTTGACCAGCAAATTTACCTATGGTGCGTGTGTAGTCAATTTGTCGAAGTAGGGGAAGGAGAAGTGCAATTGAGTGCATAATAGCAGCATACCCCTCTTTTTAGGCGAAGCAAAGGCTGTGACAGGTCCTGACAGGTCCTGGTCACCTTACTTGATAAGGCTAGTCTCCCAAGTCAGACTCGTATGTAGATTATCTTATCTTATCAGAGATTACGCAAGAGACGTCGTTATAGTCTCCCAAGTCAGACTCGTATGTAGATTATCTTATCTTATCAGAGATTACGCAAGAGACGTCGTTGCAATCTATATATGATAAGGCCATAATTCCAAGCGCCTGTGCAGGCACCATTTCAGTCCTCCGTCGGCTTTTGTTTCCACATGCCGACGGTTGGGAGCGGTTGGGTTCGAATCCGTCGAGAGACGTCCTGAGACGTCGTAGCTCCCGAAATCTCACTTATGTGAGCCTCCAGGAGCCTCCTTCGTCCGGGCCTCTGGCCCCATCCGCTCCCAGTATGGCTCGTGGTGCTTGCTTCGAAATTTAGTTTTGGATTGTTTTGTCGGTGCTGACGCACCTCCATAATGGATGACTCCCCGTAAGGATTATTGGACATTATTTCTAACGTCCTAAGCGAGCTATTCCGATCAAACGGATAGCAGAACTATACGACCTACCTCGGTCGCAATCACGTAACAGTCACGGTGGGTCCTGGTGGGTCCTCACAATGTCAAAAGTGGGGGGCTAAATTTCCTTTTTGTTCTCTAATTTCTCCTGCTAAGTAAGTGTATGTTTCACTAGGTTTCACCATGGTCGAAAAAACCCTCACTGAAATGTTTCCTTAGTGCTTTCCGATGATGCTTTCCGCTCTGAGCGTGACCGGATCCGTCGTGAAGATCTCCTTCGAAGAGATCAGTCCAATCTCCTCAATGATTCCCTGTTCATGAGGATTGAGCACGCACATATCGAAACATGGCAGAAAGATGGCAATTATGTACTTATACACGACTCCGCTCCTGGAACCCTTTCAGGCCGTATCTTGAGCCTTTATGCCGATATTCCCCCGTTGGATACGCACTCACAAATCTTTGGCGACAGTATCTCTCCAATTGCCTATAAAGATTGTCCACTGGAACACGAGGAATTAAATGATCTGGATGGCCTTGACAATCCTGCTCGCGAAGCTATCAGCCAGTTGCCTGTCATTTCTATTGATGAGGAACGTCACTTCGTGAAGGAAACGAGATCTTCTGGAGAGGTAATGAATCTTCTCAAAACGAAGGGAGGTCCTCAACTCGTAGAGCTGTTAGGTAGAACGGAGGATGGCAAGTTAGTATTTCCCCGTCACCTCGACTTCGCTGCGGGAGTCTTCATGGAAGCATCTATTTCCGTATATAAACGAATTCTCCTTCAACTCGCAAATGCCATCATCTTCCTCCACTCCAGAGGAATTATTCATCGCGATATCGCCCTTCGCAACATTCTTGCGTCCAAGGACCGCCAAAACATCGTACTTTGTGACCTCGAGTCTCAATACGGCAGTCACATGTGTCCTGAAATTTCTTTCGCAAGATTTCAGCAGGGACTTCCAGACTCGGGGCTACCTTACTCAGAAAAATCCGATGTTTTTTGCTTTGGTACAACGATGGCCGATTTCATTCTAGTAAACCACATACAAACTCCTTGGCAATATTTCTCTGGCAGTTTTATACCGCCACCGCCTTTTGACGAGATCGTTCGAGCCTGTATCAGACGCGATCCGGTTGATCGCCCCAGCATGTCTGAAGTGAAAGCAATGTTGGAGTCTATAGATGTTCCTGGTACTTTGTTGAATCTTCTGGTCGTTTACACGCAACTGATGTTATTGTTACATAGCGACTTAGCGATTGAAATCAGTGGTGAGCTGGTCTTACTAAAAACCAACTCGAAGTTTGAAAAGCGAGTTTTCAACACTATTCAAAATCCTTTTCCTCGAATTCCTGTCCCGATAAAGGTGTCTTTAACACCACAATGAACACGATGTACACGATGTAGAGGAATGAAATCATTCTGGTGCTTGTATATAACGCGTGCTGAGGGCAACCAAGATGATATTGACATTCGGTACAAAACTGCAGATGCTATTTAAGATATTTAATTTTACTAACATATAAGATTGAGGGCTGGGGATATTACTCAAATCAAGCCTCATACATAACAAGAAATGATGGTCGAATAGCATCATTCGTGTATACCACGAGCTCATCATAGTTCAGGCTTCCTCCCTTTTCCGCAAGGACCTATATCGAACCATTAGATATTGGAGCTGGTGGGATCTCAGATCAGAAGAAACGTACGGAATCATATCCCTGGGGAGGTGTTGTGAGCGATACATTGTCCTGCGTCAGCTTGCATCCTTTCCCAACGATGACTTTATTCAATAAGATGGCCTTGAGTGAAGAACGGCATTCATTAGTGGAGTAATCGTTTGATCTGAGGATGATGAGTTGAGTACAACGAAGGGGTTAGAAACGGTCTCACTTGGACGATGTTGAGGACGTATATATTCCTTTGCCAAACCTATATAGTAGTGACGTGAGTGGACATCCTCATCCCTGCGCAACAGTACAGAAATCTCAGTACCTGCCCCATCCGGTCTTCTTCCCAAAAAGGCTCAAATCGAACGACGTCTTCACGATGCAACACAAGGAACATGTTTGCGAACCACAGAATTGTGTGTATCCTTTGTCCCCAAGATGACACTCGCGCTTCGTCCCATGCCATCGTCGATTTTCATTTCCTGCGCTCCGTCCGGCGGCACTAAATTTCCCTCGGGCTTCGACTGAGGCCTTGTATGCATTATACGATGCCAGAGATGACTGCGGGGAAACGATTTTGTAGATACGTTTCACTGGAGGACATTTCGCGCCCACATGTCTCCAGGAAGCTTTGAATTGATCCGAGACTAACAACAATTATCAGAAAAGAGCGCGAGACATTCTAACCACATGCTGTTTGCTACCATCTTTGAAAGTTACATGACCTGCAGGGACTTCCAGAATCATTGGACCCTTCATTTCTGCATTGTCCGCACACGCTTTGCTGCAAAAGTGTGAATTAGTCTGCTTAGCGGCCTTGAGACACATGATGCAAAGTGTTTCTCCAAGCCTGCAAAAATCATAAGCTTCGGAATGCGGATGATGAGTTGAAGCCTACGCCTACGTCTTGTGGGATAACGAGCAATAGTCTCCACATGTTCCGTCCTTATTGACATGAGTCGGTTTCGAGCATCCTGGAGCTTGACAAGTCCCTAAGACGACACATCAAACTGAGTGCAATTAACACCACTCAGTTGACCTACCTTTCGGGTTCCCGCCCGTATGCAAACTTGAGCTAGCATTGTTTGCGCAGGCCTTGCTACAGAAAGGATGACCAGGAAACTTTGGTCGATTGTGACAAAACTAAGTAGCTAGGTGCGTCAGGCTATAGACGAAGGAGAAGAAGGAGAAGCGTACATCACAGTTCCCGGATGGGGTGGTGCTTCCATGTTGATGTCCTCGAGGTGCCTTCTGGTTTCCGTTTGCAAGTTTTGCATTAGTAGCACAGCTCTTGGAACAGTAAGAATGGGTCTTGACACCGTCGTTATATTTCGGCTTCAAACGACAATGCTAATGTAATCCGAGGTAGTTGGTGTTCCATAATCAGGAGGCGAGGCCTAAAACGAGCAAAGAAATGATTTACCTCACAAGTAGAAGAATTATTCGAGCTCGCTGGAGGCGTCGCCAGTGGTGCTCCTACCCTTGTTCCTGCTCCCGACGTTGTTCCTGTAGTTCCGGATGCCTGACCATTAGTCTGACCTGCAGTACCCGTACCGCTTCCATTGCCAGCTCCAGATCCGGATCCGGGAAGAGCAACAGGAAGTGTGGCTGCAGGTGCGGGTACGGAAGGTACTGACGGAGCAGTATTAACATTCGTAGTAGGCTGAGACTTGGTCAGTCCAGGATACTGCGTCGCTACGGTGTGTAGCAAGGACAGCGCCAATGGGATATGAGATGCAACAGAAGCAGCCATGAGTTATGAGATTCGTAAGATTTAAGTAAAAATTATGCGACGCTATGCCCGCTAGCGGTGATGAAGCTTGGGGAGTGATAGATAGTCGTGTGAGGGAAGTTGAGCTATGACCGGGTATTTAAATCGGAGCATGGATTCTACACACTGTTTCTCCGTGTTAATCTGTGGGCTGGTAAGGGTCCATGGGGAATCTAAATGCATGATCAACGTTCGTATACGTCGAGAAAGTGAGGATAAGGCGTGTAGAACATAACTAAGAACGTATCACATTGCTCTGTACCGGATTTATATAGTTTTTAGGGCTTGAACGAGGGTGTTATTTGACCCCATATTGCTCTAGGTTGTCTTCAAAGCAGTAGTAATGCGACTCGGATAGCATGCTTTGAAATAACACTGGAGCACGCAGGATACAAAACGTACTATGATTTCTGTTCGCTTCACTTTACTGAAAAATCTCTCCTCATGGTGGCAAGAACACGGTTTGATCGAAGGACTCGTATTCGGGGAAACCGCGGAGAGTTTATACACCAAGGTTGATCGACAATGCACGTCTCTACTAAGCAGCATCGATTGAACAATAAGTTATCCGTCAATTGAGAACGGGCGCACGATGTAGAGATCCCCACTGAGTGTCAGAGATGGAAAAAACTCGATAGCGGTCTGCGACTTCAGACTTCAGAGCATCTGTAAATACAATAGATACGAATAATTGGATAGTCATATGTGTCGATTCGCTAAGTTAGCTATAAATATGCTTGCAGACGGTGAACGTTATGCAGCCAATGGAGTCTTGAACAACGCCGACAGCAGGGCATGTGCTTTAGAAGCGCTTCGTGCCACTGGCTTCTGATTGAGTGAAGGGGGCGACAGTAAGTCCTTCTTGTGCACTTTCACAGGTTGCTCGTTGAGACTCGGAGGCCCATACACGACTAGATACGCCGGCCGAATGGCGTCATTGTGGTAGACCACAGTCTCTTCGTAGTTCAGATCAACTCCCGGAAGACCTACGACCTGGACAAGAGATTAGTACGGATGACGAGGAGAAAGTATTTGAGTATTCGATATACCGAGTGAAAACCTGGAGGCGGTTGGTTCATGTGAGGCGCATTATGGCGACGATTGTGGGGTTTCCCTAATACGACTCGATTGAGCAATAATACACGCAGGTTCCCAGGATGTTGTCGCGTCGATCGCCCAGATGAGTAGTAATCGTCTGCTTCTAAATTCGACTGGGTCAGTTTTAAGGTATAAAAATCGCATTTCGAAGGAGAAAGCGTACTAGACGAACAGGAAGTCGTATAAATTCCGCGACCGAATCTAAAAAAATTATGAGTACCCGTTATCGTATTGGGGTATGTAGGCATATATCCTACCTCTTGAACGAATGCGCGGCACCTACAAACACAAGGTATGAATCAGAAAGTTGCTACAAAAATTTATTGGGGTAGGAACCTACCACATTTCGAAACATCAAACGAGGCTCGAATGATGGAACATATCGAGCATTCCGGAGATTGGCACAAAAACACCTGGCTACTATCATCGCCTAGTGCACACGAGCGCCGAGTACCATGAAAACACAGCTGCTCGTTCGAACCCTTCTTGAACCTGGTGAGAAGGTTGAATGCTTGAACCTGCGACCTGCAGTATGCAACATGTCAAGCAATAAACATAACAAAGGCATATGCAAACGCCATTCCTACTTGCCTATAAATGGCATACAACTCAAGACTCTCATCCGAGGAAAGTATCTTGAAGACTGCCCGAACTACTGGTTTGGTCTTTTGGCTGTGGCGCCAGCCCTTCGAGAATAGTCTCTCCACTATAGAAAACGAAGTAAGTAAAAACGGTACTCTAGCGCTACGCTGGAGAATGCACACCTTGGATGAAATTAGGGTCAGAAAAGTCCAGAGGAAGAATCCGTGAGGATCGTCTACGATGGCGATTATCAGGATGCTTGAGGCTGAATTCGTCAACAATCATTGTACTGTATCTGTCGTGAAAGGCAGAAGATATGGTAAAGATTGCACCAGATGGCCTGAATTCAGTTTTTGAGCTGGTTGTTGCACTGGTTTCTCCGACCTTTGCCTCTCAGCGCAACACCTTCAAACGAGGCCATGCTAGCCACAGCACTTTGTACGCGGGATGGACATTGGAGTAACAGCAGCAGAGTCCACACGAGTTGCTGTAGCTTATTGGAAGTTCAGATCATACAGTGGGAAGGCGCTGTCAAGGCCCACGCGCGAGTTATTAAAACCATCCGACGAGACATGTTCAAAGTAGCTCACAACTGGGCCATAGACTTTGTTGGTATGTTGCGTCTTTATTGGCATTAGCAAAAAGGAGAATGAAGAGCAAAAATGACCACGTGCGGAAAATCACTCGTTCATGGTCAAATGACTAGGCATTCATCTCATCGCCTAGTATTTCCCCGCCTTATCTCTGATTATTGGAAATGCATGCTCTGCTCAGCAACGGTGCTAATGGGCACGCTGGTAGCTCGAGGTGTCCATAAATTGCCTCGCTGCCTGCAAAAATGTGGCGTGCACTGCTACCGTGCTGTTACCTGAACGATAGCACCTGTATTACAATTTGAAAGCAGAACGCAATCCGGACACCTGGATCTAAGAATCATCGCCTTTTACCCTGCAAGCCCCAAGATACCTCTATATCTTCGGCAGCAGCTCTAAGAACACCTCGCAGCTCTCTGTCCGATATCTAGCTCTTGAACCGATCTTTCATCTCTTGTCCTACCGAGTAAGTCGAAATAATACATATATCCAACTCCAACGTTGAACTCGTGTCTAGCATGCCTTCCATCGTCGTCACTCGAGCTTCACCTACCACTATTGTACCTCATTATTCCTCCGGACATAGTTCGCATAGTTCGCATAGCTCTCTGTCTTCTACCTCCACTCAGGACGGAACCAAGGAATATCGGGTGGAGCTGGAGGAACGCCGCCGACGCACGGTCTTCGTCACTTCAAGTGTGCCACCAGAACAGTGGGAAACCCGCGAAATCCTTGATATAGCCGATATTGAGGAGGAGAACGAGAAGAATTTCGAAGGAGATTTTTCTGCGACGGTGCATCGAAGTAAGTCTCTCTCAGAGAGGACCCGTGTCATTGGTGCCACAGTAATAGATTCGACACGTTCTCGGTCTGCACAAGATCTTCCCAGTAATGACAAACCTCAGCATCGTCACTCTCCCCAAACCTCCTCCCGCTACCAAAGTCGTCGCGCGAGCCTTAAGCCCAGCGACGCTCTTTCCTCCGCCGCAGCAACTTTGAATCGCATGTCCGTGATGCCTAACACGCCTCCGAATTCACCTGCAGTTTGGAAGCCTAATCACTCAATTGCAAGGACCAATCTGTCTCCTAATGCACATGGGCCGAGGCCGACGACGATGGCAGTAGCGATAGCCCCACGTCCACGAGTTCTTTTTTACCACAAACACCATCCTCATTACGGGTTCACTAATTTTTCCCCTCATCCGGTCATCTATAAGGGCAAGAGGTACCCCACTAGTGAACATTTATTTCAATCGTTCAAGGTGCGTGTCTTGTTTTCTCTTGAAGGAATAATCAAACGAATTGTGTTTTTTTTTACTTCATGATGCAGTTCCATGGTCACCGACCTCTTATCGCGGAACACATCAGAACTTGCGGTGAACGGCCTAGCATAGCTTTTTCTGAGGCACGTCGATTCCAGTCAGAGGTCAGGCCGGATTGGAAGAAGATTAACGTGGAGAAGGTGTGCATCCATACTTGTCATTCCTACTGCGAATTGATTGAACTGCGTGTACGTAGATGGACGTAGCCCTTTACCACAAATTCACCCAACATCCTGATCTAATGAATGAATTGCTCGCCACCGGCAATGCGGAGCTCGTCGAGGTAAGGTTTCCTTTACACGAATGACGTGGATAATCCACCGCATGGGAATGTTAACTTTTCTTCCTCTCTCTAGGATTCAGACAAAGACGCGTTTTGGGGGATCGGCGCTGATCACCGTGGAAGAAACGAATTGGGAAAGGCTCTCGAAAGGCTGAGAGAGCAATTCCGTGCCGATTAGGGACCGACCGGGTATCATATTTCATGGCAATTTCTCTCCCTTCGTAGTGTAATTTTTTTGTTTTGCTTTGTACGATATAGCTGTAATTGTCTGGGTCATAGTTGTGTTGATACGCACTTTTCGTGAAGAACTTGGACGGTCTGTTAATGATAATACCTTGAGAGGCCGACAATTGGGTACAGTACCGGTCGTTCTTATCCGGCTACGCCTTTCTGCCATCAAGAAGAGATGGGACTAGAATCTCTTGAACCCACGCAACGACTTGACCCAAAACCGGCTCGGCCTTCTATTTGGACATTATAAAAGCGGCGATGAGAGGGTTTAAGACCAATCGCTTTTCTCCTCCGAACACCAGCACAATCAACACTTGAATCACTCGCGATGGCTCCCGATCCCCAATGTGCTGCTTTGAACGCTGCCAAGAATAGGACTGGTGAGCATCTGTTCGAAATCCAACCCTAAATACACATCGGATGTCGATGTCAATCGTCATCTCAATGTGAATAGATATACTGATAACCTTTTTCTATAACCTTCGATGTTCTGGGGGATATAGGATTGTCGTACTCACAGATCGCTGCTAGAATCAATAAGCCTGAACAACATGTCATTGACGGTGAGCAGCGTTTTCCTCGATGTTTGTTCGTACTCATCGACGATATTTCTCCCCACCTTCTTCGTAACTGGCGTTTATGCTGGCGTCTGTCACCATCTTGGATGATCCCTCATCGCTTTCCATCTTTGAACTTCGGGATATAGTCTGCACTGGCACAGTCAGGCCTACGACTGCAGAGTTCAATGCCCTCGCGCGTGCTTTGGGTATCACTGATGCGGTGGGTTTTATCCTATACTACCTGTTACACCCCCTTCTAAATTCCTGCCCCTTTTGGTCCAATAACTTCCGTTGCCTCCGCCTCTTCCTGAAATTTCGCTGACGATGTTCATGCTTCACCTTTTCTATGCAGCCACCACATGACAGTGCACACGCCACGGTGTAAAGAACGATGTCCACAACCCCATATCCTGCTGTAAAAACTCAAAGGCTTGTAGTCACCGAAAGAGGCTCCAATTGTATCTATATATCAAGTGAACGATACTTCAAATGAATGATTTGAAAGAGCGTCCGTATTAGATCTAAGACGTAGATGTAGATTAAGCCATAGGATAAGTACTTTCAAGCATTGATAATAGCTTCGACCACACCAGGTACGGAGTCGAAGAAGTCGAGCACTGCAAACAAAAGAAAAGTCATAAAAAGTCATGTTAGTCGCCTGCCTAGCTTCTGGAAGACATCGGAAAGGTGGAAAGCGGGGCTGGAAGATTTGTGACAAACATAGAATGTTTACTCACTGACGATTCCGAACCTCTTCCCTTTGTTCTCCTGCAACCATGGAAGAATCTTTTGGTTCACACCTGGGACCTCTGTCCCATTTCCAAGTGCCATGATCTGCCTGAAGCTTAACAAAGTTGGATACGATAAACTTGAGGATAGGATCTATACCCTAGGCGTCTCCCCATCCGTATCATGCTCAGAGCTCGCAAAGGTGATATATAATTGGTCCGGGTGCAGATCAGGATTGATAGCATCTTGTAGATGAGCAATAGTCGCGTTGTACTTCCATTGAATGTTCTCTGCGGCACTGGCGCTTGTTGGGAGGCCGTCCATCTCGTAGTAGTCCTACAAAAGTCACGTTAGTACAGATTAGTATCTCCAAAGATTGTTGTTCACCTCAATATAAGCAACCTGTTCTGTCCCGTTCACTGTATTATACACCAACGTGATATTCGGATCGTTGTCGTGCCAATCCTCGGGGTCGAGGTGGATTCCGATGCGTTTGCTGTTATTCAGATGTAGCAGGAAGGAGACTGTAGTCGAACCGTTGCAGAAGGGTGAGTTTCCCTCGAGCTTCGCCTAAAGTCCCCAGCTAATTAAAAACACGTCGAATGGAAACATCATAAGGAGCGTTTTCGTGTAATTTATTCAGTGAACATCGTCTGTGATTGCTTCTCTCAAGCAGACAGAATGAGGCGTACCGTGCCATTGACCTGTACCCAATACTGAGTGGCCAAATCTCCACTGAGGATATTATATAACTGTTCCTGGAAGGCCACTGTATCCTGTGTTCCCGTTCCGCCTTCATAGTTGATGGAAAGAAGTACCGCTTCCGTTGGGTGAGCATCAAGCCAGTAGTAGAACCCAAACAGCACGTCCTCGAGGCGGGTATTCGGTGCAAGGAGAGCCTGAGCTGGAAATCAAGAGTGAAACCAGGTCTGGTAAGTTCAATCTCTTCACTGAGTGTGTTGTATACGCACAGTGATAAAATCCAATCGTTCCATTCCCCGGATTGAGCGCGACGCGAAGGTCGAATACGCGGATACCGCCGTTGAGCATTTGGAAATAAGAATGTTCTTGGCATTGGAAGTATTTAGCGGGGGTGATGCTACACGTATATAACGGAGAACCGATCGCAATGTATTCAAACCAAGGAAGGGGACAGGTTCGATTGAACTTACGATCCAGTGTATCCAAGAAGAGAATTTTGCGTAGCCTGGGTGTAATTCCCTGCACCAAATGTAATCAGAGCGTAATCGAAGCAACTTGAGAACGGAAAGTAGGAAAAACTGGATGCAGCATAATAGTAAACACGCACAAGTAGAAGAATCATGCGTCCCGGGTATACTCATATGAATCAAATTAGTTTCATCCGGAATATTCGCCATCCAATTGCATGTTGCATTCAAGGCTGGGTCGCAGCCTGCGTCAAAGCCTACACAAATAGGTTTCAATACTGTTTGAATGTGCTCATACTCATACTCCTTTGTAGTGTTGAATCCTCACCTAGGATCGGCGCCCCTCGTTGTAAGATCTCTGCTAGTGCGGCTTGAGCAAGACTTTGCTGTACTGATTCGGATACAGAGGCTGCTAAGCCAAATGCCACACTGACATATAAGATGGCAGTTAATTGCAACTGTTGAATGAAGGCTTGAGGAAGGAGGAGACGACGACGAAATGAGTATCGCATCCTGAGACCTGAACGTTTGAACCTCAGTTGAGCTCGAGTGCTAAAGATGTCCTTTTAAGCCATTCCGAGCATTCAAACGGTCACAAGACGGAGTAGCATATGCAATTTCTGCCCCGAACAATGCTGTAAGTTTTGTGTTGGTATAAATACTATGTATATGTGCCACACGTTTCAATCTTGCGCACGTTGAACTTTAGTCGTAATAAAGTGTCCTATTCCCGTTGGAACTAGAGTTGTTGGTTGATGGTGTGAGAGAGAGGGGTGGACGGCCGCGGCGTCTCACAAAAATCATGATTATACCAGAAACCTCCATCATTGGCACGACGAGCGCATGATTCCGAGTTCATCGGCGCACTTCCACCGACTTTCACGTGACCAACTTTGTATGCCGCTTCGTTCAACACAGTGATGGCGATGGTTATCTTTGAACTTTCTATTGGCCTTCTACAGCTTTTCGTGCTGTGGAGCGGTATATATACTGGCAAATCGCCACTGAAAACCAACGACCAACTCTGACCATGATGATCCCGTCGCGGCTTTGTGGCCTCGTGTTCGGCCTCGTCAGCGTTACTTCTGCCACGAATGTCATCCACTACCCTCCCAAACTCACCAATCTTAACAACCTCACCTTTGTCCTAAACGGAACTGGCGCACCAGGGATATTCAACTCGTCCATAACGCCTGACTCGGAGTATGGAATTTACAACTGGTGTAATATGCCCCATGTTCGGACTGAAGAGTACCTGGCCCCATCGTCAAATTATACGCTCAAGTACATCGAGGTTATCCAGAGACATCACAAACGCACTCCTTACGCGTCGAATACGTTTTTCAAAGAGGATATAACCTGGGATTGCACTGGGGAAGGTCCGGTTTATTATGGCAAAGGAACAGTGGGCGTTACGAGTGACCCAACTGTAGTCCAGTGGTCTGCTTATACGAACCCGGAAAATCCATTCACGAATAGTGTCGGTCCCGGATTTGTTGGAAGCAACTGTGCTTTCCCGCAAATAACTACTGGCGGTATTAACGACTCCTACACTCATGGAGCAGACTTACGTTCGGTGTACGCGGAACGGTTGAATCTTTCCACCGTTCTCGATCCTAGTACATTTAAAATCCGCGTAACATCCAATCCTATCACTTCCCAAGTTTCTGGTGGGCTACTTCATGGACTTTTCCCCGACTCTTCCGACGTCGCCGTTCTCATCCAGGCAGACGCGTTCGATTCACTGTCAGCATCTTACAGTTGTCCTGCGGCAGACTCTATCTTCACTGCGTATACCACAGGCAGCTCCAATTGGACAGAACATCTAGTAGATGGTGCTGAACTTTACGAAGAACTGGATGCCGTGTCGGGTACTGCTGAGAACGACACTGCGGGGTGGCATACGAGTTTTGACCAGTGAGTTTCACCCAGACTTCGTTCTTCACTTCTCCCTTGACGAACCCATCTTATAGCTACTATGACAACCTCTCCGCAAAACAGTGTGACGCCAAGCCCTTACCATGCAGTGTCAACGACACATCTTCCTGCGTAAACCAGACTCTTGCCGACACCGTTTTCCGTCTCGGCAACTACGAGTACTCCTACTACTACCGCGACGCATTCAACTCGACGCTTTTCAGTGCACTGAGCTATGGCGCCTGGGTTTTAGAGTTGGTTGGCCACTTCAAGGAGCAGATAGCGGGAACGAGCGGAGTTAGATATTTCCATAACGTCGCCCACGATGATTCGTTGGGTCCATTGCTGGGCATTCTGCAGATTTCGGAAATGGTCTGGCCTGGAATGTAAGTGCGCTTGCTAGGGCATTTCGCCTCAATTTGATGATGTACTGACTTTTTCTGTTCTCTCATAATGCAGGGGCTCCGAAATCGTCTTCGAACTTTACGAGGCAGACTCATTACTCTCCAATGCCACCGCTTCCACTTCAAACTTCTTTCTCCGTGTGCTCTGGGGCGGTCAACCAATGCAGACGTCTCTGCCCTTGGGCACGAACAATAGCGGATTGCTGGACATGATTCCCGTGGAGGACTTCTTTGATTGTACGTCTCTCTCTCTCTTTCTATTTCATTTGTTCTTACACCTCGCCTTCCTACTAGATGTCAACAACACGATCGGTGCCGGTTCAGAGTTGTTTGCTGCTTGTCAAAACTAGATTGATTGTATAAGAGTATATTAGCTAAAAATACAAGGTGGTGTTGAGCAATGCTGTAAGAATATTGTGACTGTGTAGCAGGATGAATGATAAGTGATACAGAGTCAAACCGGGGGTTTCTGCTGTGAAAGGTGATGAAGAAACAAAAACCAATTCGAAGCTTATGCAATCATCAGTAACTTTGATACAACGACGGCATACGGGGACTTCGATCTGATGACACTGTAGAGACCAAAGTTTTTTGTAGTATGTATACGCGATTGTGCGTGAATAGGGTTGTACGTCCAGTCGACGCTAAGTATATTTTTCCCGTTCCCGATTTGGTATTTTAGCGTTGGGTTTAAATGCCCATCCAGGTACAAATAGGGGGTGTAAAGCAAGCCCTCAGTATTGAGATATCATGTACGGTTTCAGAATCGAGGGAGTCAATATTGTCTGTGTGTAGGACAAATTATTAATGGGAGGAGAACTTAAAGCTGGTAATGTTCAAAAATATGTTTTCAAATTCTCCATGCCCCCGAAATCTCAGGATTCATTCGTATTTCAAGTTGACACGATCGCAAGCGTGTACGTCTGAGCTTTGCCGGAGCCCGTAAACACGGTTTCCACAGTCTCACCACTGGGCACCGCGCTACTTGAGAACGCTGTAGATCCGCCAGATGCGAGAAGTAAGCTTCCACCTGAGGATATCTATAGAAAGTCGCTCATGAATATACCAACAGAAAACGGAGGGGGCAACAGGAACATGCCAACTACTCACAGCAGTGAAGGAAGTAGCGGAAACACCACTTCCACAAGTTAACTCTCCGCCGCTAACGCCACAGCTACCCTTAGATGAAGTCATGGTGAAACTTGAAGTTGATCCAGCGAGAGTCATGGTAGCCAAAGTCTGCGTCGACCATGTTCCGAGGGTCAGTAATCCTCCAACCTGGGCGCCGTTGTGAATTGCCACAATCATTGCTTTCGTAGGTAATGGACCGGGTGTCTGTGCAAAAATTAGGTTATTACATAGGGAGTTCGAGTTTTGGCATATAGATAAGCTCACCCCAGTTGAGGTAGGCTGATATCATTTGAGAATTACACTGATCAGTCTCGTATCATCAGAAATATTGATTCGAGTCAGCTTACAGTTCCGGTCTAATGCGATGATGGATAACAAGTCAGCTATGTAGATTGACGAAGTGTAGACTGTGGCGCGTTGAGAACATACCGTAGTCGTAGTCGTAGTCGTGCTACTAACAGAAGTAGTGGAAACCGGAGACCCTGTTTTTAAAGGATACTTGATCCCGCTTGAAGGACAGTCACTGTCTTCCGGCGAATCTTCGAGTGGTTGTTTTCAGCATGGCATGATCCCAATCATAGATGAACTTACGCCTATGTACTCACCAATAGGTACAAATGTCCCATCAATAATTGATCCTTTCAAGTTGAAATACCACGCAATCTCATTCAAGTTGCTACCATCACACGTTAGCATAGGCGTGACTCCAGCCTCCGCCGCGAGCGCATTCTCCAGCGACGTAAGTGTATGCGTAGTCGAAGAAGATGGTGTGATGCCTTGATTGGCCAGCCATGTGTATGTAGGCAGTGTCTATGATAAGAAGAGCAATGAATAACCAGGGAAACCGGATTCTGCAAGTGAAAGTAGTACCTGGAATAACCGAACAACAGTTTCGTAAAATGCCACAGCCTAATAGCAAAATTAACACAAGATATTAAAACCGAGTGCATGTGCAAGGCCAAAATTCCATGAGATAACCAAAAACATACGTCTGTACCAGAAGGGCTTCCACTAGGAAGACATGACGGCTCTAAGGTACTATAGCATGTGCCATGCGTATCCCATTCGTGCGACCAAAGCTCTTCATCGCTGCCATCATCTGGATCATTTTTCCAGTACTAGTTAAAAGAAGGACAACCCAATGTCAGCACAAGATGGTTAATAATCATAATACACAGCCCACCGTTTGCATGAAAGAAAGCGTTGAAGTAGCGCCGGCAGATTCGAGCAGCTAAGATTGAAGATTAGCACTGTAGTCCGGAAGTGACTACGTTGCTCAGCTCCAGCCATCAACTCACCGAGGTGATTGCGGACTGGTCCCTAGAGGGATCACAATTCTCGGAGAAGGTCCCGTCGCAGCTGGGATTGAGAGCCAAACGATATGTCAGTTAGATGTTCGATGACTCCCAAGCAATGAAGCTGACTTGTCTGGCCACAAGCCTGTTTTCAAAGAGATGTCAACAAAACGTTCGTAACGACTAGCTACACAGATATACCATGGATAGTCCAACTATTACTAGGACCTGTTGAAGGATCCGTATCCCAGAACTGTTAATGTTCAACGATCAGTTCATCAATCAGTGGAGCTGAGATATACACGAGCACATGCCTGGGTTTGCAAGATAAGTCCCTGAAAGGACCAGTTTTTGTCAACGATCCTTCGAAATGAGGAGAGCGTCAGGACTCACTCCGGGAGCTTCAAAGCAGCATGTATTGGAAACGGCGGATGTGTTGTGGCAAGATGCCGTGCCCGTGGTGGAACATCCAGACGAGATAGCCACATTCCTTGCAAATACATCGAACTGACCTCCGAGTCCTAACGGATTGGAAGATGTCAAAGGAGAAGCGAGAGCTAAAGAAGCAAAAATAAAAGAAAGAGCAAAGTTGACAATCATCCTAAAGGTATGTAACGAGTCCAAGTCAGTGCCAGTACTTATAACAGTGCTCATGCTGGCCTGGTGCTTCAAGGGTGATGTTCTGATTGTGCGATGCAGTGTGTCGAAGTCCGTGAATACATGGCCACATATAAATCATCACATGGAGACCGAAAAAACAAATGAGACGAGCGGCTTCGATGATTTAGAACGCGTGGACGGCATGAGATTCGCAGGGATCATACAGAGCCTGGCACTGTACAGGATTGAATCATGTACGAGATTTCAGTTATCATATATGTCATAATTCGGGATAAGCAGTTCGCGAGCGAGAATCTGAGGTACATCGGAACACGATGAGTGAAGCAGAACATGTCGAGACAGTTGAGATAACGATAACACAGGCAATGCATATGGAAGAAGAAAGGTCCATCCCATGTACATGTCAACCAAACCGGATATTGATAACTTTGCGTTTGATCAACAGAGAATTATGCATGTCACTGACGAAAAAACCATTGACCAGCATGAGATTTTCGGAGCACATTGACCGACCTGTAGCCTCTGCCTGTTCAACTTCTCCCATGGACAACTCCCTTCCTCATTAATACATCGGGTCTCTTCAGATGTTACAAAACAGGCGGAACGTGAGTATGAAGTATACTCTTGACGAAAATTCGGCACTGGGTGGTAGAATTCACGAGAGTGAAGAAAAATCAATGATCATTGGATAGCTTCGGAGTTTGAAAAAATTGATGAATGATGGCCCAGCCGTATCCGATATGAATCGTTGAATATGTAAATTTCCTTGTCCTTTCATTCCAGTCTCACCAGGTCTCACCCTGTTCGTTGTTAGGATATCTTTGGTACCTATCAATTGGAGTTCCAGCACTTTTGCTCATCTCAAGACTCAAATGCACAAAATAATAGTGTGTCACTGCCGTGGAAAGCCGCGTTGCCAACTGATCGTATGAATTACGCTTATTGGCGCTAATCCGACTCAGTTGTTTCTGCGAGCTCTCCCCCTCATCCGTCTTAGACTATCATTGGGAAAGTGGGATACTTTGAAATTATATACTAGATATGCATTACAAAGATTGATCCAGACCCCAATGCTATCATCTTTCATAATTTTCAGACTCTCGAGCAATCTCATTCTCAGTCCTCCATTCCCCTTTGGATGTCAAAGTCGCTGAACCCATCGTACGGAGCTCCACCGGTGCTGGCGTGAAAGACTCCAATCCTCGGGAGTTACTGCTTGATACAAGGTGGACATTGTCGGTGGTTGAAGCAAAGTTCGAGCCTGCATGACCAGCTATGACTATTCTATTATTAAACAGCACTAGTAAAGTATTGCTGTATAATTTGCACAGGATGACGCCGGATACTTGGTGAAGCCCATTGTGTTCTTTGAGAAAGAAGACGAGGTCAATAATAGCGGCGATGGCAGTAACCGTTCCAGTTTCGATAGTTAATCGAATGACTAGGGGAAAGAATGAGTCCTTGTACTAGAAGTTGGACAAAAGGGGTATGCACGCCGAGTGACAACATTATTCATATGTCCTATCGCCTGCGTTTTGCTCCGTATCAGCTACAGTACCACTTAATTAATAGGCTCGTAGGCGATAGAAGGAACTCAACTCACAAAGTAGGTCATGCTGACAGCAATCACGGTATCAACAAATCCACTTCCTGCCAGCCTCACTCCGACTGCCCTGACAAGTGCGCTGGAGCGCGAGACTTCCGATGCATCCCTCCAAAGCTGGAGGACAGAGGTTTAATTAAAGTGAAGGAAGGGAGATCGCATAATTCGAAGGAGGATCATCCTGTAGACTCATTTCACGCACCAAGATTCCAACGGCAAACCCACCCCCCAGCTGCAATAGTGCCAAAATTGTGACCAGCCCAAAGATGACGGTCGATTGCGAGAATTTCCAGATTCGCCAGCCAAAGAAAACCTGCAAATTTGACGAGTTCGTCATTAGTGAGGTCTACCGAGGAACAGGAAAAATAATTTGCCTGGACAATTGCAGCAATGACACTAGAAAAAATCGGGATATTCAAGAACGACGAATAAAGGTCGTAGAGTCCTGGTACGTCTCCCCATCCCCACACAAACCATTGAAAGGTATCGTAAGTGGCCGAGCATATCTGCGCCCAGTCAAGAAGATACACAATGCAGACTATCCGGAAGTTTTCTCGAAATCAGATATCGAGGATTTGATTACTGATATCATGATTTACCGAGGGCCTTGATTATCCGCCTATCCTTTGGAAAGTTCAAGTAGTAGATGTATAATTGGGCAGTCAAAATTCCGAGTAATGACCAGTTGAACAGAATGCCTATGAAGCGCGGACCTGTGCTAACGGGGTTTTAAGGATTGCAGGAATATTGAAAAAATGTTCATGATACCTACAGCCAGATGATGTCGTCCCGACTAGGGTTCAAAGGGGCAGGAGTGACGACATGCACCATGGTTACGACAACGTTTGACCGAATCGGTTGTGCTAGTAAATCAGACACTGCACCTGCACCGTTCGTTTAGAACGTCAAGCTCGAGGAGAAGAAAAGAGAATGAGTTCGTTCAAAAAAAGAAATCTTCGAGACGTTCACTTTCCGTATTTTTATATTCTAGGTCCTTTTAATATGTATATGTACATAGTGAGAAAAGCGAGGGATATGAATGAAAATACATAGAACGTACCTTGGAACTGATGGAGCATACTTCGAGGCTATACATTCACCGTGCCAGCTTCTCGGGGTGGTATTGAAAAGAGCTGTGGAGTTTTACTAACCTTCGTCATCGGCGGGAGAAACTAATTTATTGGGAAAAGACAAGCTTACTTCGTGAAGAGGCGAGCGCTAGTTATGAATTATGAATCAAAGCTGCTGATTACTTTTGAAATGATCGACGTCTGTACTATGAAGTACCCGAGCGTGGTTTGTGAGGAAAGAACAATCGATTTGGGAAAAGCATACCCACTGTTATTTAGTTGCTTTACTAGCTTACCCGCCTGTGCATGAGGGCACCTACAGAAAATGACACACTGTACAGCAACGGATAGACAGACTGAACATTGATGTAGCAATATGTGCCTGCAGCAGAGAAACGTCTGATTGAGCTCCGAAGAGCCCTACAAGGGTAGTCAGGCCGATGACCATCACTAGGAGAACTGGACAGGCGTAATGGTCGAAAATGGCCGCGGTAGATAGTGTGTCTCCGGTGAGCCTAGCCTTTGTGATGAACTACAGGGATGCCCTGTGGTCCGTCTCTTTATAAAGTATCACCAAAAGTATCAATTAGAAGAGAATCCAAGTAGAATGTCTTCAGCTGCCTTCAGGCTATGTAGTATAACCAAGGCGCACACGGAATCGAGTGTCGGACATGAACTAAATTGCTCAGAAGAGGAATCGAAGGGGTATTTGTTGCTGTATAGACAGTGCAAGTCGACTGGAAGAGAAGACAGCAGGAATTTCCGTTTCACTTTCTAGGTTAAAGTTAGGTTAGGGCTTATATCATGGCCCCTGGCTTTAATCAGGCTTTGACCAGTTGACATGCAGTGGATACGCTAGTTCACACACATTGCCTTTTATGTCTGTGAAATATTATCTTCTCATTTTCCCCTGAATTGCCAGTTGCATTTCTTCATGGATGCTAGCACAATTTACCTTTTCGCACAAGCCAATTCGTACCAATACTACACTTAAAATCCAATGCACAGTAATGTTTGACTACCTCAATCGTAATGCAATGTCTGTGAAAACTCAGTCTGACCTAGAGCCGCTAACAAGGCTGGCGTGATCGTTGGTTGTTTACACTCCCTGAGAACATCTCCCAAAACCATTTCCGCATGTTCACGCTGTTCTCGTTCGTTTTTCAAAACTTGTTCCGCTTCAGCGAGATCTTGATGGATATCTGGATATGTCGTTTGATTAAGGTTCAGTCAGCTCTACTAGTTGCTCTTGAAACGCACACTCATTTCCACGACTGGCCAGACTAAAGGCGTTCAGCGCCTTCATTTGGGATTCAATAGTAAAACATCTTGCGGAAAGAGCGGATAACTGGCGTCGGGCATCCCAAAATTCACGAGTCAAATCGGAAATCCGTTGATCAGCAATGTTTCTGGATATCGTGGTCGGCTCGTCCTATCGTATTGAACAAATCAGAGATGTGACAGGGGTTGGGAGAAGAGCTGACCAATTCGTGGTATATTTCCTCATCAACGGAAGGTACAGGTTGAGGAAGTATAACTTTCCCTGAGTTCGCATCAGATGAATTGTGCGTTGGATTTTCGAACAGATTTGAATTCGGTGGACTAGACGAGAAAGATTCTACTCGAGGAACTTCGTCCGACTCCGATGTAAGTGAAAGTGGTGTGCTCGGATTTTTGGGCAGGCTCCAATGAGGAGGAGGGAGTGGCAGAGAAACGAATGATTCACCATCCTTATTATTATCAAGAGACTGCTGCTGTGCTTTTTCAATCTCGAGAAGTACTGTCTGCACGGAATCTATTTGACGGAGTGAGTCTGAAATGTAGTATGAATGGTAGGGTGATGTAGAGTTAGATAGTGAATCCTGGGGCCGAGGATTACGAGAGCGGCGTAATGGAGTATTTTGTTGCTTGTTTTGATAGTGCCATCCAGGACCGCGTTGTGCTGAGCCACGGTCACTGTTTTTTGAGTCGATATTTCTTGAACGCGAATTCATCCAGGGTCGGGAGTAGGAGGATTTACGAGGTTGTGATCTGGAACGCGTTCGACGCGACATTGGCTCTGGAGAGCGTGTTCGACGCGTTAGTGGAGACTCTGGTCTAATATCAGAGACGAATACAGTAAAGATAATTATTATTTGATGGGGGAAGAAAATCTCACAGTTCTTCCATCCATATGTCCTCGCTGAGGTTCAATCAATGAGCACATTGCAAGGATGAGCAACGTAATTCCTACATCTCTGTCTCCCTCATCCCCGTAATAGTCATTGGATCCGATTTTTGTCGACATACAATGCTTTCAAGAATGTTCCATAAGGGCTATGCAGAGTAAGAATGTGCCCAAATGAATTCCAATGACCAAACTATGTAAGGAGACGCGTCGCGTTGTCGAGCTTACCCCATATTTCTTCGTCTCCCAATAGAAAGACCATTCATTTATGCTGGGCTCACTGACATTGGCCTCTGGGGGATGAGGAAGTTTTATTTTGGAAAGATCGAGGCGCAAGTTATCATATCTAGTTTTTCGGCTTGAATCGAGGATCGAAAATGCTTTTCGTTGAGAGTATCGAATGTGGACGATGATTACGACTTTGGAGTCCATTCTGCAGCGTCAAATTGTTTGGAGGGACTAAGAGGGTCGAATTTGAGGGATTGGAAGATAGTGGTGTGAAAGAAAGAAGCAAAAAAAAGAAGCAAAGACGACATGGGAGCACCTCGGTTATGTACCATGTGCGCCTCCTTCTACATACATAGGGAGAACTTCCTAAAATGGCAAGTAAATCTCCAAAAATAGCGCTCTTACCCAGAACTTCTCACCGACGATCTTGTTGCCACCATCGTCTCTCGCACTCACTGTACCCAGACCAGTATCAACATGATTTTCCCCATTACCTTTCGATTTTCAACGTTCAACGTTCAACCCTCGGATGCATAAGCGGGCTGTCATCGGTATTATATAGTACTTACCTTAGAATATAAATACATGATACGATTGCGCTCGCTGTAATCGCGAAACCAAATTCAAACTTCCGATTTGCCTCGCCTCTCTTTTCAAGTTCTTGGTATTGACTGGTGCTCTGCATGATCTAACACGCGCTGTGTGTGTGTGATAGATACTGTTAAACTAGTGATACTATAATGATGGTCAAAAATGTAACAAAGAAACCCCGAAAGTGTATACAGCAACTGCAGGCAGGCAACAATTGTCAAGAATTGCAGAATAAAATGTCAAGTGATGATAGCCTACATGTAAACAACGCCGACAGCCGTTATTGTCCCCCTTTCATGATACTTTCGACCTCTAACTTGACCCGAGCTCGAGCAGCAATACCGTCAGGAGTGGTCCCACCAAGGACTTTACCACCACCCAAACCATCGGTAGATGCATCATATATCACACGAAGCATCTTCACGAATTGGTATCCCCATATTTGTAAGGCATCCGCTCCTAGTACTTCGAGGGCAACTACCCGCATGAGAATCCTGTCAGCGAAAATCAGCAAGGACAAACTAGAGAAAACTTACCGAAAAGAACTTCAGCACCCACTGCCGTTGCCAACAACGTTTTCGACCCAAGCAGTCGAGCCATCCACGTCCAATACCTCGGTAGTTGGAACATCTTCTTCAATGGTGCTTTCTTCGGTGTAATCTTCAGCACTGAAAAATACAACCGCATCACACCCTTCACCCGATCGGTGTACTGCGACTGCGTTTCTATTACACCGTCCTCGCCCGAGCGAAACCCTTGGATTCGCCTCACCTCTTGATTATCCTTCCACGGCCGATCGTCGAAATCCTTCTCAGGAATAGGACAGGGTAAAGCCCAAGGTCCAATTCGTTGTGTAATTTTAGCGAAAAGGACTTCGGAAAATCCTTCGAGCCGTTCGAGACAGTTGAATGTAACTTCAGCGAGAGGGATGGCGGAGCGCTTTTCTGCGGTGATTTCGGTTTCGGCTTGCAGGACAAGGGCTTTTGCCAGCGCAGAGAGGAGGGCGGTATATACTGGAGGAGGGAGTGGTCTATTTACTGGTAGCAGGATTTCAACGAGTTGAGAGGACTGTAAATGACATTATGGCTGATCTGAGGGTAAGCAACAATTCGCTTGCTTACCACCCGGTTGATAGTTTCAGCATCATTCGTCAACTGCCCGATCTTGGCAGTTATAGCGCGTCTTGCACTACTCCAAGTGGGTTTCAAGGTTGGAGTTGCTTTGACAAGCCGTGTTCCTTGTGTTTTGACAACCTAAGCCCAAGTAAAGATAGATCAATTGTGCTCATGTGTCCAAGACTAACCTGAAGGTTCTTGCGCGCTTCTTTCCAGTCCTCTTCGGATGTGGTCATACCCGCAGCTTTCCTGTTCTCCTCCTCCGATTTCAGTCTCTCTTCGCGCTCCTTAGCCTCTTGTATCGCAGCTTCTTTCTCCTCCCGCAACCTTCGCTCCTCTTCTTCCTTCTTCCGTTTTTCCCCCTCCTCTTCCCGTCTCTTCTGCTCCTCTGCATCTCTCCTTCGTTGCTCTTCTCGTCTTGCATTTTCTTCCTCTTCTCTCCGCCTTTTCTCCGCCTCCTCTCTGACCCGCCGCTGCTCATCCAATTTCACTTGCTCTTTATCTTGTTCAAGCTTGATCGACGCCTCAATCCTTTTCCATAGAATCTCATTACGTTCAGCCAATTTCTCTTGAAGAGTCTTTTCTCGCGCTTGTTGCTGGAGACGTAAACCATCCAACTTTTGTATGAGTTGCATTTCGTCTTGTTTGAATGCGGCGGCAAGTCGTTTTGAGTCCTCTATCCGACGCTGATTCTGATAACGGATGAATTGAGCTTCTGAATCATTGTAATTCTTGCGGGCAGCACGCTAACAGTAGATGATATAGTAAATTCGTTTGCGTGAATTGCCACTTTGAGACGCACCAACGAATCTTTCTTCATATCTTTCTCCCATTCTTCGTAAGGATCATGATGTCGTGTTCGTAGGCGAATGGCGGCGATTGTGTCGTCTATCTGATTTTGTTCCCGGGAAGGACGCGAAGAGAACTTTCTCTGTTTTCTAAACACGTGTTCAAACTTGGGAGCTTGAGGCTTGAAAACTCACATACGAAGGCAAGGGAGGAATCTCGCTTTCAGAGCCATAGCAGAAGGAGTCAGAGTCGGATGATCCTGGCACAGATTCTCCAGAGTCAGACTCGAGGTCCACTACTTCATCCACGTCAGATACTGACGATGAATTCAGGCCAAAGGTCGATGCGCGCCGCCTTTGTGACGGAGAAGTTCGTCTTCTTCCTGGGTTGGGCCTGAAACACGTTTAGAATTAGCTTCAAGCCAACCAAACCTGATATCACCACTTCACTTTCTTTCTGGTGAACTAGACGGAGATCGTGGCGCAGTGAACCGCATGGTTATCGTAAGTTTTGGCGACGGATGAGATTCTAGATGGTTGACTGAGTGTGAACCAAGAGCTTCTTTGGTGCATTAATGAGGAAGAACCAGAGCGAGAGGAGATTTGAGATAGTTTGAGATAGAGTCCAAGTGAGTCACAGTCACGACTGTTCCGCTCCGTGATCGTACTCGTTTTAGGTAGTTTTCGGGTTAGGGCAAGACGCGTAACTCTCGACTTTACCACTTGACTATCGTCTATCAAAGACTATCATGGAGACTTCGTTCGCAATTACTGGAAAGGGTTATGTTATCGTCGCCTCTGACACCACCGCGGCTCGGTCTATCGTCAAGATGAAAACTGACGATGACAAGATCAAAGTCGTCAGCCCTCATCTACTCATGTCCTATTCTGGAGAACCAGGTATGCATTCCGTGTTTCAAGAAACAACAAAGGAACTAATAGAGAGATCTTAGGTGACACTATCCAATTTGCTGAATATGTTGAGCGCAACCTCCGTCTTTTCAACATCCGAAACAATTATTCCTTGCGACCATCCGCGGCCGCGTCGTGGATTCGTCGTTCTCTAGCACAATCGCTTCGTTCCCGAAAGCCCTACTCCGTCAATCTTATGCTTGGCGGGTTCGATGTGACAACTGACTCTCCACATCTGTACTGGATAGATTATCTTGGAACGATGACCGAGGTACCTTTCGGTGCTCATGGGTACGGAAGCTACTTTGCTTTGAGTTTACTTGATCGGTATATCTTCTGTTATTTCCTTCAGCCTTAGTGTTTAAATTTCTCTCTTTGTTTGTAGGTACCATGATCCGGAGGCTACACTCGAAGAAGGACTCGCGACTTTGAAGAGATGCATTGACGAGGTCGCAAAGCGTCTAGTCGTTAGTCCTGGAAAGTACAAAATCAAAGTAGTGGACAAGGATGGTACACGAGAGGTGGAGCTGTAAAACGTCATGCCATCGTTCGTTTGAATCTGTCTGTATTCCTAGCACTAAATTCCCTTTTGCGTTCCGTCTGATCTACCGCGAATATCATGGGCATGACCCGTATCGAGCTTGCTGACCGGCACTGGCATGTTATTATACAGGATTGGTCGGATCACGACTTCAAGGAGAGTTATCCAGGGTGCAGTTCTGATAAATCCTGTCCAGTAAGTATAGCATCCTTACTCCAGAGGTAATCGATTTACTACCTGATGTAGTTGGAGTTAGGATTCACATGCTACACATACACTAGGTCGACCATTTTAAATTTCTTAGTTCTAATCACCTTTGAAGATCATCGAATTATCGGACTGCTTCATACTCGTTTGGTCCGTACTTGTCTGGTCCATCCGAGTCCATACAATGTGTAGTCCCACATCCTGTACATCTTGCAACTTGCAAGCTAACTAATACTGATCATTCTTTATTCTTTCCACAAAAGTAGACCTTTCATGGAACAATGACCAAACGACGCTATTGTTCAGTTAAGCGCCCATGCGCTTTATAAATAACCAGGTCAATATTTTCTTCATTCTTTCTTTTGGACCTCGCGAAGAACACCTTGAGCAGCGCTCCTCGATATTCTCTGTCATCTTAGACCCCGCGTACATTCCAAACGACGAATTTGTGACGACTATTACGTTTCTGCGGCACCACTCCTTCTCGACATTTTACACTCCTTTTGCGTTCTAAAGCTATTACTACGATGGTCAATTTCACGATACTCGCAGGCGGTTTCTCCGTACCCGGACTAATATCCACCTATGTATTCAACAACGATACCAACACTTTATCAATAGCTGCACAAAGTTTGTCTGGCGATGATCCTTCGTGGATCGCTCTTCATCCTCAAGACCCGAACGTGCTTTAGTGGGTACTTCAACTCCTGTGATTCTTCATTATGAGAAGCTGATGGGTTGCCCTACAGTTCAGTCAATGAAATCCAAACAATCGGAAACCTTCAATCATTCACAATTAATAATGATACTTCATTGTCTCTAATCGATACCGTCTCCACTCAAGGCGTTGGACCGACTTTTACAAATCCCCTATCAACAGGCGAAGTGTCCGCTATGAACGTCAGCTCATTCGTTTATATCATTTTAATCAACGTAGACACATCTGACATGCTCGGTACATATAGTTTGGCTCCCCAAATTGCTCTTTCATCTCAACTGATCCAAGCGACCCTTTGCACTTCATTCCAACCAACTCGTCTGTTGTTGCTTTTCCAATACCAGAAGGTGGAAAATCGAACCCTCATATGTCGTTGGAGTATAACGATGAAGTGTTGGTGGCGGATCTCGTATGTACTTCCTTCTCTCGTCTCTCCGCTATATTCAAATCACTGTGTGTCTAGGGTGCAGACAAAATTTGGCGTATCGGAAAGAATGACCCGTCAGGGAATGGCAGTTTCACTGTTCAAGGACAGATCGATAGAGATCCTGGTTCTGGTCCACGTCGGTTGGCCATCTATAGTACGTTTCATCACTCGCTCTCACTCCTTTGATCCTGGCTCACATTTTTTGATCCTATAGATGACATCCTCTTCGTCGTCTCCGAAACTACATCTACCCTCACCGCTCAGCGCATCCCAGCCGGACCCAACGGTACAACATCTTCGCTCCTCGCAAACATCAGCACCTTCCCCGCTGATGCACTCCCCGGCTCCAAATTCGCCGCAGCAGAACTCTTGATATCTACACCAACAGAGAGATTCCCTAATCCTTTAATCTACGTCAGCAACCGTAATATTGGGTCTACGATTGACCCCAAAGGCGATACTATTGCCATATTCGAGTTTGTTAACGGAACAACACTGACGCTGTCGACCCCAGAGTTCAACAATACTGTTACAAACGCGAAACGCATGAAACGTGTCAGCAGGTCGAGCACGCTTCGCCGGAATAATATATCTTCAGAATCTTCGACTTCTAATTCAGAAGGAGCAGGCTACTCCTTCAACCTTCTTGCGCAAGTCCCTACAGGGTTGCAACAAATTCGGAGTATGACGTTGGGAAGAGTAGATAATGGCGGAGATGCGTATATCGTTGCTGGAGCGACTACCACCGGTGGTGTCAGTATTCTGGAACGAGTTGATGGGGGAAGAAACCTTACCTTGCTAGCTAATAATCAGGATGTACAGAATAGGACCAGCTTTGTTTTCCTACCTTCGTCATGATCTGCTGAATCCGAATGGAAGCGTGTATACTACATAATGCTCGAGATTGAGGGCTCAAATGTACATGGTCATAAGAATATAGATTGAGAGCGAGCACCGGTGAGCGCTAGCTTGATCCGACTCTCCCGTAGCGAAAATGTGAGCCTTGCTCCTACACCATGATGTCAATGTCTCGAAATGATCTTGCATATCCTCTCCCACTACCTATCTTAGCCGATGCTGAACTAGCTGCTCATGCTTGGGATGAAGAAGAACTTTGCCTACACAGCGTTGGTCCATTGCAGCGTATGGAACTTCCTTATATCGGGACCATCTTCGACATTCGCCTTCGTCGCTGGTACAGCATCATCGCCCACCATGAATATCCACCCGACTACCCCGACGATCCGGACTGTATATTCGATGACCCGTATTGGCTCTCAGTACTCCAGCAAAGCGGTCATCGTGGTCGTGATGATTTCAACGAGATCCTAGTGAACGACATCGACGGATCGTTGACCTACCGCTCGAACCCTAAACATAGAGGCACACCGATATATGACCTCGGACCTCCACCACTGACTTCATACATCCCAACAATTCCCGCTCATGAGCTGCAGCAGAGACGATACCTCTTCCGTGCAACGGAAACATGTTCTGTCCCATCGCGCGGATTGGAAGGGGTCGTATTCAAGCAGATCATGCAAGGTCGCGGCGAGGTTTCTCGCTTCAATAGGGAAATCAGAATGCTTTACCTTCTCCGAGAAAGCAATCAATTTCTTCCAGTATTAGCATGCGTTGTCGACACCAAAGAGCGAATGCGGGGCTTCCTGATTCCGTTTGGAGGTACTTCTTTGGATCAATTGCCGACTGTTCGATGGCAGATTTTCTTCGACGTCCTGCAAGGGCTGGTAACCATTCATGCGATTCCTGCTGACGCACTGGGGACATCAAAAATAGAGAAAGATATGCAACTTGTTGAACATGGGGATATTTGTGCACGGAATGTACTCGTGAACGAATCGGGAAAGGTACATTTGATAGATGTCGGGAGTAGGACAGAGGATTATCAGGGAGATCGGAGGGCATTGGTTGAAATGATGGCTGAGTTGAGGTTAAAAGCAGAAACAGAGCAGGACGAAACAATGATCGACCGTATGTTGAAGTTACTTGAGGGCACGCTGGCTCTCCAAGATATTATCACGTCTTTGAAAATACGAACATGAACGAATGGAGTAAGTGAAGTAGACTCCTTTGACTTTCTATACTTACCAGTAACAGTACGTTCATTATATATGCATATATGCCCTTCCCTCGAACAACATATTTGCTTCCGATCGGTTCTAGAGTTCTGGATACGAGGGGGTGGAAGGTTGAATTGGTGAAAATCATTCGAGTATAGCGACATAGCTAAACTCGAGAATGGCGTTGGCTTGGGGAAGGGTGAAAGGTCGCAGAAATGGTTGTGCAATCTCTTGGGACGAATTCCCGAGCCATAATGCCAGTGACTGGCCGAGAAGGTTTCCTACTTCAGAGTCGCGTGAAACTAAGGCGTGTAATGGCGTGAGCATACAGTACGATCACTCCTGACACGCATAAGGATAAGTATACGCTGCCATAAGAATAAGTATACACGCAGGCTGTCATAAGAATAGTCGATACTAAAAAGAGATAACGTCTAGATATGAGCGGCTGGAATACTCTATATGGAAGATTGATACACACACCAATTTGCCGAAGACGACCAAGTGCGAAACTTCCCATAGCAGTTGTGCAGGAAGTCCCTTTCATCTTGAGGATTTCGTTAATCTCAAGGGCCACAAGGGGACACATATCGACTTTCTCTGGGACTTCAAATACTGCTTAAATCGTGTTGTCACCCACAGTAGTCCCTGTACCACCCTTTGGTTCCCACTTGGTATCAAACTGGTATACGCGAGCGTATCGAGCTTGCTGACTGGCATTGGCATGTTATGAAGGATTGGTGGGATCACGACTCGAGGGGAATAAGCCAGGGTACGGTTCTGATAAATCCTGTCCAGGAAGTATAGCATCCTTACTCCATATATATGTGATCGATTTACTACCTGGTGCAGTTGGAATTGGTATTCACATGCTACACATACGAACAACGCTGTTGACATCACACCCAGAGATAAACATGAGACATGTACAGGAATATAAGGACATAGATTAGCATACCTACTACGAACAATCGGCGAGGGAAGAAAAGAGAGAGAAAAGAAAGTCCCATGTAAGAACCCGACGGTGAATACGGTGTCAAGGAATGAGTAATGAATTATCTTCGAGGTATAGCACTCTACTGATAAGCGGCCATCTCGTTTATAGACCTCAGGAGGGCGGGCCCATACGAACCTGTAGATGGAGATGGCCTTAGCGAGGTGTGAATGATGCAGACTGAATGCTAAACTCACTTGGTATTAGCCTTGTGTCTGTTTATTCGTCGTTCGAAGATAACGTTTTTTCTTCACTCTCGCGTGAATTTTGGCTTGCAAAGTTGCACTAGGCCCCACTGTATGGACTGCACACCTTGCTTGAGCTTGAGATCAAAAATGCGGCGCGCATAGGGCGCGCCGCGAGGTGAGGTGTCCAATTAAAGCAAGATAATTGAAATGGTCTGGCTGATAACGCTGAAACCAAACATAGCAAAAATGTGCCTGCACATCAAGAGGTCAAATACTGAGTGGAATAGACCTTGCAAGCAAGGTGATGGGGTCGAAGCTGAGATATCATGTGACGTCATCACAGTGGGAAACTTACTTGAACGCCTGATAAGGTAGAGCTCAAGCAAGTTCCGCACATGTCACCTGACCGGCGTGACATGACCTTCAAAAATTAATAGCAGCCGTTTATCGACATATATAGAAAATTGGTTTGCAAGGAAAGTTTTGCTATAGGGATGCAAAACTTTCTGCGCAAACCAATTTTGAGAAGGCAGATTTATGAGACTGCTATTAATTTTTTCGTGGATCAAAATAGCAGTGGGTCACAGTCACCTGACGTGTGCGGGTCTTGCTTGAGCTCTACCTTAAGAAGCAGAAGTCAAGCACGACCAAACACGATAACCATCCTTTAACTTGAACCACGACAACCCAATTATGACATATAAGATCTCTCCAAGTGATTTGGCGTATCCTCTCCCACTTCCAGTCTTAACCGGCGCAGAACTAGCTGCTCATGCTTGGGATGAAGAGGAGATTTGTTTGCATAGTGTTTCCCCATTGCAGCGCATGGAGCTTCCTTATGTTGGGATCATCTTCGACATCTGCCTTCGTCGTTGGTATCGAGTCATAGCTCACCATGAATATCCACCCAGCTACCATGACGATCCGGATAGCATATTTGATGATCCGTACTGGCTTTCAGTGCTTCAGTCAAGTGGACATCGTGGTCGCAACGACTTCAATGAGATTCGAGTGAATGATATAGATGGGTCGTTGACATACTGCTTGAACCCGATACATTCTAGTGGTATTCCAATCTATGGACTTCAACCTCCACCCCTCGCTTCGTATATTCCATCAATTCCCTCCCATGATCTGAAGCAGAGGCAATACCTCTTTCGTTCTACGGAAACATGCTCAGTGCCCTCGCGTGGCTGGCAAGGAGTCGTTTTCAAGCAAATCCTTCAAGGTCGTGGAGAGGTTACTCGTTTCAATAGAGAAATCACCCTGCTACACCTTCTTCGTGAAAGCGAATACTTTCTTCCATTGTTAGCCTGTGTTGTGGACACAACCGATCGAATGCGAGGCTTCCTCGTTCCTTTTGGAGGTACTCCTTTGGATAAATTACCTACCATTCGATGGAAGATGTTCTTGAATGTATTGCAAGGGTTGATAGCAATTCATTCAATACCTGCTCATGCACTTGAAACATTGAAAACAGCGGAAGACTTGGAACTTGTTGAGCATGGGGATATCTGTGCTCGGAATGTGCTTGTGGATGAATCAGGAAAGTTATATTTGATAGATGTGGGTAGTAGGACGGAAGATTATCCGGGAGATCGGAGGGCGTTGATCGATATGATGATCGACTTAAGGGCCAAAGCAGGAAAGGGGGAAGATGAAGTTTTGATGGAGAAGATGTTGAAGCTACTGGGAGGCTCGTTGACGCTCCCAGATATAGCCAAGGTATTGCACACAGCCAGACCTTCAGATATCAATGGGATACTCCGGCTTGACGAAGCGGCGGATGGTATTTCATGACATCCGTGACTTCACATAGTTTCAAATTTCGTAGATAAAACGTGTCTAACTTTTCTGAGGACTGCAACTCATTCTAAGCCTAATAATCTGTAGGAAACTGATAACTGCGAAATCTGTGTCAAATATAATATCCTATACAGAATCAATGGTCCCCTGATGGCTTCGAAGACAATAGGGACAGTGGAGTAGGGGCTCTCGGAGTCCAATATCTAATCGCATATCTTATCCATTTACATGTTGTTATCTATTTGTTTGTAGGAGTACAGCAGGTATTCAGTAGGCGGAGAACAATTGAATCAACACAAGTCATCCATTCATCTCAGCGAGCAGTCGGAAGTCCCAGTCCATCTTGTGATGACAGCAATTTGATCCATACATACCAGGATTCAATTTAGGCCCCCGGATAGCAAAGTAACATGTACTCCGATTTTGAGAAAAAAGCCAACATTCTGGCTCCGACATGCAGTTCAGCAGGTTGTTTCATCTCGAGACCACCCTCTGAAGATACAACGAACTTACAGGCAACTGAAGAAACAGGCAGCGATTTAGACCTCAAAAATTGGTGTAAGACCTGGGTCAAAATAGGTCTTAAGGTAGGGTTTGGTGTATGAAGGTTTATGTTGTAGCATGCTAGGAGCAGGCTGGAGCTCGAAGGGAGCTACGGGAACCGCAACCGAGGACAGGAATGACCTAGTAGTGGCTGGGGCGAAGAGATGGTGACCCTTGAGGGGGTTCCTAGGAGGTCCAGAGAGGTCCCTAAGGCGTAGGGAGGTTAGGTAGATAGACGGAACCTTGTAATATCGCGTAGTAGGAGTTTATCAAACGAATTATCCTCAGCGTATCGTAAAAAGCTCTTCATATAATCTGTATATACCTATCAAACGAATTATCTACAGAAGAGTAAGTAAACTGAGAATAGAGATATAGTAAGATTTAATAAACTCACCTAAAAAGCTGAGGGAGAGGAATTCTCGAAGCTACTGAATATAAATAAAATATACCGACGGTAGACTAAACGCGAAACACAAGATAAGGAAGATAAGATGAAATACATATTCTTGAAGTGTTCCTGACCGGACTCGTATAGCCCGCTTTGGCCCAATGTCCATATTCGTTCAACACTCCCCTAGTCTCGGTCAGGGACCAACTTCCTAAGACCAAGAAGGGACACTTGTCGAGTGTGGATAGCGGCACCGAGGGGCTTGGTGAGGATATCCGCTGGGTTGTCCTCCGAAGGGGTATATTCGATAGTAATATCACCTTTCTCTACTGCATCTCGAAGAAAATGATACCGAATATCGATGTGTTTTACACGCGAATGAAACTTTGGATTCTCGGAGATCGCTATAGCTCCTTGGTTATCACATCGTATGAGGAAAGGACGAGGAACTTCATGACCTAACTCCGATAGGAAGGAGTGTACCCATTTAGCTTGTTGGACCGCTTTGGCAAGACCGATGTATTCAGCCTCTGTAGTCAATAGCGCCACAACATCCTGACGTTTTGACATCCAGAACGTTGGGCCCCCTGCCATCATGGTCAGGACACCCGAGGTTGAATGACGCGTGTCTACACATGACGCGTAATCGGCGTCGGCATATACGATTGGGGATAATCCTCCAGGAGCCATCTTAGTATAGGTGATCCCAAGATCCCGGGTTCCACTAATATAGCGTACTAGGTGCATAAGATGTTGCCAGTGGACCTTTCGAGGATTGTGGGCAAAACGACTGAGGACGTTCGCGGCATGTGCTATATCCGGACGGCAAGCGGCAGCACCAAATTGAACGGCTCCTAAGATTTCTTGGTAGGGTTTTTCTCGCATAAACTCGATGTCCTCGGTAGAAGGAGGGGAAGTCCCCATCGAGAGAACAGCGCCATTCGGGAGGGGAGTAGATTTAGGTTTCATGTCTTGAAGACCGTGATGGCTGAGGAGATTATTCCAATAGGCAGGCATGGATAAAGTAGCTATTCCCTGGTCTCTGTCATGCGTAAGCTTCATGCCGAGAGCGAACTGTACGCTGTCAGTTTCTTTGATTCTATACTTCGACCCGATCTCCATCTTTGCCTTTTTCATCTCTTGGATTGACGAGGATCCGCCAAGCGTATCATCCGTGTATGTACCGGTCATGGTCTCCCCTGATCCCGATACTCGACTCCTCACACACTGGTCAGCTTGATTCCGGGTATATCCAAGTTCTCTGTATGTTCCGTCGAGAGTCTTCCACCAGTTTCTTCCCGCCTGCATCATACCATAGATGGACTTCTGAATCCGCATGACCTTCCCAGTATTTCTCCCGGGGAACCCTTCGGGGGGCCACGCGTATATTTCTTCGTCGAGATCAGCATTGAGATAAGCCGAGGCAAAGTCGATCTGCCATATGTGGTAGCCGAGAGTAACCCAGAGAGCTATGAGTATTCTGAGAGATTCGAAACGAAGTACCGCTGCAAATGTATGGTGGTAATCCCTACCCTCTTCCTGAGTCCTCCCATTTACTACCAGACGAGCCTTTTCTTCAACAATTTTTCCATCCCCGTCGAACTTATGAGCTAATACCCACAGGGGAATCAGGATAGTGGCTCCAGCTGGAGGATCCTGCAAAGGTCCGAAGACACCGAATTCCCTCATGCGTTGAATCTCCTTTTCAATGGCGGGAGACCACCTGTCAGGATCTTCCATTGCCTTTGAATAGCTTTTGGGGACTGGTGTTATTCCAATGGCCGTGAGTGCAGTGTTATATTCAGATGATACTTCGTTGAATTCTTGCACTACAGATGCTAGGAGTGCTCGGTGTTGGGTAGGTGGATTTATCAGAGACTGTGTAGAATATGGTTCTGGTGGAGTAGTGGAAAGCCGGTTTGAGCGACGAAGGGGGACGTTAGGATCCGGCTGGAATTTAGTTCGAGTCCGCCGAGTGGGAATTTGATTAGGAATTTGAAGAGTTTGATCGGGTTTTGTTGGCAAAGTCGTCTCCGAGGTATTTGTGGCGTCCGAGGTGTCTATGGCGTTAGGCGGAAGTATTGGAACGTGTTCGTAGTTCCCTTGATCCTCTTCTTCCTCCCCTCCACCTGGCGCCAGGGTACGCCGAGGTATGCCTTCCTCAAAAGTAACATCCCGACTTGTGATAACCGTTCCATTTCGCAGGTATAATAAATATACACCTCGTTCTCCGTAACCCACCATTTTACCCTCCACAGCTCTTACATCAGTTTTCCCCAGACTTCCATCTACAATGGTTGCCCAACCCCGAGCCCCAAATGGACGAAGGTGAGATATATCTTGACGCACCCCCCAAAAAATCTCGGCGGGAATACGGAAACCATTTCGTGTCGAAGGTAGGAGATTTTCTGTGTATATGACATATGCCGCTGCCATAGCCCACAGATTGTCAGGTAATTTAGACTCATGGAGGATGGTACGGACTTTAGCAAATGTAATCCCATGTTTCCTTTCGGCGACCCCATTAGCTGAAGAGGAATATGCCAGGGTTTGTTCAATTCGTATGCCGTGTAAGTCAGCCCACTTCCTCCATTTTTCGTTGATAAATTCTTTCCCCCCATCGACCCGTACACATCGCAGTCTCTCCCCAGTCTGGTTCTCAGCAAAGACTCGGTAATTCTCCATTGCTATGAGGGTCGACTCTGCTTCCTTATTCGCGAGGTAGTAATCCTTGGTAAATGCAGAGTGTCCGTCGACAATAGGAAGTGAGTAATAATATCCTCCCCTCGACATAGTTCTCATAGGTCTGGTAAGGTCTAGATGAACACGTTCCAGCAATTTCTTCTCTGTATCAACGTGTGCATCAAATGGTCTTCGTACAGCACTCCCCATCAAGCAATTTTCGCATTTCCCTTCACCAGCCATCGTATCTTTCGCGATCGCGAACCCATCGACAAGGTGGTGGTCTTTCAACAGGTCGAGTCGAAAATGACCAGCGTGGGCTAGTCGCCTGTGCCATGTGCTAAGGTCTACCGGGTGATGTAGCGAACGAGATTTGGTGGTAAGCGCTGTTGTTTTTGCTTCATCGAGTTTGTAGAGACCATTCGATCCTCTCCCAGTTAGGAAATGTGATCCTTCCGGTGAATAGAACTTCATGCAGCCATTCCCAAAATGAACCTGGTAACCAAGTTTGTCGAGTCGAGCTATGGAGATGAGGTCAGACGAGATAGTGGGGCAATGGAGTGCCCCTTCAAATATGAGTGTTATAATCTTCCCATTTTCCATGACTGTTTTCTTTGCCTTCCCGACTCCCTTAATAACCAAACCCGTAGATGCTTCCAAAGACTGACCCATCCTATCACACTCCGTGTAGGTCATGAAGTCATTTCGATTTCGAAAGAAGTGGTCTGTGGCTCCTGAGTCTGCGTATAGCTCTCCGGTTGGGTGAGGCAAATCAGATGCTGTCATAGCATAGTGCAATGTAGGTTCGCCAATGGCCATGGATGATGTTGGATTCTGATTAACGGTTTCGTCTTTCTTTCCTCTCCACCATGATGGGTATTGTCCTTCCTTCCCTCCTCCTTTCCTGAAGCACTCATCCTTCAGATGGCCAACACGTCCACAGTTAAAACACTTTTTATCTCCGTTTCCAGATCTCGCCATCTTTCCTGCAATCATCGATTCTAATTGTTCAATTCTCGACAATAACGCAGCGTGTGGGGAAATAGGGGTAGTAGCCGTGTGCGCCTGGGATATATGATCACCAGATACAACCGCATCAGGCCGGTTCTCTACATGAGAATATTGGAAGGAAATCTGCTGGATCACTGATGCTGCGGTAGGGTAGAGGGATGTGTTCGCCGTTATATTCTGGATAATATTGTCGAATGCACTTGTAGGAAATGCGGCTATGGCTATTTCCCGGAATTGGGAATCCGAGATAGCATTCCCAGCCTCGACCGCATCCTTCTGCAGTGCACGAAGTTGGTTAAAGAACTCGTCAATCGGAATGGTCTCGCGAAATGTCAGGGATCTTAGGTTTCTCTCCGTAAGTACTTTG